ACTATCAATTAGTTAATCTGCAAAACATTGTGGCTATGAAAAGGAAATTTGTGGACAGTAAGTATCAAAAGCATGGTGATGATGGAACATCAACTCTTCTCTTGGTCAGGGAATTTGGTGGTGACCTATCAGTAAATCATGTACTTTTTAAAATTTATAAACAGTAAGATGTTTTTATAGTAAGATGTGTAGGATGATTCTGTTCCTCTCAATAAAAACGACTTCATGTTCACTCTTACGAGTAATGCCCAAGCTGACATGTATTGCAAGTTTGCCAATAGAATACTATGCATGGACTCAACACACAAAACAAATTCATTAATTCATTAATCAGATGTACTGTAGATAAGGGTATATATAAAACTCAAACACAGCTTTGGGCTTAAAGCAATCAATATTTAATTATTATGTAATATTATGTAACAGAACAATATATATATCTGTAGACAATACAGTTGAAAAATAATAAAATTCTGGTCTTCTGCCAAGAGACAACTACAAACTAATAACTACAACATGAAAGATGTAATCTAAAGAGATGGGAGGGATGGGGATTTTTCCATCCAGGATCTTAAACCCATGTCAGTGCTGGAGACCTGGTCACTCCACAGTGCTCTGGAGACTGTGACTGAGAAGGTCAGATCATGTGTAGTCTACAAACCTGCTAGGTTGTTTTTGGCTAGAACCTGTCAAGGTGAGGAAGAAATTGACTGACCATACAAGTCCCCAACTCTGGCAAGATGGGTCCTCAAGGTCCCATCGCCTTTAACTTGACATGATTAGAACACTTACCTCAGGATGACCAACCTGATAAAAGTTCGGGGACCCGACAAGAATGACACTCCATCCAACCTCATTAATACTGTATTAATTACTTAATACCTACATTACCTCAGTAGTAGTTGATGAATATCACAAGGGATACCCTGTTGCATTTTGTATTTCAAACAGAGAAAATATTGAAGCTTTACAAATTTTCTTAAATGCAGCCAAGTCCAAGTGTCCAGACACAAAATGTAGGAGTTATTCTCACTGATGATGATCTTGCAGGTATAATGCTGCTGGAGCTGGTCCTGGCCATGATATACATCACTATCTCTGTATCTGGCATGTGCATCAGTCGTGGCGACGCAAGCTTTAATCTGTCCAAAATAAAGAACACAAATTAGAATTTATTATTTCTTCCATGCATTGTTGAATGCTAAATCAGAAATGGAACACAAATGTTTTCTCAAATCTTTCACTGCCAAATATGCAACTTTGGAACCAAATTTTATTCAGTATTTTAAGGGTAACTATGGAAAACGGCCTGAAAAATGGGCACTTCACCCACGTCAGTCTGATCTTCAAATACAATGTTTGTTGAGAGTTTTCACAATAGATTGGAAACTGTTTATTTTAGTAGAAAAGGGAATAAGAGGATAGATAAGTTAATTCATATTCTTATGAATATGGAAAAAGATAGTACATAAACAGAATCCTATATGTTACATAAAACAAATCAGAGGATTTTCAGAATTTAAAAGATTCCGGAAATCATCGGTTAGGCATGGAGATTCCTCCTACATACAGGAGGCCATAGTTTGTAATGTAAATTCTGATCTGGTACTATGATAGATAAGTTTCATTTGGCAATACCTTAAGCCTATTTCAATGACTGGTAACTCAAAAAAATAATATATTCAAATTACATGTACAAAACATGAATTTTACAACATTAAAATATTCATTCTTTGTTTTCTATTCCCATTTGTTGGAAAACCTGTGTGCATTTGTATTATACAAGTCACAAAGAAAAGCCAGAAGCAGTCTTCATGTGATACAGATATGTAATTATATTCATATCCTTTGAATATAATGGAATCTGTTATGGTGTGAAAACTACTTAAAGTCAGCTATGAATTTTGTTACAAATATATTTTTCAAAAGTTATCAACATTTGTTCTATATTCACAAATGATTCAAATAGAATAAATAATAAATCAAAACTGAAAAGCTATTTTTTCATGCAACCACTTCCATTAATTTCCACAGCTCATTACTAAGGGGCACTTTCTAATTGATCATAGTCAAATGAGAGTGAATGCTTCAGGCAAAGTGAAGCACACACTTTAAGTGGTTTTATATCTTACAATGGCCTTCACTCCTCAGCTGGATACCAAATGGTATGGAAGGTGATTGAGCGATAGAGAAAATCAGATAAGTATATCAATTACAACTGCCTCTAGAGTTGATATATCTGATTAGGTATTGTCGACAGATTTCGCTCTCCGAGGCTTCTTCAGGATGATCAATTTAGAGTATATGGACACTATTTAAATATGATAAAAATAGGACGCATATGAGTGTATATCTATAGTTACTAACCACGTTTTAGTTGCTGAAAGTCAGAGTAAAGGAACTTGTAATTGTATAGCGTTGTAATAGCAGATATACTCAATTCAGCATGTGGGGAACCGCATTATTAGTACTTTTAAGAAAGTTGAAAATGAATCGTTTTGTCCTGAAGAAGCCCGGGAGGGCATAACTGGTTGACTGTGGAGGCTGTGTAGTCGCTGCTAGAGTCCGACAGTGCTAAATCTTCTTTAGATAAATCCATAGCCATGTCTAATACTGTCCAAACATATTTCCCAGCTTTACCCTAAATTTTACTAAATCCAGTTGGTCTTTTGTACTTCAAAAGAACGCTTGTTTTCTGGTTTCTCTGCATTTTTCTTGGTCTTATCCTAAAAAAGTTCCAGTTTCACAATATAACCTGGGTGTTCTTTCTGAAGAAGTCTGTTGTAAGTCTCCTTCCACAGAGTGTTTTGGGAAGAAGATGTCTTGCCACACTTTATACAAGGTATCCAAACAAAGGTGGTTGGCTGGACCTTGTGTTCCGTCTTCTTTGTGTTTGCCATTTAGGAGATAATATTCAACCAATATTTCCCTAGGAGAATATGGTCTAGTGAATGCCATTATCAAGTAGTTGTCTAAAAGGCCCTTTGTTCCAGAGCCCTGTTTCAATATGCTCTGATAGTTTTTTATATACATATGGACCAGCGGGTTTGACGGGTTGTATGGTAAGATGAATTGACAATATTACTTTTCTTCTTCCCTTCATCTCAATTGGGTTGAGTAGTTCTTCCCCAGGCTTGTTGTGCACTTTGCAAAAATTCAGAATACCCATGCAAATTTATTAAGCAATTTCATTTCAATGGTGCCTGGTGTACTGCAAACAGATTCCACTATGTATACTGTACATCACTGTTCCCTAACAAGCCAATCATTAATGATTATCGTGGGCAGTCAGTTAGTCATATTTCACAAAGACCAAAATAATGTAAAACTCAAATTTGCATATCATATTTTTATGATTTATCTATGAAAATTAAAAGTTGGATTAACAAAAGTCAGCAAATTATCCAACTTGAAGGGCCATGATACACCATGTGTTTTGAAATCTAATGACACAAACAAGACTATCACAATACAGACAAAATGAATACCAAAATAAAATGTCTGCTTTCTAAAAAACAAGACCTATCATTAGATTTTTCCCCGTTAGAACCAACAAGTTTATAAACAATAAACTCAGTAAAATGAATTGGTCATGCTCATTTATGTATGTGTATCTAAAAGTCTAGAAAAATCGTAATATGGGAACATTCTATATCTTATCATTAAACCCCAAATTATTGTCAAGATAGTATGTTAAATTTCCATTAAAACTAATAATCAATGAACAAGCTTTCATCAGAACATAATAACAAGGAATTGTGTTTTACAATAAAGACCACAAACTTAAAATGGTCCGATAGATGCAAATTTATAAAGACGTCTGAAATATGACACTGGGTAAAAAAAAGGCAAAAATTACAATTTTCCCCAATTTAGATTTTTCTAGACTTTTGATATGCTTTCCTCTATAGGCCAAATAAATTCTGTTGCAATTAGTTGGAGGTTGACCCTTATTTCTGTCGTAGATTGACGGGACTGGGTGTTCGAAGTCTGACAAACAGTGACCCTACAATCACACATTCCAAGCAATTTATCTCGCAGCATTTTCGTTTATATCATTTTCTTCAATCTACGAGAAAATTACCTTCGGTGCAAATGTGCGCAAGACTAACATTAATCCATATATGTTGTCAACTATACTACCACTTCTCAGAGACGTATATATCACATATATGTGATATATGTCTCTGCACTTCTCAAAAAGAGGAATTTAAACTGTGGTGTCACACACGAATTTATCGATAAGGTTCGCGCACCTGACATACGATGACCCAACAATAGCAACCCAAACCATTAATGAATGAAACTATCTGACAAAGTAAGATTTAACCCTAAGATTTCTACTCACGTGCTCGTGAATTAGCGCGGAAGAAAGTTTGTGACATTCGGAACACTACTACCTATTCGGGGAAATTCTTTTCTCGAGATTATTCCACTGAATTTCAGATATCTGACGTAATTGCAAAGGCAGGGACGTATATGACATGTCATATACGTCCCTGGCAAAGGTTACCAACCCAAACAATGCTAAAAATGCAAAAATACTGCTAATTCCAACCCAACACTGCAACTTTATAGAAATGATTTATTTACGAACACCTGTCGTAAAATCAACAACACTGTCATGGATACAAACTACTTACATTTCGGCAAATTCCAACTCGAAAATCTCCATAACAAGACCACATGTAAATACTATGAAAATTTCACTTCCTGTAAAGCTAGTTTTTAAAGCGTAGACACAGATTCCAAATAGTAATCTCCAACACAAAGCTAAAATATCATTCTGAAAAAAATGAAAGCCAACATCATCAACTTCAACAATTTCAGCAAGGCTTTATTTTTTAAGATTTAAATTTAAACCATTTTAATGAGGTTATCTAATGAGCGAAAATATCACCCCATGACCACACCGAGACATGTTACCGCTACCCTATCGTCAGCGGCCATTTTATTTTGATGAGGACTGACTGGGGAAGATAAAAATTGGCCGATAGAAGCAATTCAAGGCACGTGGTTGCCTGGAAATAAGCGTCTTTTGATGCCAAAATGTTCCCCATTCCTCCAGGTATAATGACTTGCGTGTGAAATTCTATTGAATTATCAACATTTCCATTGAAAGTAGCATTTTCCTATTCCAGCAATCATAACTCGCACAAGCCAAGCGCCATATTGTATTGAATATTGGCCTGCATAATTTTGCTTCATAGCCATTGGAACGTTTATGTCGAAATATATTTGTTTCTTTAACAGTTGTATTAAGTTAAAAATGGTTCATTAATACCAATGGATAAATCCGGACGTTATTTGATAGTTATGTTTCCAATATGAGTTTTAATCGAAATGTTTGTGTTGTTGACCTGAGAAATTAATACGCCCGTGACCGAATTTCAGTAATCTGAATTATCGTTAACTCTCGAACATTATTTGATATGTTTTTACAATTCACTTGTGCCCACTTTATATGAAAATACACAAACATAAGTCCGTTTGAAATTTGGTCAATTAGACCAAGTTCGAAATCTTAAAAACACGGTTAGTAAGTCGTCCACAGTGATTTAAATTGTTTGCTTCCAGTAATTACCAGAAAAATATGTTTAAGTGATATCAGAAATTTGCACAAGGTTTTCGATGTGAGGAATAATATTGTATGAAAGAAGGTGCACAAAATGACCATGATAATTTTGAGCTTCTTTTAAGATTCCAGCATTTTCAATATTCTAAGTGATAAAAGAGAACAGTGTGTTAATCTGTTAAATATCATCTTTCTGACTTACTAACACGATTGAATTTAGTGACCTAATATGGTAAAACTATCAACAAACATTCCTTGATAACTTCAGAGCTTACCCTCACTGTCACACAACACCCCAAGAACATTTCATGGCAAAATTGAAGTTATAAGTGAAGTAATTTGATTGGTCTAGAGCAGTTTTCTGGCTGATTTGATGCTTTGAAGATTTTAAAGGAGGGACACCCAATTTCAAAGCCAGTACAACATACCGTTATGCACCTTAAGATTTGTTTGCGGTATATCAAACCAGTTTTCTCATCTTATCCTAAATGTGTCCAGAGCTCTCGATCTGCCAGATTTGGGGCCGATATTTGGCCCCATTCCCAATGCAAAACAGTATCTTTTTTTCCCAATTTAGACCCCAAGTTTTCCCAATTCTAAGGAAAACGCCGCAATTTTTCCCAATTCTAAGGGCCCCAGGCCCCAGTCCCAAAATGGGATGTGAGAGCCCTGGTGTCACACACAGAACCTTCAATTTTGTTATGAAATGTTCAGTGCAGACCGATAGTGAGGATAACCCCTGAAATATTGAAGAGGGATTTGTAACTGAATGAATATATATGCTGTTAGTTTTAGTAAACATATTTCCCACTATTACTTCATAGAATCGAGATTCGACCAATGCTGTTTTAGGATGACACTTGTTGATCCATCAACACCACTAGTTTACTTCTGTCAACAGTTCTTTGGTGCAGAAATTCATTTATTTGGGCTAAATAAGTTCAATGACATTGATTATCAGTCAGATTAGAACAAACAAAACAATACCTACACTTTTAAACAAAATCGAGAGTATTTGAGACACTCTCATCTTTTACATCCTTGACAACCCAGTCTCACTTAAGATGCATCATTTCTTGAAAAAATGTCAACTTCACTTGGATAGCACTAGTCTTAGCAACATGATAAACTTACTGTGCCTTTAACACTTGAATCTGGATAATGTAACCTGCTATAAATTGCTTTGTGCAAAAATATTGAATGTATATGTTGCTAGAAATTACAGACAAATAATGCATTTGAACAGCAATTATTACATGAGATAACAGTACGAATTAAAACGGCACTGAGTTCCAATATAAGAGTTGGCTTGCAAACCTCTATTAGATTAATTCTGGTTTAAAATCCAGATGTATCTGTACAAGTTTGAAAAGGATATTGGCCTTGATAATGGATCAGTATCTGTATTTTGCACTATCTTTGCTTAAGACTTTGTCATTATTTGTCAATGCTAAATATGTGATAGACATGCTATATCTAGTTCAGAAAAATTTTCATTGTAGAATATGTTTATTACTGCTTACATACCAAAATACAACTTTGCCATGGTTTTCAGAAATGTCCATTTTTTTAAGCCATACATAAATTTTCATGATTATAATTTGGTCCTGTAACAATTTGTATGCAGTGGATCTTACTTACCAGAAAAAAATAGTCAGTTGATGATGAAAAGAGGAGTAATTATAATTTGGAGATTTTGTATGAATTTCTTTTTAAGAAAAGAGAACAAAATTAAAAGACACCAGACTGCATTGAATACATCCTGCCATCACAGGTGATGCAAGTTTGCATTACATGTAATTTGAGAGAATTTTTAAGTTCAAGTCGGTATTAAGAAATATTGCAGCATGGTAGTAACTACCTCGATGCATTGGTTGCAACTCAAATGTCATATGCAGAAAATCATTTGTCATCAAAGCAAAGGCACCAAATAGGATATAGACTGTTTATTTTATATAAAAAGTTAAGTAGCAGTGAATTTGTGATAGTAACATTGTTTCAGTGGCGTTTCAAACCACATACAATATGACATAGTGCTGTTACATAGGCCAAACAGGGAGGCTTAATGTGTAAATTATTTTGAACAACAAAACTCTTTTAACTGAATATTTGTAAGTGTTTGTGAAGATAAAACTCTCATTGTAACTTAAAAACTTTTCTACCACATGGTCATTCTATTGATATACCTTAACAGACTCGATTCATATAACTCTTGGCTACTGTTTTATTTTGTTACACTTTCTTCGACAATTTTCCACTTGCATGGGACGAGTTGTAAAAAATAACTGAACAGGAACAGGTATACTAGCTGAAATACCCTCTCATGTCCCATTATGTGTGGAATTGTCGTGTAAAATGTAACATCACTCAAAAAACGAAAAAAATACATTTCCTTGAATATTTGAAAATGTATGTAGACAAGATTGTGATATTGAAACCAGCCAATATCTTCCATATCTGAGAGGTCGAGGTGACTGAGTGGTTAAGGCATTCATCTTTATCATTAGCTCTCCAGTTCACCTTTCAGTCACAGGTTTAAGGCATACATGCATACGGGCAGTCAGCAGGTCAGGTCATTGGTTTTTCTCTCGGAACTCCAGTTTTTCTCCACCACTGAAACCTTGCAGGTCCTTGAATGACCCTGGCTGTGTATAGGATGTATAAAGCAAAAATAAACAAAACATTGATAAATGAGATCCACTGTATACAACTTCAAGAGGACAAAGAGATCTGTAGAAAGAATAGAGTTTTATTTTAAAAGTATCTTCAGAAGTGCTTATATGTTGTGAATGAAATTTGATATCTTGCATCAAGTTTGATGATGGCTTTTGTTTATTTCTGTAAATGTTGCTTATCAGCGTATACATTAGTAAGAAGGGTTAGCAGAATCAAACATTACAGATTTTATTATAGTTGTAATCTGGTGTAACAGTATTTACATATTTTATGACTAGATATCATCCTTATAGTAATCAGACTGCCAACTAACCAATTCAGACACTATTTGCATGATCTATTGGACCTAGTTTGATGTGTATAGGTAGTTCAGGGGCAAATCATGTCACCCCACTCAACCCCATGTACCCTCCTTATACAAACATTACATTTGTGTCAGCACTGAGATCCTTCATATTCTGTATTGGCTGTTAGTACAAACTGACAAATACATCACTGTATATCTGTTATGATATTTAAATCTGATGCTCACTGAAGGATATATATTTACTTTCAAGGATTATGTTGTACATCTTAATTATAATTTCTCTGTATTTTTAAATGATTCCAATTTTTTTTAAATTGAAAAACTGTCATTGATTTTGATTTCTTTCAGAGTAATGTGTATACTGCATGGTACTCATGCTATTCTGTGTGGTATATCATACATATTGATTCAAAATTATCATTAAACAAAGTAAAAACAAATCATTGTTTCAGATGAAAGTGCTTGAGTTTATCATGCAGTCATTCCTTTAACCACCAAAGTTGTTGCCTCTTTATGTTTTGCTTTTGAATGTATTTGCTTCCTACAAAGCTAAGTACTAATATTGCTTTTGTGGAAAAAGAGGTACTGGTTCTTTTGGCGCCTCAGTACCATGTTGTAAACCTTCAAATATTCTGTATCATTATATACAGTTGCGTTTTTCAAATTGAAAACATTAGTAATGAAGATATGGAGGGTTACTAAGAATTGCTCTCACTACACAGCAAAGTTAGGTAATATTAATCATTAAACATAAAAAAATTAAAATTGGGATACACAAAAATTACGTGGAATTTGATGAAAATAGCTATAGCTGAATTTTGAGATTTTTATTAACATATTGGCTAGTTAGTTCTTTTTTTTTTTTTAAATTGTAATCGGTCTAGATTCTAAATTACTGCAATAGAAAGACAGGAGGGATGTGTGCTATGGTAGTCTGTTCCTTTGATATATGCTAGAGTTACCTAATATAGATTTTCTTGCTGTTTAAAGGTAAATGGTGCTACCAATACAGAAGTAGAGAGAACCCACAGACATAGATGGGAGTTAATTGTGATTGTCCAACAAAGAAGGGAGATAACTGTTGATTTTCAGATGGTGATGGGAATCTGGCCGAAACTTTATGTTAGAAAATTACATAGCAAAACACTTCAAAGATATTTTCTTGTTTCATTGAAGGTATTACGAGAATCATGAACCAACAGTTGAGTTCAAATGGTATGTACCATTCTTCGTGCAGTTTTCATGACCATGTGACGTATGCACTCTCTGGATGGGATGAGGTTGATTAATGATTGGTGGGCAGTCCCCTAGTCTTGTCCTCATTAAATGTGTTTTGTCAATGTCTTTTTTTCCTGAATGCAGACAATACTTCTGATTAAATTTTTAAATATCATAAAAATTTCACTAGTTTGAAAAAAGTGTCTTTACACAGTAAAGATTGTTTTTATTGATGAAGTCTGGTAAAAGTACATTCTCATTAATTGTCAGTTTATATGGCAAAAAACCTCAAACAAAACAGTTTGGTGAAAATTTTGTCATAGTTATAGCACAAGAGGGAAATTGTGAATTATTCATTACATGGATTTTTGAACACTACAGGTAGATCACAACACATTGATACTAACACCAATACTAGTATATGACAGGTATGACTGATCAAAAATCTTACTTCAGAGAGATTTTATGAATACATATACATGCTTGGTTCCTCTTGTGATCCAATTAAGTTGTTGCTGTATACTTAAGAGTTAGCTGTCATAGGACATTGTGTAGAATCAGAGAGATTTATTCTTGGTATTAGTTGCTGGCATTTTATGTACATAGTTCAGTAATCAGTACAGAGGAGATATATTGATGAAGAGTGAAGGGTTCTGTATCCACTTGATGTACATATTAAGTTAGCATTGCTTTCATATATAATCAGTTTGGAACAGATTGTGTTGAAGAAGACGGTAGTAAGATGGCCTGCCGTGAAGTGTGGGATTTGTACAAAAATTCAGACTTGGTGTTTTGTTGAATATTTGCTTCTAGTTTGGGATTATTTTACAGTTTTTTTTATATGTGGTTTTTGTAACATCAACAGTTCTAAATGTACCTGGCAATAACTGATTTGGTTCTGAATATTCCTGGTAATAACTGATTTGGCAGCTGGCATTAAGTTCACGGAGGAACCAAGCGTTCAGCATCTTTAACAAAAGGATTATGATATTTTTTCTAAAAAGTCTTAACAAGAATAAGAAGACACAAATTTAAATATTGTACATGAAAAAAAGCTACATAGGTAAAAATACATATAGCGGACTTAGCATTATTGGTAATAATCAAGTTAGAGTACAAACTAATTATCACTAAACGATGGAACTGTACATAAATATGTGTTAGAAATTAGGTACTCAACAAGCCGTTGATGATATTTTGTGACCTGTATCCTCTGGTACATGCATATTGTCTGCTAAATAATTTAAATAAAAAAGAATTTGTCTTGATATCTAAAATTGAAAGACTGTTATAGTCAAATACATCTAGAGAGTGCTTCACACACGTCCTCTTGTAACACTTTTCACTACTAAATCTGTTAAAAAATCCTTTATATTTCACATGATTGCAAATACTATGTAGTGAATTTCTTGTTAATATAGTAGAATCTTTATTCTATATACTCTTCTATCCAAGCATATATTTGATAAAATATTATCGTGAAGAAGTGTGTCATTTTATCACATGACATTTATAGAATTTATAAGAGCTTATATAATAATAGCAATGCTACAAAATTGGTTTATTTTTTGTGTAGGTCTTAGGGCTAAACATGTACAGGATATAATCTGTCTTACAGAAGTAGATTGATAGACAGTTTGACAGTGTTTGTATGTGGGCATTTGGTCTGTCATTGTCATTTCCATAGAAGTATTTGGTAATTTCTTCATTAGATGAAGGTTTTTTTCGGTTGTTTGCTGGGAAAATATGTACAGGGAAGGTCAAAGAGTGTCGTCTAATTCTCAAGTTTTTTAATATCTTGCTATTCTGTTAATTACTATAAACATTCTTGATTTAGCAGCAATGTTTGGTTATTTGTATTCATAGCAGAAATGTATGCCATGCCAGTTTCAACAGAACATGACTTGTGTGTAAGACAGTGTGCTTGGTACATTATCTTCTCGCATATAAACTTACTGGACTAGGTACATATGTAATGAAGGTTGAAGTGGATTAGCTAATGACATTGAACAGCAGGAGTAAAAAGGCAAAAAGGGTTGCAATGTTTGGATGGAAGGGTATATACAATTCACTTGTCATTAAGGAATTGTTCAGCAATGATTCTGTAATGTTATATATAAATTATAGATATTGTCAGTAAAATGGTACTGTTGCTCTTGATCTGCAGTGTGATCTAATAAAAGTGGTGAATTTCAACAGTATAAATAATAATTGTTGATATTTATTACTGTGTGTGAAATACCTGACTAATTAGGATTAAATCTTTAGAAATTTGTGATTGTATCAATAACAGTTTTAAAATACTGGTGATTCCTCTGACTCTTGTAGTGTATAACGGCAAAAGTGAGTGTTTCTCCTCGTCAAGATATTTTTTGTGATCCTACTCCTTAATGTTGTTTTATCAGTTTTTTTTTTTATAAAATTTTAACAGATGGTTATCTTTTTGGTTTGAATTTTTTATAGATCAGTAATGCAGTATGATCATGAAAATATCTTTAAATGTTTGTGTTGTTTTGAAGTAACCACTCAAAGCACATCTAAGATGCTGGGTGTAGTGATTAGAATTCTAACTTTTGTGTATTTTGAGCCAGAACCTCTTTGATACGTATAATGTATATGAGCCCTGCCTTATTTACTGTTGTAGTTTTAGATGGTGAGTAATGTTTTCTTTAAGTTTCACATATATTTGCAGAGTCTTTAACATAAAACTTTCCACTCCCAAGATTGTTAGGCAAGTCAGTGAAACTAGAGAGATGTTTAAGATAGACCTAATTAATATTAGATAGAGGCTATCCTTAGGTCAGAGTGATTCTTAAATAGATTATAAGCTTTGATAGGGTAGTGCATGAAGGGGGAATGTTATATAAGAAAGTTACAAATAAGATATTTTTATAGAGACGGTGAAATATTTCCATGGCAACTTGTTAATATGTCAAAATATAATGAGGTGTTGTGAAATACACAATTCCAACTATTACCATGTTGGTAGTCGATACTACATGCAGAACATGTTTCTGTTGCCATGAAAATGTTAATTCAGACTTGTGTATAAGCAGAAGAAATGTTAATGTTTAATATAAATCACCAGATCCCAAATGTTAATAGAATGTGAAATAACATGCAATCAAATTCAGTTAACTACCATGTGGCTTAGAAGTCATTTACATATACATGTATTCAAGTATCTCAGTTTATAGCAAATAAGTTGTCTGGTAATTTTAAACTCTTGAACACTAGCGTTTCAATCGTTATAATTATCATTAAATGCTGAAAAACAATTATCCTGACATCAAATGGAATTGCATCAATGGGTAATGTCAATAAATATTGACAATTTGTTAAACATTGATGTCATAATGAAGGTTGTGTTGGAGTTAACAGGTATTTTATAGGAATATGAGACCAAGGCGGGTTGGGGTGGTTGGGAATCCCTCAGATATTTGTTGATTGATCAAAAGCAATTAAATTAGACAAGTAAAGGTAAAATCTTGTTTACTTACATTTACAATGCAGCCACTTTCCCTGTAAGATTTAACAAAGATTTACTCTATAAAATGAAAGCAATGTTAAGCAAGATAATTAACTATTCTGTAGCCTATCATATCTTGGGAGACTAATTTAGTGAGCTAATGAAATCATGTGATTACACTATAAAGATGACTTCCTAGTCCTGTAATCTAAAGCTCCTATCTTCTATCTTCACAACTCCTACATTTTATCCAAACATCATTTACAATAATGACTCCGCCATTGTACACGTCAGGGCATGCTCTTCACTCCAAATCTGATAAGAAGAGCAGGCTTTGCGTTTTATTGTAGTTCTGCTTTGTCATTATTAAGCCTTGGTTTCCAGTTTCACGCTTATAACTGTTGTCTGGCAGCTTCCTTGTTTTGTACACTGCATGCATGAACATGTAAAATGGACCCTATCACTTCATGTGTTTGCATTGCACTAAAACTTGTCCAAATTCCTTGGATTTTAGAATTACCATATATAGTATTTAAGAATGCCAGGGTTCATTTGTATCTTATCATATTGTCCTCTACTCATGATTGTATGAAACATGTATTAGATCAATCCCATTTGAACAGTGGTTATTTGAAGTGATAAACTATTTGACCTTATCATTCATTGATCTGTATCTCAGGTCTAAGTTCTACTTTTGTAAGGGTAGATATTTATGTACCATCCAAGCAATAATATATAGGAGGGTTAACAACATGATACTGATAAAAGTAATATAGGAAATGTTTGTCTTTCAATTAGCTTAGGAATGGTGTCTTTCGGACATTTGGGGAGGATAGTGTCACATGCTAAATTTGGGCGCCCTGCTGATGTCTGAATGTATTGCTAGTTATTTCTAGCATTGACTTTGTACTATTGTGCCTATATTGTTTACATTGACACAACTGTGTTATTATTAGCTTATACAATGTAGCACTGTGTTACTATGGTACTATTTCATGTGTACTGTAAAAAATCAATATTGTCACCAATGGTATACTGTATATCCAAAGAATAGAAAAAAAGGTTTTGTGTGAACATATTTGTTTGACATGTGTATGACGTATCCAAAGTATGTAAATGCTTAACGATACCAGTTATAGCGATTATTAAAACTTGAAATTGAAGCCTCAACTATCATTTATAATGATAAATACAGTTGTATGAGTAGTACAGATGTGACTGGTTTTACTTTGACATTTCCTCTTTTTCCTTGACAGGTCAGACTCCAATGTTTCCACCATATACCCCACTCCAGCCATTACAGCCAGAAGCAGGATTTGGGGAAAGTCAGTAAAAACTCCATAACAACTTTTTATTTTTTCATGGTTTTATCAATTAAATTTACCATAAATTATTAAAAGTAAATAGCTTTCACTTTATTTGATTACATGAAGATTAGGAAAATTGGTTTCATTTTATTTGCCAACATAACCACGCAGAAAAGTGGTTGATTAAGCTCATCAAAGTGGTCTGGTACTAAAATAGCATCTTGATCCAGTTCAGATCACAATAACATCATCAACCTTACTTGTATGATTCTTAGTATACATTTTGTTGATCAGACTAAAAAGTCTTCATATCATGTTACCTGTTGTCAAAGTCTAAAACTGCCAGCAGCCTCTCTAACCCATTGTTTATAGCTGCCAAGTCTGAATGTACAAATATATTTATATACATGTATGTGTTTAAAATCTTGTTTGTGCAATTAACTTTGTAAGATTGAAAGACATTTTTCCTTTGTTTAACCATTTTCCTCTCTATGGACAATTAGTTTAGGAGGAATAAATGTTATTGATTGTCTATATAATTATCATTACCACTGTGTTAACAGATCCACCTGTTCCACCTATTCCACCTGTGACTGGCACACCCCCGGACGGTTCAGCACCGGTTCCTCGTCTCGCAGACTTTGTCTGTCCCCCACGACCTAACCATGGCACAGATGGCAAACCAATCTTGCTCAAAGCTAATCACTTTCAGGTCCGCATCCCAAAGGGCTTCATACACCACTACGACATCTCCATAACTCCCGACAAATGTCCTCGAAGAGTGAACAGGTAAGAAAGTGGAGGTTCTGTTCATTTGAGAATACAATTGTGTGTCTTGAGATGAAGCCGAAACAAATTACTTCAGAATAAGCAGAGAAAGCCTAATTGTGTCTTATGAATTTCCTGAAAAATATTTTTTTTTTATTTAAGCTTTTTGTTAAACTGCAAAAAACTTTTGAACAAAATAGAAAACCAGACTTCACATTATTATTTCTGATATCTTCTGTGTCTTGTTAATGCCATGATTTTAGCTTTTTCGTTTCATTAGAGATTTTGATATAAGATAATATATCTTGACGGAGTTGAGGTGAAGATTGTTTAAAGTCAAAGTCACTGTTACTATCCATTGAAAATCAGCTAATTCAGGGGAACTTTGGTTATTTTCATTTCTTACAAGATTTAGACCAAACAAGCAGGAGAAAAAATCAACGGAGTTCTTGCTTCAGGGTTCCAAGTTCAAGGTTACTATTACACAATGTAGAAAATTACCACCCACTTATGATTCTTCATCTCTTTGAGATGTTCTGATCAATTTTAGACATGAGAAAACCGTGAATGATTTAGTGTTTGAGAGGTTCTAAGATCACCATCATACCATGTATGTGGGCTAACTGGCATTTTGTCAAAACAGAAATAAACAAGTTTACTTATCTGTCTTCATATTCATATTTAGTAGGGAATAGGAATGCTTAATAATGATTTTTAGAAGAACTCTTAAAGAGGTTGTGACTCTGGGAAATTCTTATTAGAAAAATATCTTTGGCAATAAAATTTTTATTGTTGAAGAAGGGAGTCATTTTATATGTTATATACAGGTTTACAGGCTTATTCATGTTCATTGTATTTGAAGGTTGGAAGTCTGAAGACCCAGTCTGACAAATCTGGACTAAGAGCATTGTTAAACATTTGTTAGAAACACACTTTGTGTTTTTCAACAAGGATAATGTTTCTTGTTAGAGGTTATATTTTGTGAACTTCAGAGTTCAAAATGTCTTATTTTGTCATGATGGCAAATAAACAATGATACATATTTTTATTATAGGGAAATCATCGAAACCATGGTCAACTCATACAGTCAGAAAATTTTTCAAGGACAGAAACCAGTGTTTGACGGCAGAAAGAACTTGTACAGTCGTGAGCCACTTCCTATTGGAAGGGAAAAGGTGAAAAAAATTCTTTAATTGAAAACAATTGTTTATGCTAATGTTATCTAGCACATGCAGGTTTAAGGCAATTTGAAAATATATTGTACTTGTTTTAATAACTTGTTCAAGATCCAAAGCAAGTTGGAAAAGTATAAAAGTATAAAAAAAAAAAAACAGAAGGTTCTGCTTGAATTGATATCAATCTATTTTCATGGTTGAATTAAATACTAGTTTTCGAATATTTTGGTTTATGCTGTAAGCTGCTGGCAGTGCCTGCTTTATGTTATATTAATCCTGTATGTTTCCAATATTGATTGATATTTTCTAATCAGCCCTGTCTATAATGATTGTTCTTCAACCATGTTGACTTAGAAAAGTCAGCTCTCAACTAATCAATTATATTGCTTTACAGAAATAGTGATTAAGCAAACAGAATCACATGATTTTTATTTGGCCTATTTTGCAATAATTTGAGTAGGTCAGGGTTTTATTGAAGTCTTAATGACAAGGTTGGGAGTTTTTTTTGTCTTTTTTTTTTTTTTTGCAGAATTTTGAACTTTCTATACTTTGATGTTTGAGAATTTTTTTGAGGAAATACTGGTGACTCTCCTTATGAGTTTGAGGGAAAATGTTGTTATTTTCTCCAAAACCTACACTTACATCACAAAATTGCTTTTCAATTAGAAATGGCAACATCAAACATTTTCTATCAAATGAAAACCAATACAGGACTTGATAGCTCTTGTAATGGGAAAGTGTATGATTATGTTTGTGGCTTTAGCAGTAAACTTTCAGAATACATTGAACTATTGTTTTAAGCACTATGTATTTTCTGTCCTGTGAATCTGGTTATCGGTCTAAACTTCATTGAAAACTGACTCAGCTATTGAATCAGGTCTGTTGACTTTACATGAACTGGCTTTGCTTTGATTTGTTAAGATATAAAACATCACAGAAGTAAGAATTAAGTTATGAAGTAGTTGATATCACACTTTTGCCTATGATATCATTAGGATGTCCCAACATCCTCTCTTGATATCCCTTTCAATTAAGATCCAAGGCTAATGTTATGTTTGTGGAAAATTGAAAGGAAAAAATCATAGACATTTGATCCTCTTTTCTTTTTTAAATTACTTTTCCAGGCATAAGTATGTAATTTTAGTTAGTGTAAATCACTTAAATTTCAGACATATTCGTGAATACAGTATATCATGAACAATGATCTAGAAGTGACTTTAAAATCGCAAATCTTGGGCTATTACAGACATGGTCTCTGCAAGACTCCAATATTGGTAACTGAGCAAAAATGAGTGTCTTTCAGAGTGTTTTTTGTACAAATAATTGTGAGGGATTTGAATTTGCGATTGACTCTACCCGCAGATAATCGCGAAAATAAATCCCCCGTGTAATAGTGATTGACATTATTTTTATTGTACCTTTGTATGAAAAAGGAAGGGGCTCAAGAACTATTATAAACAGAGCACCGGCCCATTGTGCATTTTGCATTACATTTTATGGCACTTACCTCAAACTGCAGTTTTTTCCAAATTTTGTACAAACCTCATACAACAGTAGCAACACATGTACATCAGTAGAGAGTTGGGTCTCATTGTAAGTGGACTTACATACAAATACCAAATTTTATATGTAAGTCTCTTTAGGGATGATGTAATGTCACATTTCAAAAGTTTATGATATGACTCACTGAACTGTACATGCAGTGTTTAATGTTTCTTTGAGGCTGAAGGCTGACAGGATTTAGAAATTTATAAGTTGCTTGCTAAAATAATGATGCATACAACCTCTCCCACAAAATGATGGTCTGGTTGGATTATTAGTAAGTAGATACACTGCCTGAGCATGTATGAATTTTACTACATAATCACGCTGCTGCTATTGTAATTGGCTGTATACTGTTTCAATAACCTGTTGTACTGTTCTGAGTATAACTATTCAAAACCGTCTTAGTTTCTGTAGTTATTATATTTATTTTGGCATTCTTTAATATGCTTTTTTATTGCAGTGAAGGTGAGATTGAAATATGGGAAACAAAATATAAGTGCTTTTGTTGAGATGTTTATGCTGATTGCATTGACAGGTGGAGTTAGAAGTAACTCTGCCCGGTGAGGGCAAAGATAGGGTTTTCAAAGTTGCTATAAAGTGGGTAGCACAAGTCAGCCTCTATACACTGGAGGAGGCTCTTGAAGGACGTTCACGACAAATGCCTTTTGAGGCGATTCAGGCTCTAGATGTCGTAATGAGGCACCTGCCAAGCATGACGTAAGTATTCTCAACCTGGTGGTCAGTTGAGCAGGGACCGGTCTAGCCTTGCCGCCAGCCTATCGTATGTGCCTGCCTGACCATTTCATGTGCATACATACCCTCTGACAGTGTCTTGTCTTGCCTCGGAGCTGTCTAGCATTAACATTGTGTATTGTGTGTTGTTATTAGTAACCTAGAGACTTTTAACATCTTTTCATGTTGTCGCATGTTTGTATTTGTCCATCATGTGGTAATTTTATGAATAATGTGGAGAAAGATGAAGAAATGATTGAAAACTTGAAAACCAATAGATGTCTGATTGAAATTTGTCAAAATCTGTAATGAATTATTTAGCTAGCTTGGTATTAATTGCATGGTTGCTATTGTGAATTGAACAGCATCATATGTAATTTCTTTTTTTTTTTTTTCTTTTTTTTGTTTTTTTGGTTTTTTTTTTGGAAAAAAAATATGTGATGGACAAAACCCATGTGTCAAGATGAGACATATGTTTGTAGTGTGTACTTACCTAGTATTAACATCAAAGGTTTGGACAATATCTGGGTCTGGCTCGCCCCGCCCCGTGGATTTATGCCTCAGGAGACTATCCCAGGGTGCCATCATTGACCTGACCCTTGAGAGGGACTAAGCAAGGACTGGCCCCCTGTGTCTGGATGTGGCATAGTTTAGTACTAACATGGAGTGGCCGGTTTTGTCTATTGTTAACAGGTCGAGTTGCAAGTAACATTACCGGGAGAGGGCAAAGATAGAGAATTTAACGTAGTCATCAAATGGCAGGCACAAGTGAGCTTGTTTGCTCTTGAAGAGTCGTTAGCGGGGCGTATACACCAGGTTCCCACTGACGCAACCCAGGCACTAGACGTCATATTACGTCATCTTCCCAGCATGACGTGAGTATAGAATGAACCTGAAACAAGGAACAAACATTTCAGGCAACAAGAGGTTATAAATTTGAACTTTTGAATGAAAGAGGGAGAAAAAAAAAGAGATCTATATATATTTCACTTTGTATATTAGGTGTACCAATCCTGTTTATATTGGTAAGTGATCGATCCTGAGAACAAAGACAAAGCTCTTTGAGGCCACATTCTGTTTTGATGAAGTTTCAACTCTTCAAAAAAAATTTGTTTACTTGAAATTTTGCAAGTAAAATGTTCATATATTGTTTCATGAAATTTAAATGCATTTGTTATGCAGATTTTTCTTGTGGTTTACTGCCGTTATCTCCCCTTAGATTTCACAATATCTAGCTCCCCTAGATTAATTCTTTTTGCTGTTAGAAGTATTTCATGGCTAACATTCTCATTCACTCTTGTCACTGTCACAGTGAAAATGCTCACACATACAAACTGTATAAGCACCCATTCACTATTTTCTCCATTGTCATTTTTGTATATTATTCTACCATCAGCAAATGCTGTGTTTACTTTGATGTTTAGTAGAATTCTAAACCTATGTTTCACATAAGACCATTTCTACATCATGCATGGTGGCATCCTTTAATATCACCCAGATCTTAATTGCTTGCTTACATTTTTTTTTTTTTTAATTTTCCTATATAATTTTTCAAATCTTCAAGGCATTTCAGTGCTTCATTCATCTTGCAGTTTGTTTTTTTATGAAAGGTGAAACGGAAATTTTTTCAAACGTTCTGATTGGAACAAGAACTGCTTTGTTTGCAATCACAATGACTTCACTAAAACTGGAAATATTTTGATCAATTTTCGAGTCACATGTAAACGATAAGAAACCCAGCTTCTGTTTAAAGGCTCATATTAAAATTATCAATTAGAGTTTGCACTATGAAAAGTATTGATTTCTCTGTTGCTAAATATTTCATGCATGCATGTTGTATTCTGTCATTAAGCTAGAGATGAAAGGTCAGTACTTGGTCAATGCAGATCAAATTGATTTCTAAAAACAAAAAAAAATCAGTTTTTAAATATCTTGGCAAATTAACAGTTCAGAATATTCCCCTGCTAAACTAAGTGTGACCTTTCATCTCTATTTGTAATACGTGGTCATTTCGTGCCATTTGTTCATGTTGTCTTGTCTTCATTTCACTGAACTAAGGGGAAATAAAGCATTCAATTTACTACGACAATAACTAAATGACTTCTTAAATTTTCAAAAAAGGAATATGGTTGTTAGGCATATTGAAGGTATGCAGCACACAAAAGAAATAACAGATGAATCTACATATTTTTTCATCACAAAAAGTTCTAAAATTAATGGTAAGAACAAAGCTACTTTTAGCTTACTCATTTCCATCATGTGATTTAGGGCTTGAACCAGTTTTCCAAGTGATTGAGTACTGGCCCATTTGTGGCCTAATGAGAAGAAGAATTGGTCTGATTTCAATGCATAGAGAGTTCAAAGTGTTTTAGACTGTAACACTGAAAGACACTCTTAAGTGTAGTAATAATAAGTACCTCCAGTTGGTTGTGTCTGCAGCAGTACACATGACACTGATCTGCAGCAGTAACACATGGCAATGATCTGCAGCAGTAACACATGGCACTGATCTGCAGCAGTAACATGTGGCACTGATCTGCAGCAGTAACACATGGCACTGATCTGCAGCAGTAACACGTGGCACTGATCTGCAGCAGTAACACGTGGCAAAGATCTGCAGCAGTAACACGTGGCAAAGATCTGCAGCAGTAACACGTGGCACTGATCTGCAGCAGTAACACATGACACTGATCTGCAGCAGTAACACATGGCAATGATCTGCAGCAGTAACACATGGCACTGATCTGCAGCAGTAACACGTGGCACTGATCTGCAGCAGTAACACATGGCACTGATCTGCAGCAGTAACACGTGGCAAAGATCTGCAGCAGTAACACGTGGCACTGATCTGCAGCAGTAACACATGGCAATGATCTGCAGCAGTAACATGTGGCACTGATCTGCAGCAGTAACACATGGCACTGATCTGCAGCAGTAACACATGGCACTGATCTGCAGCAGTAACACATGGCAATGATCTGCAGCAGTAACACATGGCAAAGATCTGCAGCAGTAACACATGACACTGATCTGCAGCAGTAACACATGGCACTGATCTGCAGCAGTAACACATGGCAAAGATCTGCAGCAGTAACACATGACACTGATCTGCAGCAGTAACACATGGCAATGATCTGCAGCAGTAACACATGGCAATGATCTGCAGCAGTAACATGTGGCACTGATCTGCAGCAGTAACACATGGCACTGATCTGCAGCAGTAACACATGACACTGATCTGGAGCAGTAACACATGGCACTGATCTGCAGCAGTAACACATGACACTGATTTGCAGCAGTAACACATGACACTGATCTGCAGCAGTAACACATGGCACTGTCTTCATTACCGTCAGACTTTTTGACTTAAATATAAGATAGTGTCAATAACTTTTGTTTAACATATAATAAACCTCAATCTCTCTCTTTATTTGACCTAATAACTAGACAGATCTGTCTTGCATTTACTTCAAGGACATTTTAATGCTGAAAATAAATAATAAAGCAACCTTGTTATAGTGAATCTGTAGAATTTTCCCAATGTTTAATGTCTTGTTTGGTTCAGGGGTCTCCTTGTCTTAAGCAAGTGCTTTGAAATAGTTGAAACTTCAGCTTTATAGATAGTATAGCTTGGTACCTGATGGCTTCTGGTAGTGGAAGCCTTGTAGTGATTAACACAGGGTTGCTAGGAGAGATTGCCAATTTCATTGAAAGGTTGACTGGTTGTCAAACAGTGTAGGAAGCTGACAAGTCTCCAGGATTAACAGGATGTTTAACTCTTCCTTGTACTATAATATTATATGTGTAACTATAGTGTCTACTTTACTAATACTGTAGTTTCTATAAATATATATATACTTTATATATCTCTGCTTTCTGTTGTGAAATACTCCTACACTCTATTATCACGTATCCCAATATTTGAGCATGGTTTAAATCTAATCCTCATACACCGGGAATGGAATAAAGTCACAATATTATTTTTTCATTTGTGATCAGTGTTCAGTTCTTTTGATTTACAGCACCAATTGAACTGTGACAAACTATTGACATGTTTTGTGCTGAAAATATTGTGAAATTCTCCGGATTTGCTGTATCATAATAGGGAATCCCATTCACTTTCTCTAAAACCCAGAAATATAGAATTAATGACCTAGAATTGTCCCTGTAAAGTCTGATGAAGTATATTTAAGCATGTATGTCTAACAACAGTCTATCTCTAACATACATGTAACACACATACTAATGGTGTTCCTGACATTAGTATTGCAAAATTTTATGGTTCATCCACCTGTGTGTCCTGTTTATACAGACAAGATACACTTCCACAACTTGATGCTGGCTTGGATTGCTTTTAAGGTCAAGATTTACTATTACTATAATTATAAAACAGGGCCAAAGTTTTTGATGGGCTATTTACACTGAATAGAATATGCTGCTTTCTGAGTTTGTCATGTCATCCTAACATTATTACTTAATTTCACACTTACTTGAGTTTCCATGGATCGGTCTTTTTAGATGTGAGGGTCAAAAAGACACAATTTCTTTTCCTGCAATTAGTAGAAATTTGATTCCCATGAGCTGATAAAAATCAATTCTTATTCATTGTTTCTTCCAGAAAATGCTGGCATGGCATCGATTTTCAGATTCAAAGATTGAAGTAATTCTATTTAGATAAATGGCCAAATGGTATTTTCAGAATATCTTACACTAACTTCCTCTACCAAAAGTTCTCTGGCTTGGATTTTCAGATCTGAATGTCCTAAATTGAAGTTAAAATGCAATAGCTTTCCAGGTTCAAAGGTCAGAGGTCAAAACATTGCATCTTGACTTTAATTGATAAGAGGGAATTTCAATTGCCCTGTGATATACATATTCTAAATATTGTAATTTAAGGAATATGCTTATATATAGAATAATTTCTAGTTGAAATTTGGGTATTATTGGGTCAGAGTTAGTCGACTTCATAATCTCAGTGATTTCTTAGAGTGTTACTGGGATGATATATCATCAGTGAGACTTATGTGGGTGTGATTTATATTTGGCTAGCTACACACCAGTGGGTCGATCCTTTTTCTCCCCACCGGAGGGGTATGACCATCCCCTAGGAGGCGGTAGAGAGGTGTGGTTTGGTTTTCATCAAAGTGTCCGCCCATCTCACTGGAAAATGATGCTCAACATTGATGGTAATGTACAATAATTGTAGTTTCACCAATGTCCTTTTTATCTACTAACTTTTTGAATTACCTTGGTATTATTATTTCAAATATTTAATATTATCAAATTGCCTTACTTTTGACAAAATATTTTATATTGATTATCTTGTTGCCATCATGTTAAGTAAAACATCAGTAAATAAGTATTCAACCCAGATGTTAGGATTGTATATTTTTTTTCTTAAAATAATGCATGTATTGTATCTTTGTGTAGCTGAAATTTTAACAAAATTTTGTTTGTGTATTTCAGTGTCTGCTACAGCATTTTATAAGGCTCAGCCTGTTATTGAATTCCTATGTGAAGTTTTGGATATCAAGGATATAAGCGAACAGAAGCGACCGCTGACGGACTCGCAAAGAGTCAAGTTCACAAAGGAAATAAAAGGTAAATCATTTGTAACACTTGACGTTGAGTTGAAGAGAAGTTTTTCAAAAATTGAGAAATGACTGCTTTGGCCTCTTCATTGTTTGAATATTTTTTTCTGCTTTAAATATGACTTATACTGCTGTGGTATTGTACAGTTTGTTACTCATACACTTAAAGGCTTTAACCAGAAGTTTGTGTTTCTGCTTTGTATCATTTCCACCTATAGGTTTTAACGAGGAGTTGGTGTCTCTGCTTTGTATCATTTCCACCTATAGGTTTTAACTAGGAGTTGGTGTCTCTGCTTTGTATCATTTCCACCTATAGGTTTTAACTAGGAGTTGGTGTCTCTGCTTTGTATCATTTCCACCTATAGGTATTAACTAGGAGTTTGTGTTTCTGCTTTGTATCATTTCTACCTATAGTATTAACTAGGAGTTGGTGTCTCTGCTTTGTATCATTTCTACCTAAAGGTTTTAACTAGGAGTTGGTGTCTCTGCTTTGTATCATTTCCACCTATAGGTATTAACTAGGAGTTGGTGTCTCTGCTTTGTATCATTTCTACCTATAGTATTAACTAGGAGTTGGTGTCTCTGCTTTGTATCATTTCTACCTATAAGTTTTAACTAGGAGTTTGTGTCTGTGCTCTGTATCATTTCCACCTATAGGTTTTAACTAGGAGTTGGTGTCTCTGCTTTGTATCATTTCCACCTATAGATTTTAACTAGGAGTTTGTGTTTCTGCTCTGTATTATTTCTACCTATAGGTTTTAACCAGAAGTTTGTATCTCTGTCTTGCCAATCACATTACTAGTTCAGATTACAAATAAGAGTTATACAGACCCAAGCTCTGTTTAGCTTACCTGGTCTTGGAAGGATTTTTTTTCGGAGAATCACGACTAGTCATAACAACTGAGCAGATTTTGATCAAATTTGGTCAAAAGCACCCTTTTTTGAAGGGGATCCGATGGTTTGTCAAGGCAATTGGGGCCCTGATGGACATGACCCAAAATGGGAAATTTTGCAAATTCTGAAAAATTCTTCTTAAGTGGGATTGCAAGGTTTTGTCCTAATTTGTTCTGAAGCAAAGGATTAAAGGGTCTCCGTTTAGTTTTATGCTTTAAAATTCCTTAAAATTTCAAAAATTTGAGGAAAATTTAAAAATGTATGAAATTATGTTTTCATATGTTAGTGATACAAGCTCTATGAGCCTCCTGATTGTTTTACTGTTTATGTTATTGATATTCTGAATTAATAGCCAGTGTTGTCTTGTTACAGGACTTAAAGTAGAAATCACCCATTGTGGAACAATGAAGAGAAAATACAGAGTGTGTAACGTAACACGAAGGCCAGCACAAACTCAGTCGTAAGTGCACAAATCCAGTATACAACCGTTGTTAATACAGTACAACAGTAGTACTATTCTGGACACTTCAACTTAGAACTTATATTCTTGATATATTTTCTTTCTTTTCCATTTGAAATTAGTTTTACCAAGATTTTCATGAAAGGATGAATTTATAACGAGAAGTCAAATCTAGCTGAAGATTTCATGTCTATAGAAACATCTTTTATTTTACCTTCCATTCAGTGTTTGTCTGTCATTAAATGACCATAGATGTTTCTAGGACATTTAAGAATATAAAACCAGACCTCCTTATCTCACATACATTGGGTGGCTATCATTAAATGGCCTTCACTGTTGATATGGCATTAGAAAATACAAAATCGAAGCTACTTGCCTCACACACACTGGGAGACCTTCTTCAAACGACCATAGCTGCTAATAGGACGTTAAACAATGTAAAACCAGTCCTTGCCTTACATACATTGGGAGGCCATCCTTAAATAACCTTTGCTTTTGATAGGACATTAAAGAGTATAAAACCAGACCACCTCACTTCACATAGGTAGCCCTTACATAAATGAACCTAGCTGTTGATAGGATGTTAAAACAATTGAAAGTGTATTTATATTGATATTGTCTGATTCATTTGTTAGTATTGTATGTTACAAGGTACTCTAAAAATTCATTTACATTTTAAGAAACACTCAACTATGTAGCATAAGTGTATTTCCTTGCTTGGAGATCGTACAACTCAGAGAAAAAAAGCCATTCTCGTAAGATTTTATGTCGGAACTTAATGTTTCTTTGTTGAGAAGACATTGTAGAGAAGATTTCTTTATTGTATTGGATGTCAATGTTTGTTGCCAGGTTTCCTCTACAGTTAGATTCTGGTCAGACAGTTGAATGTACAGTTGCCAGATACTTCCTGGAAAGATACAAGATGAAACTCATGTAAGTATTGTAGAAGATGGAGCACCATGACAGAAATTCAGAATTTAAATAATTTTTTACAGTAGCTTGAACTAAAGTTTAACATATTTCTACTGTATAACTAACTTGTTCTACGGAAAATCTTGCGATACATTCTTTGGGTGATATCATGAATTCGGTAATTGATGAATTAGTTTTCCAAACTGATCAATACTGTACAGTTAACAGAAATACTAGCTTAAAGATTATGTGGTTTGTACAGGTACCCTCATTTACCGTGTCTTCAAGTGGGACAAGAACAGAAACATACATATTTACCATTGGAGGTAAGTAAATGACAGACAACTAACATCAAGTTTATTACTGTAAAAACCCATGTAATGTCCGCTTTTTTTTCACCAAAAATTAATCCAAAAAAGGGGCTATAGAGGAAATGACACTTTTTTCCTTCCGACAATCCAGATCATATCTCCTTGATCTTGAATTGTGTTCTTAAAAGCCAAACATATATGATATTATCATTATATGGTTTTCCTATGATGTTTCCTCAACCAAACATGATTATTTATGATAGTTTTAGTGGTTAATTCCTTCCATTTTCTCGTTGCAGCTTCGTACTGTGTCATCCTTCGTAATAGGAAGCTATTTTGTTTGACTTTGTCACATGAATAAAGTTAGAGTTATTCCCCTTTCCCCCATTGAAAACACATTAGGTCTTCAGTAAAGCAAGGCAAATAATATGTTTCCTTTTCCCTCAAGTTTGTTTTCTTTTCCATACCGTTTTAATCCCGTTTCTCGAAACCCCAGAAGCCCTCATCATCGTTGTGTACAGTTTTCCCGTATTATTTATTTACAATGTTGGCTTGGACGTGGGCGGGTCATGTTATTGTATAGTTATCGTTGATTGGCTAATCACACGCCGTCACTCACTCAATCGTACTTAAGGTGAGGAGACGACCCAAGCTGTTTATACCATTGCTGGGCCAACCCTTATCAAAACACCAATTATCGAAATGAGGACTTGTCATACCAGTAGGCTTACTGTACCATTATGGAGAATAACTGTTTTTATAAACAATTAAGTGAATTCTTGAATGTTACCTGTATGTTATACACAGTGCGACATGCTTTCAGCCATTACGGCATAAGCTTACATGAAATGAATTTTCCTGACTTTGTTTTCCCACCAACATCGGTAAAATTTCCTGTATATCAACACAATTACCTAGCAAATTTTCTGGTAATATTTCATATTTTATGAGTGGTCGTTGATTATTATCAAACGTGAACATAACTGCTGCTATTTTCTTGTTTATTCCTACCATATAATGCTGCTGTAATTCTTTTTCAATGTGACCTTCCTGTGTAGCTCAGGTTAAGTACTTTGTGGGGCCCTTTCTGACATGTCAGAATATGAGTTAAAGTCAGATGTACTGTAGGGGTCTTTCTTATCTATCAATTCTGAAAATAATCAGTAGCAACATTTCTATGTTCCCCAAAGGAGAGCATATAGTCGCTGCCTTTGTCCGTCTGTCATAATTTTGTTTGAAGCATAACAAAAAACTACATAGGTATCCACATATAAATTCATAGGTAGATAGATCTTGATGAGAAGAAGTGCAGTTGAATTTAAATTTTAGCCATTTGGAGAGCATAACCTGTCTCAGACGGCCCTTGTTTCCCTATAAATGATAATTATAGGAGTTTGAAGATTGAAACCTTTCCTACATTTTGCTTACTTGTATATAGCTATTATTTCCATGTTGTAAACTGAAGACTGCAATTCTGCTTTCCTGTATTAACATATGGCATGGCTCCTGTATCTGACTTGTATGGCATGTAGTATTACCCATGTTACTCCTGCCATGTCCTGTTCTGAATCATGTCATATATAGAGAACCTTACAATTATAGATTTAGTTCATATTTACCCCATAGTATCATAACATCAAGTTTTCCACCAAACATGTTAAGGACATTTTCAAGCAAGGTGAAATGTCTAAGGTCATATTTGAAATCTTCTGCAAATTTGTCCAATAATAATATGTATGTGACTTTGCAGAATGTTGATTGTTTATGCAGTCCTTCATTTGAATCTTTCTGTGTATTTGTAGGTGTGCAATGTTGTTGGTGGCCAGAGGTGTATCAAGAAGCTGACAGATATGCAGACCTCGACAATGATCAAGGTTTCTCAAATAAGTTGTCATCTCTATACAGCAGATCTCGGAGGCATACACACACTGAAGGGGAAGCAAGAATTGTTTTTCATCACGATTATGGCCACCAAATTTTTATACCTGTAGTGGATGTTACGGTTATTCTCTGCATTTTACACACACAGATTCTACTAAAAAGCAAATCATATTAGATTATTCACCGAAACATTGCTGAAGAGCAACAGTTGAGATTTCAAAACCCTGAAGTAAAGTTCTTTCTCTGAGTTTTTACTACGTATGGTAAAAAGGTGATTGGTGATATTGCACTGAACTGATTTCTATTATCATCGTTGTCCTGATGGCAGATAATGGGTATTTCTCTTTGTTGGCCTCATTTTTTTCTGTTTAGAAAATTTGTTCTCAGAAAATGTATTTAAGAAAAAAGAAAATACTTGGAGATGGACCTCAGTTTTGTTGTAGTATTAGGAAAAATTAGTTTAAAATTCTGTAAAATTCAGAATTGGAAGAAATGTTATTTGATTCTGAAGTGGAAATCTTTGGTCAAATGATATTGTTACCTCTGTAGATAAGGTGTTTTTCTTTGTTAGGAGGCATATTTCTATGTCTCCATGGTTTGATTGGGTGGAGGCATATTCTTATGTCTCGTCTTTCCTGTCGCTGTATATGGTTGAAACTTACTTGAGATTTCACTTTGGTCAACAAATGAAGTGTGCTTTTCATCTGGCTAGATTTACAAGTTTTTGCTAGAATATTGGAACATTCTCATATGTTTAAAACACTAAGTCTGTTCTATTGGATATAAGTTGTTTACTGATAGTTAAAAGAAACATTTTACTGTTTATTTGGTTCAATCATGTGATTATGATTTTATCAACAAGATATGGAGTTTCCTACTTAACAAGACACACTTCAGACTGAGGTCGTAAATCATTCTCTCATTTCATGCATTAGATAGTTAGTAACCGTGTGTTTAGGCTTTGCTTCTCCAATCTGTTTGGTTTGGCTTTCTGTTCTGCTTTGATTTCCATCTTTTTCCCCCCAAGTCGAATAGACAAGTAAAAAACTTCCTGCAATTTGATAAGTGGTGTGCACATTGAAAAACACCATAGTAGTTGTCAATGTTTTACAGATAAATCATTTTTCAATTTTTTCAATATAACGAATCAGATTTTATCTCTGCAGACAAATATTATACTAGAAAATACCTGCTATTGAACATGTTTATGATATTTTCAAATTTTCCAAGACTATGAATGTCCGAGCCCAGAAATTTTGTTGGAACACTAAAGTTGTGTGTTGTTCCCCAGGACATGTGTATGCCTGTGTGTTTGCTGCTATGACATTTTGAAATTATGAGTTGAAACAAGATCAAGCCTTTTGTCCATTTGATTGTCTTTACAAGTTCAGAAGGATTGATCATGTTTGAATGGAACAGCTGAGATGATTTTTAAAGCAAGTGATGGTGGTGAATTTGACAGACATTTTATTTACTTTGTTAAAACCTGCATTGTCTGTCGTTGAAGTTCTCAAGTCTGTTTTTTAATTTCTTTGTTGTATTTTTTTTTTTGATAAATTTTAGATTCCACTAAATGTGTTTATTCATAAGAAATGTCTGCACTGATGCACATAGCTGGATTTATTTTTTTAAAAAAAAAAAAAGAAAAAAAAGCAGTGACCTGTTCACTGTGATAGGAAATGTAACCAAAATATTTTATCTTGTTTGATATAGCTAGGTGTTTTGTTTTAAATCTTATTGATGTATCTGATGTTGTACGACAAATTTAGTAGCTAGCATGTAATAATTTACATTATGCAGTTCAATCTGATGTTGCTCATTGTTGAAAAACATTTTAAAAAATCGATATGAAGGATGAGATCAATCTTTTCCCTTCCATTCTGCTGATAGTTTAGGTTGATTAATCTTGGTAGGAGAGATTTTTTTACGTGGAAACATTGAAGTGCTGTTCACTATGATAATGTACAATTAACATAAATTTTAAGTACATTTCTAAAGATAAGTGCTGCATTCCTGTGGAAGCTGACGGTAACTTTAATGCAAGTGAATTGTTTTTTTAGGCCACAGCAAGGTCTGCCCCTGACAGAGAAAAGGAGATTAATAACCTTGTAAGTATAACCCATGTTTAGAAGTGGATAACATAGACTGTACGATAGGAATTGACAGGTTACCAGAACCACGGACTGGGAACAAGAATAAATCTCATGTTCTCCAAGAATCTTTGATACAAGAGAATAACAAATGAGATTTTAATTTTATTATGATAAAGTTACCCAATTGTTATAAATAGAAGTATATAGTTGTTAAACAGATTTGTTTTTCAAGATTCTTTTATATGGATGCCCAGTAACATTTGATAGCACTTCTGAAGAAGTTTCAACAAATCTGACTTTACATTCCGCAGGGCATTCATGTCTGTAATTGTCTAGTTTTGCTGTAATATTGATACAGTTTTGTCTGAATGGTAGTATGAAGCAAGCTCAAATAGCTGACTCACAGTCTGAGTCTTTTAGGTAGTATGAAGCAAGCTCAAATAGCTGACTCACAGTTTGAGTCTCTTACAAATGTAATTCATGGGAAAGGTAAGTTATTATGGACTAGTTGTCTATACTTGTAATACCATGGCAGCAAGTTATTAATGATGAAAGGATATCACATGAAATGTTTCAAAGTTTAAACATTATTTCAGTAACAAGTTTGTAGTGACTTCCTGTAATATATTTTGCATTTAATCAAAAAACTGTGTTTTAAAAAAGGGGAAAATGTTTTAAAAATTAGTGTATTAACTCTATTTTATGTTACTTGTTTCAAAATTAAATTGAAAATAATAGATTTTAATAAGTATGACTATGAGAAGAAAATCTCATGATTGAATGATAGACTGTTGCCTTGGTAGATTCTTGTATAACAATTATGTACTTTCCATGTTGATGACCTGTTGATCCATCGCTGCATACCATTAGGTACAAAAAGCTGATTTCAACCAAGATCCCTACCTGCAAACGTTCGGGATTAATGTCAACTACCAAATGACGGAGGTCAGGGGTCGCGTGCTGCCACCTCCACGGATAGAGTACGGCGGCAGGGTATGCGCCAATTCCTTCCTCTCACACTACAGCCATGTAATATCATGTCTGATTGTTCTTCTGGTTACAAGAATCCATACACAATACATTCTAAAATAATAAAATTTTGAAAAGTTTGAAAATTATCTTTGATGTGATGAGAATTCAAGAAATATTTCTTTAAAATTTCCATACAAAAGGAAAGATTTCTCAATCTGTTATCAGCATCTCTTGTGAAGAGATTTTTCTATCTTCATGACAGAGTTCTATGGATTCTTGAGACCATGTTTGTCTACAGAATGGAAGGCAATGTAAAATGGTGAATGCTCAAAAAATGGTCCATCTACCAAAAAGAACAAAAACAAAATCAGTTCAAGAGATTTAAAAACATGAAAAATTACATCAGTGTTTAAATTATTTCAAACTCCAAAGTTTCATTAGATATATAAGTAGATGTCAATATTTGTATTTAGCATTTGCATTGCTGCCCAGCCCCGGTACATCCATAGCAAGGTTTGGCATGGTGCCCATTACAGGGGCCTCCACAGGCACCAATACAAGTTGGCAAAGCCAACAGCACGTCACCTCCCGTGTGTGCTCTGGCCTTCCAGCAACAAAAAACAAATTGTTTGACTTTTTTTTTTCCTTGTACAACCCCGTCTGTTACCCCAGGTTCGCAAAGCCAATTTCAATGCCGACCCGTATCTGCAAATGTTTGGAATCAGCATTCAAACCCAGATGGCCGAGGTTCAGGGCAGAGTCTTGATGCCCCCAAAAATACAATATGGAGGAAGGGTAAGATAGAACTCAAAAATGTCACGTTCTCATTGATCAGATCATTGAAAGCAGCCATGATCATCCATTGTGTAATCTCACTGGCAAATCTCTGTGCCACTTCTGTCGGCTGCTGCCTCTAGTTTATTGTGTTGCCATGCCGTCAAATTGTCAAGGTCATTACCATTGCCAGGCAACCAATGTTGTCAAGAGTCATGGCATGGGAACAACCAATCAGAATGCCTCATTTCCACTGTTAAAAGCTTCCAACCTAATCTCACCTTCGATTGATGCTTTCCCAGTTGTATAGGGATGTTGAATTTTTAAGAGAATTTCAGTTTGTTTTTCTGCATCCAAATATACAGCGATACCTTGTCCTCCTCTTTGGTTTTCTTTTTTCGATGCTTGGTTGACCTATAGGTCAAAACATTATAATATTCTAAGTTTTTCATTTTTTTATTTCACATTTTCTCTTCATTTGCTCCTGCTTCACATCTTGGATGCTGATTTTTGTAGTATATGACCAGCTCTGTTTGCTTTTCAACATTGTGAATTTAATCCCGAGTCATTTGTTTCTTTCCGCAGGGAGGGTATTTTTTTATTGAACAGATAAAGAAATAAATGTGTCATGTTAAAAATGAAGAAGATAAAGTTTGGCTGAGCTGAGGTGAATTGGCTAAGTTTTCGCTGATATTTCTCTTATTTTTGGGAAGTGAGGAAATTGGGAACAAATTTTAATTATTTGTGTCAAAACTTCCTTCAGTGGACGGAAACCTTTGTGTTTGTGCTCTGGACATTATGCCCTGAAGGGATCAATCCCTAACAAAAAGTGTCTCATCAATCATAAAAATGATATTGAGTTGTGTAGAGAATCAGGAAATGAAGATAAGGGAGTTCAGTGTTGATAGCAAGCACTGTATCATCTGGAATAAAAAGGATAACTTCAGTATTAGAAGGAACAAGACTTGAAAGGTTATTTTTATAAAGGATCAAATCACTATGCTATTTTTTTACATTTGCATGAGAAATGTTTTTTTCTTTGCTCATCATGCCTGCATGTGAAAGTTGCTAGTGTTGTAACAGATAAAAAGTTTGGTTTCTGTTGAAGTGAAGCTTTGGCTTTACAAGTTAATATGTTGACAGAGAGATGATTTCGTTGGTAGGGTCATTGTTTTCATTTGATACGACAAATCCTTTATGAGATACAGAAAATGGAGTGTGAAGATGGATAGTCTTAGGTTAGTGTTAGGTTGATTCCCAACTTTGATAATTTTTGTGTCGGTATGGACTGGCTTATGTTGAAAAAAAAATGATTTTCAATTGAAATTGTGTCTTTAAAATGTTTTTTTTTTTTTTTTTTAATGTTTTTAAACATTTCAAGGACAGGATAAACAGTCCAATTTCAAATTTATCAAAAACAAAAAGTGTTAATTTGAAGAGAGAATAAATGGGGTAGAGTACAAGAAGAATGTTGTACAGTATTGTCTTGTTTATGTTTTAACCTCTAAATCTTTATTAATCCTGGATGTACCATGTACCAAACTCTTTCTGTGTGTAACAACTAATCTATAACCATTGTGACACTACCGGTTGGTCTGATTGACCATGCCTGTACTGTTGCAGGGTGGAAGGTAGTATAGAACTTATATATTAATTCATTTACACTATTATTATATGGAAAGAAGTATTAAGAATGTATTAATGTGTTATAAATTTAAGTAAAAAAGTAGATCTTTGTGAAAAGTTTTGAAGTAAGTACCAAAACTAAAAAGAATATGATGCCTTTATTATCAAATAGAATACAGTGAATAACCAAGAGAGGAAAAAAGGACTGTTCCTAAAGGAAATGTTCTTATTGAATTTTAAATGGTCAACATTTTCTTTTTCTTTTTTTTTTTTTGTTGAAAATAACCACAATAAAATCTGCCTTAACAAATGCCCTTGTTTATAGTGACCATTAACGCTATCAGAAAATCACAACTGTTTATAAAACCAGTCAGTTTAAGAAAATAAATCTTTCAATTGGAAGTATAATTTTCCAGTGAACAGGATTCAAATCTTTAAACTTTGATGTTTAAAAAACACCAATCAGTCACAGATATTTGTATATTGTAGGTGATTGTTGTATAGTACAGTTTCACATGTTTGCGTCTAGGCATAACCACCATACAAAATTATATCTGTACTTGCTTGTTATTTTAAATCTTAAACTTTCTGTGTTTTGATTATTTTTCTTTTATTCCCATAATAAGTTGCTCTTTTCAATATCATTTTTGTGCATTCATCACCATTTTTAGGTCACCTGAGACAAAGTCGCACGGTGACTTATTTTGATCCCCTTTTATCTGTCGTCGTGGCTAAAGGTATACCAAATTTGTAAATGATATAGTCCCTGTCTCTCAGGCATCTGAGGGGCAAGGCCAAAAGAGTCAAATTGACTGAAATTTAAAAACCATCTATACATAAATATAACAGAATTAAATACTTTGCATCAAGGATCCATTTTGGCTTTACCAAATTTGTAAATTTCATCACCCCAGTTGTAACTTCAGTAAAACTATATTGTTTTTCTAATTTACATTACACATCCATTCCAGTTGCTGCTGTTTGTGAGTTCACTCAGGTGACCGTTTGAGCGCCTGGGCTTCTTGTTAATTTAATGCTTGAGGTGCAATAGAAGGCCAATATATACTATGTATTGTATCACAGTCAGGTCAGGTGTAATGATTATGTACAGTTAAAATAATCGCTGTTTATTATGACATTCAGGTTTATCTATAAAATAATTATATACAGTTAATCACTGTTTATTATGACAGTCAGGTTTATAAATAATTATATACAGTTAATCACTGTTTATTCCAACAGTCAGGTTTATAAATAATTATATACAGTTAATCACTGTTTATTATGACAGTCAGTTTTATCAGTAAAATAATTATATACAGTTAATCACTGTTTATTCCGACAGTCAGGTTTATAAATAATTATATACAGTTAATCACTGTTTATTATGACAGTCAGGTTTATCAGTAAAATAATTATATACAGTTAATCACTGTTTATTCCGACAGTCAGGTTTATAAATAATTATATACAGTTCATCACTATTTATTCCAACAGTCAGGTTTATCAGTAAAATAATTATATACAGTTAATCACTGTTTATTCCAACAGTCAGGTTTATCAGTAAAATAATTATATACAGTTAAATCACTGTTTATTCCAACAGTCAGGTTTATAAATAATTATGTACAGTTAATCACTGTTTATTCCAACAGTCAGGTTTATCAGTAAAATAATTATATACAGTTAATCACTGTTTATTCCGACAGTCAGGTTTATAAATAATTATATACAGTTCATCACTATTTATTCCAACAGTCAGGTTTATAAATGATTATATACAGTTAATCACTGTTTATTCCAACAGTCAGGTTTATAAATAATTATAAACAGTTAATCACTGTTTATTCCAACAGTCAGGTTTATCAGTAAAATAATTATATACAGTTAATCACTGTTTATTCCAACAGTCAGGTTTATCAGTAAAACAATTATATACAGTTAATCACTGTTTATTCCGACAGTCAGGTTTATCAGTAAAATAATTATATACAGTTAATCACTGTTTATTCCAACAGTCAGGTTTATAAATAATTATATACAGTTAATCACTGTTTATTCCAACAGTCAGGTTTATAAATAATTATATACAGTTAATCACTGTTTATTCCGACAGTCAGGTTTATAAATAATTATATACAGTTAATCTTTGTTTATTATGACAGTCGGGTTTATCAGTAAAATAATTATATACAGTTAATCTTTGTTTATTATGACAGTCAGGTTTATCAGTAAAATAATTATATACAGTTAATCTTTGTTTATTATGACATTCAGGTTTATCAGTAAAATAATTATATACAGTTCATCACTGTTTATTCCAACAGTCAGGTTTATAAATAATTGTATACAGTTAATCACTGTTTATTCCGACAGTCAGGTTTATCAGTAAAATAATAATATACTATTAATCGCTGTTTATTATGACAGTCAGGTTTATCAGTAAAATAATTATATACAGTTAATCTTTGTTTATTATGACAGTCAGGTTTATCAGTAAAATAATTATGTACAGTTAATCACTGTTCTTTTGGAATCATTTCAGAAAGTATCTATTTACCTGGGAAAGGGTATTTATTGTAATCACAATAGGTAGAATGATAGCAGTGATTTGTAATGTGACCAGTTAATGATAAAGATTAAAAATTTTAACCTACAATGATATTTATTGCCTCTTTATCAACCACGTATTGTGGCCTTATGACTGTACACGTAGAAGTGGCAGTCAGGTACGTATTTTCGTAATGACTTGTATATTTATTGTGAAGCAGACAAAGGCCCAGGCTGTACCCAACCAGGGCGTATGGGACATGAGAGGCAAGCAGTTCTTCTCTGGTATAGAGATCCGTGTCTGGGCTATCGCCTGCTTTGCACCACAACGAACTGTCCGAGAGGACGCTCTCAGGTATCTGTTAGAGTAGATGTGATATGGTTTCTTTTTCAGCAATCTGTCTTCAGAAATGGACATTGATTTGCAGTGTTACTTCACTGTTAAGACACTTTGACATGATTTTGAAATAGTTGAGTTATAGGCTTTTTGAACCTCTGAAATGTTGATAAAAAATGTGAAAAATTGGTCAATTATTCATAAAAAAAAATGGCAGCCTTGACATGAAAAAATACACATAGCTACTTGTGATCATAGAGGGTTTTGAGGATTTTTTCTTTTATAGGACAGGTAATTTAGTAAACAGCAAGTAGTCAATTCATCATTTTTTTTTCTCTGTGTAGGAATTTCACCCAGCAGTTACAGAGGATTTCCAATGATGCAGGCATGCCAATTGTGGGACAGCCTTGTTTCTGTAAATATGCCACAGGGCCAGACCAGGTGGAACCCATGTTTAGATACCTGAAAAATACTTACCAGGGTCTGCAACTCATTGTTGTTGTCCTGCCAGGCAAAACACCCGTGTATGGTAAGTTGTTAGCAGATGGAAGGAGGTAAACAATTGCGTGGTATCCGAAGTTGATACTTCTGGCCTATCCCCTGGTGAAAGAAGATATACTGATGAATCATACTTTGTAAAGCTGGAAAATGTTCATCTTCATTAACATGATACTAAATATGTTCTGAAATGTTCTCTGGGTATGTTTATTAGGCTTTTCATCCAACTTCCTTACTTTGCTTAGACTTTTCATTGAGCACAATTTTTTTACTGTAAGGGGTTAAGTGGGCAGTGTTCTTGATAGAAACCTTACTTAGGAAGAACTTTATAATTTGGGAAATTTCCTCATGTATGTAATAGCTTACAGTTTATTAACTGATTGTGTTGCAGCTGAAGTGAAGAGAGTTGGAGACATCCTGTTTGGACTTGCCACTCAATGTGTCCAGGCTAAGAATGTGAACAAAACCACACCTCAGACTTTATCCAATCTGTGTCTCAAGATTAATGTCAAGCTCGGTGGTATCAACAACATTCTACTTCCCAGTATCCGGTAAGTGTTTCAACAAGTGGTCTTATAGATCTCTGACATCTGCGGTGTCAATATCCAATATACAGACTTAATGAAGATGCTGTAACAGATTGGATAATATATCATTTTAGTTCCCAAGGTCTAGTTATATTGTAGTCGTTACTATTTTGAGCTTTTGATCAGCTGTCACTATATCCAGACTGCAAAATAAAAATAATTGTACATACAAGATACTAAGATTTCAAAATGACATTGTAACCCATGAATGATGATAAGACCTATTGACATTGAGCATTTGAAGTGATAATGAGACATATTAACATTGAGCATTTGAAGTGTTGGATTTTGAATGTATTTGTCGTAACTCTGTTTCAGACCAAATGTATTCCGGGAGCCAGTCATTTTCCTGGGAGCTGATGTGACTCACCCACCTGCTGGGGACGCTAGTAAACCCTCTATTGCAGCTGTGAGTAAATAACACTTTACATTTTTTGTTCTCATAACAAAATTAAAGGAAATGAAAAATAAAGAGGTTATGTTGTCAGCACTCCTGATACTGAGTTACTTCTGCAGAGTACTTGATTTCATAATTATGGCAAAGTTTTCCCAATAGCTTGATGTGCCAGGACATAAACTTAGGTGTAATCTTGGAAATGGTTGAGATCCAAGCTAATACATATATTTACAATTGTTGTATATGAAGAGAAAAATATATTCTTGCTTAAAGGTAGTTGTGAATGTACTCAAATAATCAACTACATTAGAAATGGATTGGTTTACAAAAATCACATCTGTAATTATGTAATGATCCAAAAAAAAAAAACTAGAATTACTATGTAATGGTGTCTGGTTGTACAGGTTGTCGGCAGTATGGATGCCCATCCGAGTCGCTACTCCGCTACAGTTAGGGTGCAGCAACATCGTCAAGAGATTATACAAGAGCTCTCGACAATGGTGCGAGAGTTGCTCATCCACTTCTACAAGGCCACTAGATTTAAACCCACCCGTATTATCTTCTATAGAGATGGAGTCAGCGAGGGCCAGTTTGCACAGGTAAGGTAGAGAATGAAAACAAAGTGATTCCTGCTTCAGTACAGAATTGCAGTTTTTGTAAATTCTGGATACGGAAGTCTACAGCTATGGGAATCTCTTTAGATGATCCCTAAGTTCTCCTTACATTCATTGGGAACATAGAGTTACACTTGCATCATATTTGATGATTCATTCAGGGAAAAAGAAATTTTTATATTAACTGTCATTAAAGACACCCAATGAATATATATAGCGTTGTAGACACAAAATTGAATTCTTACGAACTAGTTTGACTGTGATGGCTATGAAAATTTCACTCACCCAAACTTAGTGTCTATATGGTGTAAGGCTCCATTAGGTCAGTGCAGTGGTTTTTTGTCCCTTATTTTGATTTTCCTGGCTTCTCAATTTGAGCCCTTAATTTCACAAACTCCTCTATAGATATGAAGTGACGGCACTTGCTAAACCTTGGAGATTTAGCTACAACTACAATCAGGGACAGCCAAGGGTTATACTTTCAAACTTTACAATATGCGGAACCTGAACTCATGTTTTCGCGGACATTTTATGTTTTCTAATGTCCCACATACCCCCACGCCACCCAAGCTGCTGCTGTATGAGTGCATGTGATATTCAGTACAGCCAGCAGGAACAGTCTTCCGGCACCCATAGGGTAATTTGAATTATGTTTGGCACATTCACACAATATGATGATTAGGACATGTAAATTTAAACATTGTAAATACATTGTAGTTATCAACAATAGGCTTTCAGCTCCTACAGACTTCAGTACATTTGTTGGGCCTATTTTGTAATCCCGATGATGTGAAACTTTCCATGAGGCAAAATGTTTGAAACTTTTGTTGAATATATCCTTTCTTATTCAAAAATTTCCCTTAAAAAATTCAATGCAATTTTATATATTTGGCTTCAAAAGTTTCATATCTTGAAAGGAAATATTGGCAAGAGTTTAAACAGCTGATGATGTGTGATTATGAGAGCTGAGGGATGCAAATTGTCTCAATGTACAAAGTATCACTGAAACCATAGAAAATGGTATAAACCAACATACAAACCATATAAAATGGTATGAACCATAGAAAGTAGTATTAATCATAGAAAATAGTATGAACCAAGGTACAAAGTAAACTGTTAATGAAACCACAGAAAATAGTATTAACCATAGAAAATAGTATTTACCAAGGTACAAAGTAAACTGTTAATGAAACCACAGAAAATAGTATTAACCATAGAAAATAGTATTTACCATAGAAAATAGTATGAACCAAGGTACAAAGTAAACTGTTAATGAAACCACAGAAAATAGTATTAACCACAGAAAATACTATTAACCATAGAAAATAGTATGAACCAAGGTACAAAGTAAACTGTTAATGAAACCACAGAAAATAGTATTTACCATAGAAAACCATAGAAAATAGTATGAACCAAGGTACAAAGTAAACTGTTAATGAAACCACAGAAAATAGTATTTACCATAGAAAATAGTATGAACCAAGGTACAAAGTAAACTGTTAATGAAACCACAGAAAATAGTATGAACCAAGAAAATACTATTAACCATAAAAATAGTATGAACCAAGGTACAAAGTAAACTGTTAATGAAACCATAGAAAATAGTATTTACCATAGAAAATACTATTAACCATAGAAAATAGTATGAACCAAGGTACAAAGTAAACTGTTAATGAAACCACAGAAAATAGTATTAACCACAGAAAATACTATTAACCATTACCATAGAAAATAGTATGACCAAGAAAATAGTACAAAGTAAACTGTTAATGAAACCACAGAAAATAGTATTTACCATAGAAAATACTATTAACCATAGAAAATAAACTGTTAAAATAGTATTAATGAAACCAAAACTGTTATAGAAAATAGTATGAACCAAGGTACAAAGTAAACTGTTAATGAAACCACAGAAAATAGTATTAACCATAGAAAATAGTATAAACCTTAGAAAATAGTATTAACCATAGAAAGTAGGTTGAACCAACGTACAAACCATATAAAGTGGTATGGACCAGCATACGAAGTGAACTATTAGTGAACCATATAAAATGGTATGAACCAACAAATATTACATGTTTGTAGAAATTCCAAACAACCAATTAAGGTAAAAAGTTCCTCCACTTTGACTGTAGATGAAGTGTGTAAGAAGCTAAAGTTGTGTTGTGATGAGTTTTGTTCTCTCCTTAGGTGCTGTCACATGAACTACGAGCTGTGCGTGAAGCATGTATGAAGCTAGAGTTGGGTTATCAGCCAGGCATAACATTCATTGTAGTACAGAAACGACATCACACTCGCCTCTTCTGTGCGGACAGAAAGGACCAGATAGGGCGAAGTGGCAACATTCCAGCAGGGACCACAGTCGATGTGGGCATCACCCACCCGACAGAATTTGACTTCTATTTATGTAGTCATGCAGGAATACAGGTACAAATTAACACTCAATATTCTCTTGTCTCTCCAAAACAAAAGTACAGTTCAAGTCTGAGATATTACTATTCTGTCAGCATTCTCTGTAAGCAGTTGTCAATGGAAATGTTTGCAAAACATCTTGTAGCATCAAAAGTCTTGTTCATTGTTGCTTCCAACTTACATGATCATTATGGAAATGCCAAAATATTGGATGGATAGTTTGTAATTAATCAAGTGTTGACAGCTTTTTCAAGATAAATACAAAAAATGACAAACCTTCCAGGGTTTTCCATAAGAGCCGGTTGCCGGCCAATTTGACCGGCTACTTTGATCATTTGGCCGCCTACACCAATCCAGTTCCATTATAATGTTTCATACACGACTACACGTACACGGCAGGCCAGCCTCCTACTTTCACTACACAGCCTACTACTAACAAAATTATGGAAAACCCTGCCTTCAATAAGATCGTTGAAAGTGTTTTCCTGTAGTCGTCCCTATGATGTGAAACACTATGAGATTGTTGACCGTGTTTTCCTGTAGTCGTCCCTATGATGTGAAACACTATGAGATCGTTGAGTGTTTTCCTGTAGTCGTCCCTATGATGTGAAACACTATGAGATTGTTGAAAGTGTTTTCCTGTAGTCATCCCTATGATGTGAAACACTGTGAGATCGTTGACAGTGTTTTCCTGTAGTCGTCCCTGTGATGTGAAACACTGTGAGATCGTTGACAGTGTTTTCCTGTAGTCGTCCCTGTGATGTGAAACACTGTGAGATTGTTGACTGTGTTTTCCTATAGTCGTCCCTATGATGTGAAACACTGTGAGATTGTTGACAGTTTTTTCCTGTAGTCGTCCCTGTGATGTGAAACACTGTGAGATCGTTGACAGTGTTTTCCTGTAGTCGTCCCTATGATGTGAAATACTATGAAATCGTTGACAGTGTTTTCCTGTAGTCGTTCTTATGATGTGAAACACTATGAAATCGTTGACAGTGTTTTCCTGTAGTCGTCCCTATGATGTGAAACACTATGAAATCGTTGACAGTGTTTTCCTGTAGTCGTCCCTATGATGTGAAACACACTATGAGGCAATGTTATCACATATGATGAATATCTCCTTTCTCCTAAATTGAAATTTTCAATCTTCTATTTTGCTTTTTTGGCAGCAATTTTTCTCAGGAAAGGAAATATTCACTTGTGTTTTAACTGCTGATGATGGTGATTATGAGATCTGAGGGATATGCCATAGATACCTGATAATTACTTGAAGTCAGAGGTTGGGTTACTACAGGACCCCAAGAGACCAACACATCCCTTCTTACTTAAAGCCAGGGGTGGGGTTACTACAGGGCCCCAAGAGACCAACACATCCCTTCTTACTTAAAGTCAGAGGTTGGGTTACTACAGGACCCCAAGAGACCAACACATTCCTTTTTACTTAAAGTCAGGGGTGGGGTTACTACAGGACCCCAAGAGACCAACACATCCCTTCTTACTTAAAGTCAGGGGTGGGGTTACTACAGGACCCCAAGAGACCAACACATCCCTTCTTACTTAAAGCCACGGGTAGGGTTACTACGGGACCCCAAGAGACCAACACATCCCTTCTTACTTAAAGCCAGGGGTGGGGTTACTACGGGACCCCAAGAGACCAACAGATCCCTTTTAACTTAAAGTCAGGGTGCAGTTACTACTGGACCCCAAGAGACCAACACATCCCTTTTTACTTAGAGTCAGGGGTGGAGTTACTACAGGACCCCAAGGACCAACACATCCCTTCTTAAAGTCAGAGGTTGGGATGTATTGTTGTTCATTCTCTTAACTGATGTCAACTTTAAGTGTTAAATGTGTATTGTTGTTCAATATCTTAACTGATGTCAACTTTAAGTGCTAAATATGTATTGCTGTTCATTCTCGGGATTGATGTCAACTTGAAGTGTTAAAAGTGTACTGGTGTTCATTTTCTTAACTGATGTCAACTTTCAGGGTACTAGCAGGCCGTCACATTACCATGTGTTATGGGACGACAACCGTTTCCAGGCAGACGAACTGCAGACGCTAACCTACCAGCTGTGTCACACTTACGTCCGCTGTACACGAAGTGTTTCCATTCCTGCTCCAGCCTACTACGCACACTTGGTGGCGTTTAGGGCACGTTATCATCTTGTGGAAAAGGAACATGACAGGTAGCGGTCTTGTACTCACTTTAAGCTAGGGGAAAAGAAAAGTGTTGGCCTTGTAGTATTAATAAGTCTAAGAAAAAATTCACAAAAGATTTGTATGTAGAAACTTCTTTACTTTATTTTGGCCAGTCACCATTTACCAAAAAAAGCTGTCTTCATAAACATGCATATAAAAACGAGGAAAGTTCCTAAAACAAAGTTTGGTAGGGAGGTGAAATACATATTCATTATAATAAAATTGAAGGCTGTCATAATTGAATACTTATGAATTTCTTAAAAGAGAACCTAAAAAAATGTTTGATACTATTTGTGATTGTGTTACAGTGGAGAGGGCAGTCGTCACTCTGACAATAGTGAGGATCGAACACCGACAGCCATGGCTCGGGCTGTCACAGTTCACCCAGATACCACCAGGGTCATGTACTTTGCCTAATTGACCAAGAGTGCCAGAATTACTGGGATTCCAGAGCTTTAATTTCACAGTCCATTCAACCTTATGCAGCAAGACTCAAACCAGGTCTATCTGGCGTTGTTTATACTTGTATTCTTATTGACCAGACATCAGAATCAACAGCCATCAACAAAAAAGACGCCTTGGTGTGACAATTGTTCCTTGTGACATAGACGCTTTGTTGTGACAATTGTTCCTTGTGGCAATGACGCCTTGGTGTGACAACTGTTTGGCATGACAAGTGGACATGTATTTTAGAATGTTCAAATGCTCTTTTACCATATCGCCTCCCTGTACATAGTGGACTTACCTGTTAATTGATATTAATTACCTGTACTTGAGCAGTGAGGGCCTGACACAGTATCACTAAATGTATGGGTAGTTGTAACTTAGTTTTAACTTAATCACAATTGATCAGCATCCCCATCTTTAATATTTACTCAAAAAGGTACTTAAAAAGCTAAACCATAGTCTATTAAATGCCTTTGAAATGGTTTATGACTGATGACTTAACCAGCTATTTTTAAAACAGAACTGTTATCTAATTTTGTATCTTGGGAAATTTTCTAAGTAGCTGATCTGTAGTGACTTTTTTATTCCTTTGTCTTTTTTTTTCCTTCTTTTGTTTTTTTTAATATTTGTAGGTGTCAAACCAGTAGAAACGGTTTAATAGTCAGAAATTTTATGTGTGATTCATGGCGTCATTTATTCCCACAACTATTTATTGTCATCTTTTTTCTGTGTGTACAACAGATGTTTGGGCTGTGAACAAGGAAGGTAGCAGGGACAGCCATGGTAGTACCTCACATCCTGCAAAGGATATATACAAATCCAATAATGCCCCACAAAAGTTTCTCTAAAATCATGTACTATAGATTTATCTTGCCTTTTCTATACCATTATCTATATATCTGCTTGTTTTGATGTACAATCAAAGTGTGCCACCTACTGGCTGCATTTTCTCCCTGCTACTTTCTCTGATATTTTATTAAGATTTTTATACCTGCATTTATCATATGATAGTACATATGTAGAATTTGTAGTCCTATGTGCTTATTTTAATGATGTGGCCAATGACATATACTGGGAATTTATCCGGTAGAAAGGTACGTACTGTGGTGCTGACAAATAGCCAAAGTAGAAGACTTATCTAAAATTTCTTTCTTCTTAACTTTTATCTGGAATAGATTTGTATTTGAGGTTTGTAATGTTCATTTTAAAACAAAATTGTGCAGGTAATTTAAACAACTTTGAGTTTGAACTGTCTTTCATTCTTGCCCTTTTGTGGTGCGATATGGCAGTTTGGTTTGGTTGAAACACACGAGGTTAATTTGGGTATTTTTCAAACCGATAGTCTTGTATTTATTGAATAGTCAGTTTAACCTTTTACTGTACAGGTTGAAATTGCCAGCATGCTAGTGAAATATGTTGATCATTCTTCACTAACATTTTATTAATTGTAAGATTTTATATGTTAGAATTATTTTGTGGGTGTTTGGCCTCCGTGATTCTTGTACATACAGTAGCTATTACAACCATGACACTGACATCATTGCCCAAGTTGATGACAAACTGAGAGTGAGGGTAGTGTCTAGATCCCTTTCAATTTTCTACTGCTAAGTTGGAAAAACTGTGAAATTCTGATTTAAATGTCATATATATTATACAATTTTAAAAGGAAACATTAATTTTACAATTTTTTCCAACATCTTAATAGAATATGTACCATTTATCCCAAAAAAGGTTTGATGTAAATTCAAATATTTTGCTTTTTAAAATTAACACAGTTTCGCCTAATGTGTCATTTAGCATAAAAACCATAGATTTTTGTATCGAGTCCCACCAGTGGTTTAAACCAATACTACCTGTGTTGTATCCACCTTGTATTCTCAACACCTACAACCAAGCCTGTTCTCTTGTCTTCCCAGACACCAAGTCCCATCTCGCTTGAATATTATGCAATTACATTCAAAACATTGGTTCAACTCATTCTTATCCATTAATAGAAGGCTAGCAGATATTCACACAACAGTATTTTTGCAATTATTTTAGGGCCAGTAAAATATTTTCCAGTCAGATAGATTTTTTTGTATAATATGTTCACTTATTCCTGATGTATCAAGGGTTATTGAAAACAATGTAATAGCACCAAATACAGTTTTCATAAAAAAATTGGGTTCCAATTTTATACAATGAAGTTTTCCGTAATTTTGACAAAAAATTTTGTAATTATTTAAAGAATGTGTTGAAGTTGTTTGGTGAATCATGACAGTAGAATTCAATGGAATCGTGATAAAATTTGTTAGAGAACTGAAAATTCAGAGATTCTTATATTGTTTCAAAAATCAGAATATTGATTATGCAATCATTGTTTTTGAGACCTTTTACCAGATAACATTTCTTAACTATAGAAGTAGACATTGTTTTTATAAAACAAGGACTTATTTAATGTATGGGCCCAGTCTTGTAATGTTAGTAATGTCAGAAGTAATTACATTAGGCAGGCAGTGTCAGATATGAGGATATTTTTAGGGGGGAGGGGAGATGTCAATGTATACCAACTGTTGTTGGTGTCCATGTACCACTGTTTATTGCATTGTCACAGTTTTCCAAATAAGATTCTTGAATACTCTTATTAATAATAAAATGTCTAGTCAACCAAAACTGCGATAGGTCCTGTCACTTTATTTCTGTTTATTGGACAAAGATAGCCTTTAGATTCCAAATTACTTTTATTGTATATAAAATTTATCAATTGAGTTTGAAGTATTTTTCTAGCTGTATTTGAAACAAAAATATTCTGCATTCAAGTCAAGTAAGAATATATTCACTACATAATAAGATAATTTTATCTACAGTAATTTGTGTTTTCAATGATGAATTTTACTCACCTAGATTTTTTCCTGTACGAGTGCCTCCTTACTACATTGTAATATTAAGTGTAGATAACCTTGTGTACCAACGTGATGGCCTGTGTGGTTGTGTTTGCTTTAAAAGGAGTGTACTGATATATATAGCCTTCAACAATGTTTGCCTATAAACCAAGAAAAAATACGTAACCAAATGTTTCATTCAAATTTGTTTGCTTTTGAAATGCTAGAGATAAAGTCCGAGATTCTTGTTTGTTGATGTCTCACTCAGAACAATAGACTAGTGCATATATATGACATCTGTTATTAAGGATCCTTATCAAAACATTCCATACAACATTTAAAACTGAAAAATAAAGAGAAAGTGAGATATTAGTTGAATAAAATCAAATGCCCCCCATCCCAATCCACCAATCAAGCATTTTGATATATATTCCAAGTTGGTGTGTTTTTAATACTGGCTGGAGACTGTTTCTACAAGTTTGTGGTTGTCTATGATTGATAATACCAAAGTATTGGAAATGTATTGTAATGGTTCAGACTTTCTGTGGGACTTTGGTATAGGATTAGCATGTTATAATAACATTGGTAAACAGGACCTGAAGAGGAACAAAACAAGACACTCTCACACTATATCTTATACTTTTTCGTGTTGTGGTTGCATATCTCTTATTTTATTGAAAATGATTCGCTTACAACCAAACCCACCTAGTCTTGACACAAGGCTGAAAAAGCATTCCTTTATTTTACAATTTATCTGCAGATTATATCTAGACGAAAGTCCACAGTTATAAGTGCCATTGGGACTGTCATGTTGATCATATAGTTTTCAGTGGCAGTCCTGTGAATGAAATAGTCCTACTTTTGTGGTGGTGATTTGAATGTAAAGTTAAACTAGTCCTATATCACAACTTTGTTGTATATGTAGTCAAATTCATGTGAAAGCAATTTGTTGTGTGAAAATGTCCTTAATGCAAATTGTCATTACATCTAATTGATATGATTTTTTTTCTCTTTAAATATTTTTATTATTGATGCAATTTGTATAGGCCTACAGAAGTGTATGTGTTGGGCTTTATGTATAGGATCATTGGTCTGCCAACAAGGTGCGTCATTCTGAAGTCTTTGTTTAGAGTGCAATTTTAATGTCCAAATTGTTCCATTATCATATCAAAATGTGTGTGCTTTATAGCAGGTCTGTTGTCCTTACGAAGACATATCAAGATACCATAATGATTCGTTTTAGCTCAATAGTTCGTTTTGGAGATGGCACTTACGATAGTGTGGTATCTGTTTTGTCCCGGTATGTGTGTGCTGGTAAGCGTCTGTGAGTGATTGTGAACAGTAAAGAGGTCCTAATCAGTTTGTGTATCAGATGGGTCCCTTTCTGTTTTTGTTTCCACCCACCCTGGCCCATTATATTGAGGGCCTTTGTCATTCAGAATTCCCTCATCCGTAGGTATCTTTTTTGTTAAATATGTATGTATATTATGACAAAGTGTTGATGTGTTATTTAAAAAAAAATATTTTCTTTTTTTCATAATTTGTACATTTTTTTTTCTTTTGTATGCTGGACAATATGGCATCTGATAAAAGTATTGCAAACAATTTATGCAAGAATGAAAGAAGGCATTTTGTCCTGCCATTTATCTTATCTGTCAGCCTTGTTTTCTGCGTTACCTAAGGTTCCCTTTAGGATCGTGATGGGAGAGATTTGACAGAACCTGAAATATTAGGGGATCATCTTATCACACTTAAACTACAAATAACAATTCAAGATATTTAATTAATAGTGTAGCTGGCATTCACCCAAATTTGTTTTTTATAATTTCACAATCACTCGCTGCCTGTCATGTGAAATAATTCAAACAGCCAATCACAAGTGTTGCTATATATTTCAGAGGGTCAAAATCTCATGTTTATTCTTTTAAGAATGAAATAACATGGTTGCAAAAGTTTGCAGTTCATCAAAGTAATCACTCTTCACTGCTCTGAAAGTGGATCTGTTTTATTAAGTTACGGAAAATTTGAATCTTAGGAGATAGATCTGCCAGCTAATAAAACAAAAATTTCTACCATCTGCTAAGTATTCACCTTAAACATCATTTAATGATCAGCCAGTACAAGTATGTGTGTACTTATCACATAATTCCATTGTAGTTTTAAGTGACATTTTACTGTAACCATGGTAATTTTAGGTCGGAATACTTGTCCTTTTCCCTCATTGTTCTGAAGCTTGAATAAAAAAAAATAGAGAAAGAAATTGTCCACGCTGTTCAGATGTTGTAGCCTGTAATTTTGATAAAAGGTTAAAAGTTTTGAACACTTAAAACAAGAACAAATAGAGAGTGCATTAAAGAATAAAACTCTTAGATGATCAGGAGAGTATTGAAGAACGAATCAAACGTAGAAGAAACAGTGTTATGAAAAGAGAACAAAAGACCAGCCTTTCTGTACAAAAATTGGATTGAACACAAGTTTGGAAACATTTGTATGTTGTAGTTAAAGATTTAAAATGTAACGGGAAAAAGTATTCTTGAATGTATTTTTTTTTTGGTTTTGGGAACAAAATCTGCCTTAAAGTTCAAAATTGTTTACAGGTACAGAACAATATTAAATCGGTGAACAGCATTGAACACAACACTTCAAAGGTTACAACAGGTTAGGAATCCATAGGATTAATTGTGAACGGGTTTATATTTGTGCCTATTTGTAAGGTTGTTTGCATCCTGCCTTTCAATCTGATGTATTTTGTAATTTAAAACTTAAAGATATCCGTTCATTCTAGGTTAAGGTTTAAATTTTTATGAATGGTAAGTAGGATTAGATTTCTTTTTTAATCTTTACATCGGCATAAATGAACTATCATTACTGTGTGCAAATGAAAGAGACCATAATATGATTTCCTGCATCACATTAACGGCTTGTGATGCAAGTTGTACCAGGAAATAAAAATCTAACATGACTTGTAATATTGAATAGTATGGAAAGTCATGAAGTAACAGTGTTGTTTATCTTTTGTCTAGCAATATGTGTTTCATGGAGTCTTGTTTGGGCAAAGCAATATTCCACACAATAAATAAGAAAACAAGTCAGCAATATCACAAAGCATATGTAATGTTTGTTATCAGCTAGCTGCTGTTGTGTTTGGAGAATATTAAGGACTGATCACTGCAGTGAAGTATCTAGTTGATTTTATCCACTTATCATCTGTATCTCATGTTGTATCATATTTCCCCCAGTCTAGTTAAGCACTGTTGCTTTTTAAAGAGTCCTATAAGTATTTTAAATTAATAAAATGAAGAAATGTATATTAAAAATGTCTTAAGTCTTGTTTTTAGGTCGCCTGAGCCGAAGGCTCATGGTGACCTATTGCCATCATGATTTGTCTGTCGTCGTTAACTTTTCACATATTCGACTTCTTCTCAAGAACCACTGAATGGATTTTGACCAAACTTGGCACAAAGCATCCCCATGGAAAGCCGCTTCAAGTTTGCGAAGAAGGGCGTGGCTCCAAGAAGGGCCCCAGGAGGGAGAAAAGGGGGGTAAAATTAGGTAAATTTTAAAAATCTTCTCATGAACTAACAGTCAGATTAAATTCACATTTGGTAATTAGGGTCCTTATGGCAAGGTCCACAAAGTTTGTGGATGAAGGGCACCAGTGGAACCTAAGAAGGTTTAAATTTGTTTTTGAACTGGCAGCCATACTTGATTTTGAAACGACTGAAAAGATAATGACTGGTGCCATCTGCTGATGATTTCAAGCAAGTTTGAGTTGAATCCCTCTGGTGGAAACTTGAAAAAATGAAGATGTGAAAAGTTTTGTGCAAGAAAAAAAGTTAACTATTTGTCAGAGTGACCCTTTGGATCAGATTACTGATTAAAACATCACATTGCCTTCCTAAAGTGCACAACATACAAATCTTAACTATGGATGTCAACTTCAGTAATATTTAAAACAGGTTTTTTAAGAATAGTCAAGACTTCAAACAACACGGAATTATTTTGAAAATGATATTTTATTATGATAGTATCTGGGTTAGCTCAGACATTATAATATTGACCTCAGCAACTTGACATGTGGTTAAATGCTTCCAGATTTTCCGTATGTTCAGTGAGGAAGCCACCACTTACTACTGTCTCCAAATATTCCTGGCTGTTCACAGGACAATCCAGCAAATACATCTAGGTAGAAAACATTTTAACCACAATATTGCAGAGACTGGTCAAGTTCATGTACACCTGACAACCATTCCATGTTTATGGTGCAATACCAAAAACAAGTAATACCCAGAAGTATTTCAAATAACCCTACACTTACTAGTATTATACCTCATCATAGGAGGCAGACAGATGATACCAGGATACAGAAATTTAACTCCATTAAACCTTCCTACTAATTGTAATGTTTTTGACTTTGATACCCAAGTCTCTGGGAGACAATAAGGAGTTTCAGGCCCTGAATGTGGTACATTTCACATCGTCTTAGTATTTTCAGGGAGCATAACAACAGGACAAGATATGGCAAGATACTCCAAATTTTTCCTAAATCAAATACTGCATATCCAACACAGAATAGCTCATATCAAAGAAATATTGACATTTTGTTCACGACAAATATAAAGGCTTTAATTACAATTATACTGAAAGGTTAAAAGTTTATAACAATTAAATTCACATTTGAATTATTTCAACAGATGTATAGTAACATATATAGATTCTGGTACAATAACTCACTCTCCATCCATACAAACTGATATACTACACCAAGAAAAATGTCTTATTGACTTTCTATTAACAAATAAATGTAACAAACAACGAGTTATAGTTCCTTTTTTGTGATAAAAAGTATAGTCTGTTTCAGGAAATTAATGCACCACAAATTTTTGGTATTGTGACAATCACAGAGTAAAAAACAATGAAGAAAGTTTTTTAAGTAGCTCATTAAGGTTTGAACATGTCAGACAATTGATGATGGACTAGTAAACATCAGTTGTAAAGTTATTTGAATATGATGCACGTGGGTCCAAATTTTCTTCCAGGAATATCTCTGTGTCCTGTTTCAAAGTCTCTAGCATAAGGTGATGAATTCCTAGGAGAAAAATGTATGAAATATATAAATGATTTTGGAGTAATACATCCCTTTCTGTACATAATAAACAGAAATTGCATTTTTGTAGAACTTGAAGGTATGTTTAACTCAGAAACACAATCCTACAATTGTGATATTAGTAACATTAACAACAGACCCACATATAATTCAGCAACAGTCATATTAAAGTAACAAAGTTTCACAGTATCTTTTTTTTCAAACAAATTTAAATTTTAACATTTTTGGGAAAATTTTGCGTTGATATGACAAGATAAATAAAATATCAAAGTGCTAAGTCTTTAAACTTGTTGATGTGTTTACTAAGAGTGAGACTTTGTACATACCTGTGTTAGATCTGAGATTAATCCGAGTCGGAACTGCTGTCAGAATCACTAGAGGATTCACTTTGGCTTACCACCGTTTTGATTGCAGAAGTTGTGAATGGGCTTGACTGCAATGGTGGCTTCTATCAACAGGAAAATTAAAAATCAGCCTTAACTTCAAAATTTCTTCAATCAATTTCATACCACTATTACTGTAACTGTCCTATTCCACATGGAAACATTCACCCTGGGTTTCTATTGACCTTGCATTAAACTATTTTAAACCAAACAAGAGATCCCAGAGGGATCTTGTGCCCACTTTTGTTTGCTATCTATTATTTTGTTCATTAAAAGTTGCATATTTTTCCTTCTTTTTTCTTCTCTCCTTTGTTTTTGCTCTTACTTACATGAAATTTTAAAATTCCCCCAAAGAAACAGTGATAATGATTTTTAATTGCCAAATCCAACATGTTCCCCAATCAGTCATAATAACTTATTAAAAATCAAAAGGGCCAAACTAGGGACCAAAAGGAATCTACACCTGAGAGCAATTAATCCAGTAATCCAGAAATATTGATAGTAAACTTTCAATATCAAAATCAAAGATGGCCACCTGGCCACTGCCTAACACAATGTTAGGGGTATACCTCGCCCCTCCCTAACCACTGCTGGGGGTATACCTCACCCCTCCCTAACCATTGCTGGGGGTATTACCTCACCCCTCCCTAACAACTGCTGGGGGTATACCTTGCCCCTCCCTAACCACTGCTGGGGGTATACCTCACCCCTCTCTAACCACTGCTAGGGGTATACCTTGCCCCTCCCTAACCACTGCTGGGGGTATACTTCACCCACTTCATAACACATTGTTGGGGTATACCTCTCCCCTCACTAACACAATGACAGGGGTATACTTCGCCCCTCCCTAACCAATACTGGGTGTACACCTCACCCCCTACCTAACACACAGCTGGGGGTATACCTTACTGTTTTTCTGAACAATAAATTAAAGTGATACTACAGAACTAGACACAAATAGTACTGTACAGAATTTAAACCGAGATAACAGAAAAAAAACCTGCCATCTCCTGATGACAGAAGATGTTGAGCTGTCGAGGATATCAAGCAATGTTAGATATCAAACAGAAATGCCTTGTACCTTTTCTAGCCTTATATACATATACTGAAGTCTTTGGTCAGTAAACATACCTGTGCTGTCTTTGTGGGTTGGGTATCACTGCTGCTACTGCTGCTGCTGCTGTCTGAGTCACTGGAGTCACTGGAGTCAGACTGTTTAGATGTTTTGACAGGGATTTTTGTTTTCTTCACTGGTGAAGTTGATGGTACCTGTAATGACAACAGAATGTTATCAGACAGTAATCCCATGTCACATGATAAGTCTGGGGGCAGAAAGATGAAGCCCCACGAGAAACAGACGTGAATTGTAAAACTCAACTGGATTCAAAGTATATGTTACAAATATCTTTGCAATGTAAATAATTTTGTAGTCTTACCAGTCGTTTTATTGGAGGAGATGGTTTTCTTTTATTTACAGATGACACCACAGGTTTTTGTGTTAAAACTACATTTTCACTATCTGATGATGGCGAAGATGAAGATGATGACGATGAAGATTTTGTCTTTTTCAGTACTTTCTCACTTTTTTTAGGTGAACGTACAACAGTTTCCTCATCACTGCTCTCAGAACTAGATGACGAGCTGGTGGAACTCTTTTTCAGTACCTTCTTGGGAGAAGGTACAACCTTCTGTGGTGAAAGTCTAGATTTTTTAGGTGATGGTGCTTGTTCCTCTTCACTTTCTGAGGAGTTGGAAGATGAAGGAGATGGTAACACAGGATTCTTTGATCTCTCTAGTGATGACTTCCGTGGAGATTTCAGTTTGGTCATTTTTTCTTCATCAGAGGATGATGGTTCAGGCTGCTGAAGAAAAAACAAGAGGCCCATGGGCCTTAACGGTCCTCTGACATTAGATACAAGATATTTGACCCCTGTGACCTTTAAAGTGGGTCAAGGTCATTCATTTGAACAAACTTGGTAGAGCTCCATGCCAGTATGCTCTGTGCCAAGTATTAGCCCCCTAGACCTTCTAGTATTTGAGAAGAAGTTGTTTGAATGAAAAGTTTACGCATGGCGGACGGCGGACGACGACGGACGAAGCACGATGGCTAAAGGTCATCTTGACCATATGGGTCAGATGACCTAAAAATGAAATAAAACACTACATATTAAGACTGAGACAAAATACAACAGAGAGTAGTACTGTATGTACCATGTAAATGTGGAGGACAAGGGGGAGGGGGTGTTATACAGGTTTATCCCATATCAAGACATTGTGCCCTTTCATCTAGGATAACAAGAGCTGACATCTTGTTTTGCAATAGTTGGAAAATACACAATGCCTACTACAAATATTTATTTTTTATTTTTTTAAGTCACCTTTGATGTTACATGTATTTGAAATTAAATTTCTACTCATGTGACCTTTGACATTACATGTCTACTCTGTGTGACCTTTGACATTACATTTATACTACATGTGACCTTTATCATTACCTTTATTCTCTATTTGACCTTTGATATCACCTTTATTCTCTGTGTGACCTTTGACATTACATGTCTACTCTATGCGACCTTTGACATTACATTTCTAATTTCAATATACACTCATTCCTTGTAAATACATTATTGTATTGAATGAATACTAAAATCAAATACAGGAATAAATAGCTGTCAGATAAAAATGCTGAGAAAGCATTTAGGATTCCTACACACAATACCTTAAAGTAACCCCTTCGCTTGCTATTAAAATGTAAAATAAGAACAAAAGGGCCAAACTCTTCTAAAAATTGTTAAATAAAAATGCTCTTCAGGAAAACACACTTTCATGTAATAGTTATAAAGCCTAGCTACTAAGCCAGATAGTAGAGACTTTCCTTTATGTCTATTTTCCTTGCAGCTGTAATCTGTTGTGGTGTTTAAGGCTGAGATTGACTAACCTTTGTGTCTATTTTCTTTGCAGCTGTAATCTGTTGTGGTGTTTTAGGTTAAGATTGACTTACCTTTGTGTCTATTTTCCTTGCAGCTGTAATCTGTTGTGGTGTTTTAGGTTGAAATAGTGGTGACTTACCTTTGTGTCTATTTTCCTTGCAGCTGTAATCTGTTGTGGTGTTTTAGGTTGAAATAGTGGTGACTTACCTTTGTGTCTGTTTTCCTTGCAGCTGTAATCTGTTGTGGTGTTTTAGGTTGAAATAGTGGTGACTTACCTTTGTGTCTATTTTCCTTGCAGCTGTAATCTGTTGTGGTGTTTTAGGTTAAGATTGACTTACCTTTGTGTCTATTTTCCTTGCAGCTGTAATCTGTTGTGGTGTTTTAGGTTAAGATTGACTTACCTTTGTGTCTATTTTCCTTGCAGCTGTAATCTGTTGTGGTGTTTTAGGTTAAGATTGACTTACCTTTGTGTCTATTTTCCTTGCAGCTGTAATCTGTTGTGGTGTTTTAGGTTAAGATTGACTTATTTTCCCTTGCAGCTGTAATCTGTTGTGGTGTTTTAGGTTGAAATAGTGGTGACTTACCTTTGTGTCTATTTTCCTTGCAGCTGTAATCTGTTGTGGTGTTTTAGGTTGAAATAGTGGTGACTTACCTTTATGTCTATTTTCCTTGCAGCTGTAATCTGTTGTGGTGTTTTAGGTTGAAATAGTGGTGACTTACCTTTGTGTCTATTTTCCTTGCAGCTGTAATCTGTTGTGGTGTTTTAGGTTGAAATAGTGGTGACTTACCTTTGTGTCTATTTTCCTTGCAGCTGTAATCTGTTGTGGTGTTTTAGGTTAAGATTGACTTACCTTTGTGTCTATTTTCCTTGCAGCTGTAATCTGTTGTGGTGTTTTAGGTTGAAATAGTGGTGACTTACCTTATTGTCTATTTTCCTTGCAGCTGTAATCTGTTGTGGTGTTTTAGGTTGAAATAGTGGTGACTTACCTTTGTGTCTATTTTCCTTGCAGCTGTAATCTGTTGTGGTGTTTTAGGTTGAAATAGTGGTGACTTACCTTTGTGTCTATTTTCCTTGCAGCTGTAATCTGTTGTGGTGTTTTAGGTTGAAATAGTGGTGACTTACCTTTGTGTCTATTTTCCTTGCAGCTGTAATCTGTTGTGGTGTTTTAGGTTGAAATAGTGGTGACTTACCTTTGTGTCTATTTTCCTTGCAGCTGTAATCTGTTGTGGTGTTTTCCTTAGTTTGAGTGGTGACTTACCTTTGTGTCTATTTTCCTTGCAGCTGTAATCTGTTGTGGTGTTTTAGGTTGAAATAGTGGTGACTTACCTTTGTGTCTATTTTCCTTGCAGCTGTAATCTGTTGTGGTGTTTTAGGTTGAAATAGTGGTGACTTACCTTTGTGTCTATTTTCCTTGCAGCTGTAATCTGTTGTGGTGTTTTAGGTTGAAATAGTGGTGACTTACCTTTGTGTCTATTTTCCTTGCAGCTGTAATCTGTTGTGGTGTTTTAGGTTGAAATATGGTGACTTACCTTTGTGTCTATTTTCCTTGCAGCTGTAATCTGTTGTGGTGTTTTAGGTTGAAATAGTGGTGACTTACCTTTATGTCTATTTTCCTTGCAGCTGTAATCTGTTGTGGTGTTTTAGGTTGAAATAGTGGTGACAACACAATCTGTCTGGTGTTTTAGGTTTTGACTTACCTTTGTGTCTATTTTCAGCTGTAATCTGTTGTGGTGTTTTTGTTTGTTATATTGGTGACTTACCTTTTTGTCTATTTTCCTTGCAGCTGTAATCTGTTGTGGTGTTTTAGGTTGAAATAGTGGTGACTTACCTTTGTGTCTATTTTCCTTGCAGCTGTAATCTGTTGTGGTGTTTTAGCTGTAATCTGTTGTGGTGTTTTAGGTTGAAATAGTGGTGACTTACCTTTGTGTCTATTTTCCTTGCAGCTGTAATCTGTTGTGGTGTTTTAGGTTAAGATACTTACATTTTCCTTGCAGCTGTAATCTGTTGTGGTGTTTTAGGTTGAAATAGTGGTGACTTACCTTTGTGTCTATTTTCCTTGCAGCTGTAATCTGTTGTGGTGTTTTAGGTTGAAATAGTCCCTTATTGTCACAATCTGTTGTGGTGTTTTAGGTTGAAATAGTGGTGACTTACCTTTGTGTCTACAACTGTACAGGTTGAAATAGTGTGACTTACCTTTGTGTCTATCACACTGTCTAGTTATGAGTCAACACAGGCCCCCTACCCTTTATCACACTGTAATATCAGTTATGAACAACACATGTCCCCTTTCCTATCACACTGTCTAGTTAAGATACAACACATGTCCCCTAAAACTTTGTCTAGTTATAAATATTTAGGTTACACATGTCCCCTACCCTGTCACACTTTTCTAGTTAAGTACAACACATGTCCCCAACCCTAACACACTGTCTAGTTATGATACAACACACGTGTCCCCTACCCTAACACACTGTCTAGTTATAATACAACACACGTCCCCTACCCTATCACACTGTCTAGTTATAATACAACACATGTCCCCTACCCTAACACACTGTCTAGTTATGATACAACACATGTCCCCTACCCTATCACACTGTCTAGTTATGATACAACACAGGCCCCCTACCCTATCACACTGTCTAGTTATGATACAACACATGTCCCCTACCCTATCACACTGTCTAGTTAAGATACAACACATGTCCCCTACCCTAACAAATTGTCTAGTTATAATACAACACATGTCCCCTACCCTATCACACTGTCTAGTTAAGATACAACACATGTCCCCTACCCTAACACACTGTCTAGTTATAATACAACACACATCCCCTACCTTATCACACTGTCTAGTTATAATACAACACATGTCCCCTACCCTAACACACTGTCTAGTTATGATACAACACATGTCTCCTACCCTATCACACTGTCTAGTTATGATACAACACACAACACATGTCCCCTACCCTAACACACTGTCTAGTTATGATACAACACATGTCCCCTACCCTAACACACTGTCTAGTTATGATACAACACACGTCCCCTACCCTAACACACTGTCTAGTTATGATACAACACACGTCCCCTACCCTAACACACAGTCTAGTTATGATACAACACATGTCCCCTACCCTATCACACTGTCTAGTTAAGATACAACACATGTCCCCTACCCTAACACACAGTCTAGTTATGATACAACACATGTCCCCTACCCTATCACACTGTCTAGTTATGATACAACACAGGCCCCCTACCCTATCACACTGTCTAGTTATGATACAACACATGTCCCCTACCCTATCACACTGTCTAGTTAAGATACAACACATGTCCCCTACCCTAACACATTGTCTAGTTATAATACAACACATGTCCCCTACCCTGTCACACTGTCTAGTTAAGATACAACACATGTCCCCAACCCTAACACACTGTCTAGTTATGATACAACACACGTCCCCTACCCTAACACACTGTCTAGTTATAATACAACACACGTCCCCTACCCTATCACACTGTCTAGTTATAATACAACACATGTCCCCTACCCTAACACACTGTCTAGTTATGATACAACACATGTCCCCTACCCTATCACACTGTCTAGTTATGATACAACACAGGCCCCCTACCCTATCACACTGTCTAGTTATGATACAACACATGTCCCCTACCCTATCACACTGTCTAGTTAAGATACAACACATGTCCCCTACCCTAACACATTGTCTAGTTATAATACAACACATGTCCCCTACCCTATCACACTGTCTAGTTATAATACAACACATGTCCCCTACCCTAACACACTGTCTAGTTATGATACAACACATGTCTCCTACCCTATCACACTGTCTAGTTATGATACAACACACAACACATGTCCCCTACCCTAACACACTGTCTAGTTATGATACAACACATGTCCCCTACCCTAACACACTGTCTAGTTATGATACAACACATGTCCCCTACCCTATCACACTGTCTAATTATGATACAACACATGTCCCCTACCCTACCACACTGTCTAGTTATGATACAACACAGGTCCCCTACCCTATCACACTGTCTAGTCATGATACAACACATGTCCCCTACCCTACCACACTGTCTAGTTATGATACAACACATGTCCCCTACCCTACCACACTGTCTAGTTATGATACAACACAGGTCCCCTACCCTAACACACTGTCTAGTTATGATACAACACAGGCCCCCTACCCTAACACACTGTCTAGTTATAATACAACACATGTCCCCTACCCTAACACACTGTCTAGTTATGATACAACACAGGCCCCCTACCCTAACACACTGTCTAGTTATAATACAACACATGTCCCCTACCCTAACACATTGTCTAGTTATGATACAACACATGTCTCCTACCCTATCACACTGTCTAGTCATGATACAACACATGTCCCCTACCCTAACACATTGTCTAGTTATGATACAATACATGTCCGTACCACAACATATTGTCTTGTCATGATATAGGTATGATATATATACTTGATGTTTTCTGTATAAAAGAGTTGAAAATCTACTTACGGGATTTTCGCCGTTTGGAGATGAGCTGTAAAACAAAAAGAAATAAAATAGTCACAAGACTTTATCACACGAAGTTTCAGTACCTATATATTACTGTTACAAACAGGACTTTCTAGACTTTTAAATTTCAGTTCTTTCTGTCGAACACATGCTGGACTTAATTTCAGATCCAGAAAGGAACACATTTTAATTAATAATGTTGATATCTTATTGTTTAAGATACTTACAAACATTCTGCCCTTTTACTGTGATCAACTTCATCTGATGACTTTGCAGGAGTATTCTGTAAAATAAATTGCCTGACACTTTATTTTCTTATACACTGGAAAAGTTTACACTCACTTTTAATGGTGTACGATTTCCTTTTCTCACCTCAGGATTCTTTTTTTTTTATCTGTTTGAAAATTTCTTGTCTTGCCTAGCATTGAGACAAGGAGATTTCCCTATCAGGAGAATGATATGACATTACGATTACAATGCACTGAAATCACATCAACAAATGTCAACAATCCAAATTACTGAGACAACAAAAACACATAAGTTTACCTAATTAAGCCAGCAGAGGAAAACAATCATTTATCCCGTTGTTGGTGAGACAGAGGTATCTCAACCCTCGGATAAAGATCATTAAGATGCAAACACTCAGTAAGCCTCATGTCTGCCATCTTAATCATTTTTTCCCTCGCGTTAAGATTCTCAAATCTCACCTTCAAGGATCTGAAGGATTCTATTAATCTCAGCCCTACAGGAAATATGATAATTCATAAGTTTCAAACACTATGCAAGCCTCCAGTATTCTAATTAATAATCGTCCCCACTGGGTTGTTACAATAATACATTACTTACTATATAGACTCACCATTTCGTGTCTCCCTTCTCACTAATTCTGCATGCCCCTCAACTGTATCCTAAGTCACCATCACATTACTTACCTTTTTTGTCTCCCATTTCGTTAACTCTACACGTTCTTCCGCTGACAAGTTTTGCAAGAATTCTTTGTACTGTTTTGCATAGTCAACCTTTTCCTGTGAAAGAAAACATTTTTAGTAAAATTACTCTTAAGTCAAGTTTAGGCTTCAGCCATAACACTCTAGAATTATAACATAATACTGTCCTCAAACATTTCTGGAACTTTTCTCCGATAAAAAACAAAAAACAGGTTTTACTGTAAAATCATACATTTTTGTGAGGTTCAGTTTTTGTGGTTTTCCAAAAAATCACAATTTCATGGACATTTGATTTCATGGATAAATATAGCTCTACACATGTCCTTAAACTAATTATGTTGATTCTTGGACATATGAATTTGTGGATTTAGAGTTCCAGTGAAATCAACTTAAATAAATTCCCCGTGAAAATTGATGATTTCACAGTATCACATTTCCCCATGAAAATTGATGATTTCACAGTATCACATTTCCCCATGAAAATTGATGATTTCACAGTATCACATTTCCCCATGAAAATTGATGATTTTACAGTACCACATTTCCCCATGAAAATTAATTATTTCACAGTATCACATTTCCCCGTGAAAATTGATGATTTCACAGTATCACATTTCCCTGTGAAAATTAATGATTTCACAGTATCACATTTCCCCATGAAAATTGATGATTTTACAGTACCACATTTCCCCATGAAAATTAATTATTTCACAGTATCACATTTCCCCGTGAAAATTGATGATTTCACAGTATCACATTTACTCATGAAAATTGATGACTTCACAGTATATACACGAGATACTTCTATTCACATAACTAAGATCTGACAGCTAAACACTGCAGTGCTAAATGTCTGTTCAAAGATATAACTCAGTGCCTATATGAAAGTTAGATGGTGATTGACCTGGCAATGCTGAGAGATTAACTCTTTCATACATGTGTTATACTTTGATCAAAATCCTTATAAGAAGTGAATTGTTAGGGTGGGCACATTGATTCCTCATACACAATGGTAACATTACTACCTAGCGGTCGGGAATCAGTTAAAATCCATGGTTGTAGTGGAGGGACATCAGTTGCAAACATAATAGATCAAAAGCTTGGAATCAGTTTTTGCAGATTATAATCAGTTCAATCATTTTCCATTTCAGTATTCTTGTCTTAATGATATTTTCTTTGTTTGTGTTGTATAATTCCTCTTTAGTGTTGAAGCAATTAAATATAAACCAAGTATTTCCACTTGATACCAAACAACTTTACTTCCAGCATATTTACCATGGCCGCCATGACGCAGAATCTGTCTAGAATTGTGGTGGTAAATCTACAATCACTGTTAATCTTGCAAGAATTGATTTTTTAGTAGGTTTACAGTCACAATTCTAGAAAGATTCCACATAGTGGCAGCAATTGTAAATATTCTGGATGGTAAAGTTAGTGGGGGAAATGAGCAGAAATCCTTAGTTTATAACCAGTAATTGTTACAACAGATATGTAAGTGAGTAGAAAAATGTCTTATCTTTTCATTTATGTATGATTTACAACTATCCAGTGATGTTTACATTATAAAACTTTGCTTCACGACAACAACATGCTGATTTTTCCAGGATTTGGCATTTTGAATTCTGGCTATCAACTGTGACCAAGACAAAATTAAAATCTAAATAGATAGTCAGGACTCAAAACCCTTCAGCCTTATAATTCTTTAGCCCCCATATCTATCAAACTTGAGTAGCGAGTGATCTTACCTTTATACACATGACAACAAACTAGACATCAGATGAAATGAAGGGATATTTCTTCAATTTTTCCAATTAATCACTAATAAACAATACTATCATCAGAATCAATATTTTTTCACATCCACTTATCAATATTATCTGAATATCCAAAGACCTCTACGCTATTAATTATCCAATAAAATCCACTTTACAATGTAATCAATTACATAACCAGCTGACTTTGTATTCAATATTTATAGAAAGTCAACACATCCTCTGTGGCAGTAAGATTTTCCTTTATGTGGTAACTTTATCCTAAAATATCCCACATACCTAGAGAACATAAGAATGAAAATTGTTGACAACTGACATCTTTATTACCCGTCATAAATTGTGCTTTTGCCAAAATAATTAATGAGACACATGTCTATAGTATATCCTTTTATATCCAGATCATAGAATTTTCATTCATTAAACTACATTTTGATCATTTCCAAAGACAACCGTGAACATTTTGACCTGTGAATCAACCAGCTATATATAGTATGAAATATTACAATCAATCACAGCACAAGATCAGATTAAACCACGAGATAATCAATTACTTTTTTTCCGGAATATAAGCCACACCTTTTTAACTCGTGAGCTGGTCATGCGGCTTATATACCAGTGCATCTTATATTTGGATGAAAAAAAGGGGGTGGGGAAGTGTACATCAGTGTGAGACGGTACAAGGACAAACAGCAAGTTCTCAAAATTTGATAAAGTCCCACAGAAAAGCATGAGACCAGGACATGGATATGCCAGTCCCTTGAAGGTCATCACAAGTAGTGCTGTGCAGAAATCAGTATAGCTAGTCTAGTTTATGTGTATTTCAACCATTCTAATAATTACATACCTGAAGTGCTTGTTTTTCAAACTCCATCTTTCCAGAGAATGAAAGTGCTTTCCACTGAGCGATGTTTTCTTTCTGCTGTTCTTTTTGTGTCATATGAGTCATTTTTGAATGATTTTGTAGCGAAAAAATTCTGAAAGCGGATCTGTTGAAATAAAGGGACAGTACATGACTAGAATTCAAGGCAAAACATTGATATTCCTAAAATTGTAAAGTAATTAATTCTGTTTGTTTTTATGGGTTCCCTAAATTCACAAATTCATATATTCAAGAACTATTAAAAACAGAAGTAAATCTATTGAATTATACCGTAAATTTGCGGGTATAGTGCGCAGGTACTTTTTTGGGGTCAGATTCGAAAAAATTAAAAAAAAAAAAAAAATTCTACAGAAAAATTAATTGATTACTGGTTACCGCGATGAAACAGTTGTGGTTTGATCCATTGATAATTAGGAAACCATGAAATGAGTGTCAACAAAATATTAACTTTCTGAACCATAAAAATTGACCTCAACAAAAAATGTATGATTTTACACTATATCAAATCTTGATGGGATTTGGGTTTAGTTAATGGGTTTAGTTAATATTTATTGGGTTTGGTAAATGAGTCGCAATTTCTCAGTAACAGAACATTCCACGGCATTCGCGTTTTCGGCATAGTGTATTTTATGTGCAGAACTATTTTTCAAGGTCAACATAGCTGACCTCTCAGGGTACACTTTAAAACTTACCGTGGATTTTCCGGCTTCCCTCTTGCTTTCTGTAAGATTTTTTGTGCATTTCTCAGCAATATCGTGGAGCTGAATTTACTTTCTGGATGATTGTTCATGAAGACTTTCAGACGTTCCTGGAAACCATATCATCTAGCATCATCAATTAAGTCTAAAAATCACAACTGAATGGGAAATAATATTCCACAACTGAGTGTATCACAGACAGTAGAAAACAAAGAGCTGGTATGTACAGGTGTATCTAATTTGTGGGCAGAAAATGGACACCAAGACTCGACACTACAATAAATTTCTGAACATCAATATTCTTTTGAAAGAACGTCAGACCTGAAATAAAATATTTTTTTGTAGTTCCAACATCTGATGTAAAGAAACTAGTCCCATTTTATATCATAAACTGTTAAGTCATCAATGTTTCAGAATACACAGATTGAAATATTACCTCTAAATCTTTGTTAGCAACAACTGCTTGATCGAGCCACTTCTGTTGCTTTTTAGGTTTAAGAGTGGCAAATTTTGCTTTTCCATGACTTCTTATTTCCGATTTGTCAGCCTGTTAAAAAAATGAAATACAAAATCTGAAAAATTACTCAAAATTTGAATTTCTACAATTTGTTTCCGGGACTTTTGTGTCTGAATTAAAGCTCTGTTTTCATGTTGATATATTCATTAAATGCTTTCCTCGGTTTTCTGTCTACTCAGGTTTGTTATTGTTAAATAAATGAAGTTAACAATTTTAGAAAAATAATGGTGATTTTGGAATCATAATATGTAAGTACACATTTTTTTTTGTCTATCAAACAGATGTTAAACTCACGTGTAGAGTAAGTACTGTACATGTTAAACTCATGTGTAAAGTACTGTACATTTTAAACTCATGTGTAAAGTACTGTACATGTTAAACTCACGTGTAAAGTACTGTACATGTTAAACTCACGTGTAAAGTACTGTACATATTAAACTCACATGTAAAGTACTGTACATGTTTAACTCACGTGTAAAGTAAGTACTGTACATGTTAAACTGATGTGTAAAGTACTGTACATGTTAAACTGATGTGTAAAGTACTGTACATGTTAAACTCACGTGTAAAGTACTGTACATATTAAACTCATGTGTAAAGTACTGTACATGTTAAACTCATGTGTAAAGTACTGTACATGTTAAACTCATGTGTAAAGTACTGTACATGTTAAACTCATGTGTAAAGTACTGTACATGTTAAACTCACGTGTAAAGTACTGTACATGTTAAACTCATGTGTAAAGTACTGTACATGTTAAACTCACGTGTAAAGTACTGTTCATGTTAAACTCATGTGTAAAGTAAGTACTGTACATGTTAAACTCACGTGTAAAGTACTGTTCATGTTAAACTCATGTGTAAAGTACTGTACATGTTAAACTGATGTGTAAGGTACTGTACATGTTAAACTCATGTGTAAGGTACTGTACATGTTAAACTCATGTGTAAAGTAAGTACTGTACATGTTAAACTCATGTGTAAAGTACTGCACATGTTAAACTCATGTGTAAAGTAAGTACTGTACATGTTAAACTCATGTGTAAAGTACTGTTCATGTTAAACTCATGTGTAAAGTACTGTACATGTTAAACTCATGTGTAAAGTAAGTACTGTACATGTTAAACTCATGTGTAAAGTACTGTACATGTTAAACTCATGTGTAAAGTACTGTACATGTTAAACTCATGTGTAAAGTACTGTACATGTTAAACTCATGTGTAAGGTACTGTACATGTTAAACTCATGTGTAAAGTAAGTACTGTACATGTTAAACTCATGTGTAAAGTACTGCACATGTTAAACTCATGTGCAAAGTAAGTACTGTACATGTTAAACTCATGTGTAAAGTACTGTACATGTTAAACTCACATGTAAAGTACTGTACATGTTTAACTCACGTGTAAAGTAAGTACTGTACATGTTAAACTGATGTGTAAAGTACTGTACATGTTAAACTGATGTGTAAAGTACTGTACATGTTAAACTCACGTGTAAAGTACTGTACATATTAAACTCATGTGTAAAGTACTGTACATGTTAAACTCATGTGTAAAGTACTGTACATGTTAAACTCATGTGTAAAGTACTGTACATGTTAAACTCATGTGTAAAGTACTGTACATGTTAAACTCACGTGTAAAGTACTGTACATGTTAAACTCATGTGTAAAGTACTGTACATGTTAAACTCACGTGTAAAGTACTGTTCATGTTAAACTCATGTGTAAAGTAAGTACTGTACATGTTAAACTCACGTGTAAAGTACTGTTCATGTTAAACTCATGTGTAAAGTACTGTACATGTTAAACTGATGTGTAAGGTACTGTACATGTTAAACTCATGTGTAAGGTACTGTACATGTTAAACTCATGTGTAAAGTAAGTACTGTACATGTTAAACTCATGTGTAAAGTACTGCACATGTTAAACTCATGTGTAAAGTAAGTACTGTACATGTTAAACTCATGTGTAAAGTACTGTACATGTTAAACTCATGTGTAAAGTACTGTACATGTTAAACTCATGTGTAAAGTAAGTACTGTACATGTTAAACTCATGTGTAAAGTACTGTACATGTTAAACTCATGTGTAAAGTACTGTACATGTTAAACTCATGTGTAAAGTACTGTACATGTTAAACTCATGTGTAAGGTACTGTACATGTTAAACTCATGTGTAAAGTAAGTACTGTACATGTTAAACTCATGTGTAAAGTACTGCACATGTTAAACTCATGTGCAAAGTAAGTACTGTACATGTTAAACTCATGTGTAAAGTACTGTACATGTTAAACTCATGTGTAAAGTACTGTACATGTTAAACTCACGTGTAAAGTACTGTACATGTTAAACTCACGTGTAAAGTACTGTACATATTAAACTCACATGTAAAGTACTGTACATGTTTAACTCACGTGTAAAGTAAGTACTGTACATGTTAAACTGATGTGTAAAGTACTGTACATGTTAAACTCATGTGTAAAGTACTGTACATGTTAAACTCACGTGTAAAGTACTGTACATATTAAACTCATGTGTAAAGTACTGTACATGTTAAACTCATGTGTAAAGTACTGTACATGTTAAACTCATGTGTAAAGTACTGTACATGTTAAACTCATGTGTAAAGTACTGTACATGTTAAACTCACGTGTAAAGTACTGTACATGTTAAACTCATGTGTAAAGTACTGTACATGTTAAACTCACGTGTAAAGTACTGTTCATGTTAAACTCATGTGTAAAGTAAGTACTGTACATGTTAAACTCACGTGTAAAGTACTGTTCATGTTAAACTCATGTGTAAAGTACTGTACATGTTAAACTGATGTGTAAGGTACTGTACATGTTAAACTCATGTGTAAGGTACTGTACATGTTAAACTCATGTGTAAAGTAAGTACTGTACATGTTAAACTCATGTGTAAAGTACTGCACATGTTAAACTCATGTGTAAAGTAAGTACTGTACATGTTAAACTCATGTGTAAAGTACTGTTCATGTTAAACTCATGTGTAAAGTACTGTACATGTTAAACTCATGTGTAAAGTAAGTACTGTACATGTTAAACTCATGTGTAAAGTACTGTACATGTTAAACTCATGTGTAAAGTACTGTACATGTTAAACTCATGTGTAAAGTACTGTACATGTTAAACTCATGTGTAAGGTACTGTACATGTTAAACTCATGTGTAAAGTAAGTACTGTACATGTTAAACTCATGTGTAAAGTACTGCACATGTTAAACTCATGTGCAAAGTAAGTACTGTACATGTTAAACTCATGTGTAAAGTACTGTACATGTTAAACTCACATGTAAAGTACTGTACATGTTTAACTCACGTGTAAAGTAAGTACTGTACATGTTAAACTGATGTGTAAAGTACTGTACATGTTAAACTGATGTGTAAAGTACTGTACATGTTAAACTCACGTGTAAAGTACTGTACATATTAAACTCATGTGTAAAGTACTGTACATGTTAAACTCATGTGTAAAGTACTGTACATGTTAAACTCATGTGTAAAGTACTGTACATGTTAAACTCATGTGTAAAGTACTGTACATGTTAAACTCACGTGTAAAGTACTGTACATGTTAAACTCATGTGTAAAGTACTGTACATGTTAAACTCACGTGTAAAGTACTGTTCATGTTAAACTCATGTGTAAAGTAAGTACTGTACATGTTAAACTCACGTGTAAAGTACTGTTCATGTTAAACTCATGTGTAAAGTACTGTACATGTTAAACTGATGTGTAAGGTACTGTACATGTTAAACTCATGTGTAAGGTACTGTACATGTTAAACTCATGTGTAAAGTAAGTACTGTACATGTTAAACTCATGTGTAAAGTACTGCACATGTTAAACTCATGTGTAAAGTAAGTACTGTACATGTTAAACTCATGTGTAAAGTACTGTACATGTTAAACTCATGTGTAAAGTACTGTACATGTTAAACTCATGTGTAAAGTAAGTACTGTACATGTTAAACTCATGTGTAAAGTACTGTACATGTTAAACTCATGTGTAAAGTACTGTACATGTTAAACTCATGTGTAAAGTACTGTACATGTTAAACTCATGTGTAAGGTACTGTACATGTTAAACTCATGTGTAAAGTAAGTACTGTACATGTTAAACTCATGTGTAAAGTACTGCACATGTTAAACTCATGTGCAAAGTAAGTACTGTACATGTTAAACTCATGTGTAAAGTACTGTACATGTTAAACTCATGTGTAAAGTACTGTACATGTTAAACTCACGTGTAAAGTACTGTACATGTCAAACTCATGTGTAAAGTACTGTACATGTTAAACTCATGTGTAAAGTACTGTTCATGTTAAACTCATGTGTAAAGTAAGTACTGTACATGTTAAACTCACGTGTAAAGTACTGTACATGTTAAACTCACGTGTAAAGTACTGTTCATGTTAAACTCATGTGTAAAGTACTGTTCATGTTAAACTCATGTGTAAAGTAAGTACTGTACATGTTAAACTCATGTGTAAAGTACTGTACATATTAAACTCACGTGTAAAGTACTGTACATGTTAAACTCACGTGTAAAGTACTGTTCATGTTAAACTCATGTGTAAAGTACTGTACATGTTAAACTCATGTGTAAGGTACTGTACATGTTAAACTCATGTGTAAAGTAAGTACTGTACATGTTAAACTCATGTGTAAAGTACTGCACATGTTAAACTCATGTGCAAAGTAAGTACTGTACATGTTAAACTCATGTGTAAAGTACTGTACATGTTAAACTCATGTGTAAAGTACTGTACATGTTAAACTCACGTGTAAAGTACTGTACATGTCAAACTCATGTGTAAAGTACTGTACATGTTAAACTCATGTGTAAAGTACTGTTCATGTTAAACTCATGTGTAAAGTAAGTACTGTACATGTTAAACTCACGTGTAAAGTACTGTACATGTTAAACTCACGTGTAAAGTACTGTTCATGTTAAACTCATGTGTAAAGTACTGTTCATGTTAAACTCATGTGTAAAGTAAGTACTGTACATGTTAAACTCATGTGTAAAGTACTGTACATATTAAACTCACGTGTAAAGTACTGTACATGTTAAACTCACGTGTAAAGTACTGTTCATGTTAAACTCATGTGTAAAGTACTGTTCATGTTAAACTCATGTGTAAAGTAAGTACTGTACATGTTAAACTCATGTGTAAAGTACTGTACATATTAAACTCACGTGTAAAGTACTGTACATGTTAAACTCACGTGTAAAGTACTGTACATATTAAACTCATGTGTAAAGTACTGTTCATGTTAAACTCATGTGTAAAGTAAGTACTGTACATGTTAAACTCATGTGTAAAGTACTGTACATATTAAACTCACGTGTAAAGTACTGTACATGTTAAACTCACGTGTAAAGTACTGTACATATTAAACTCATGTGTAAAGTACTGTACATGTTAAACTCATGTGTAAAGTAAGTATCGTACAGTCATTCATTTTTGTGAGATATTTATTTTCGTGATTTTTTGAGTACTCCAAATCCACAAATTCTTATGGACAGGATTAAGTTAAAAAGATTAATCTATATTCATCTAGAAATCAAGTGTAAAAGAAAAAGAGATATCTTAAAAAAAAACACGAAAAATAAAACCCTGTGGAAATTTGTAATCTTACAGTAATAAGAAGTTATGAAAACTCAATTACTCAAGTATCAAATATCATTACTGGATAGAATTATCAAAATGATGAATAGTTTACACTTACATCTTTATTATTGGCTAATTCCTTCTCCAACATGTGTTGGATATAAAGAGAAACTGGAGTGACCACTTTAGGACATTTTGCTGAACTCTTTGTTTTCCTGGGAGATTTAACCTTAACAGGATAAAGATCTGGATTCATCTGTCTGAAAAAGAAACCATTTTATTTAGGATATAAGTATTTAGTAACATCGTCTCCAAACGCTAGTTATAAAATCTACATTGCACTTCTTAATTTTGACTATACAAACTCATAAGAACAGCTTTTTTTATTCAGGTTTTAATTAAACTTTTGTCAGTAACTATCAGTTATAATTTGTATAAATCTTCTTTAAAATACTTCAAACCAAATTTATCTAAACAAGAATTAAAGTATGACTGAGTTCCCCCTAGGTCCTATAAACTTGGTGTTGTATAAACTTGGTGATTTGTATAAACTTGCTGAGTTGTAAACTTACCTGAATTTTTCCATTTCTTTAATGTACTGCAATTTTCCTTTCTCATAATGTTTTTCCAGCTTTTTCTGTAATATTAACATATTATAAATCATGTATCATTACAGATTTAGGAACAGCACAAGAAAATGTAAATTAAACATAAACTTTAAGACTACAACTCTTACTGTTTCTAAATAATTTGTTCATTTTAATGTTTTTATACTCCGAGTTTCATTCAATAAAATGGCTATTGACTTGACTCCCCTAGCTATATAGATAATACTTTTATCAGAATAGAACAGATATAATAAGATTATTAGTCTTTCGTTTGTTTTACTCATCAATGTACTGTAAAACCAATCAGGTTGCAAATTTTTAATATTTGGAATTAAAGATCTTTGTATTTGCGTATCTTTGAACTAAACTGCCATATTACTGTGAAGATAATAATTTTCACTGCTTCTGAAAAAACACACTTCTTCTATTTAAGATTTATTTTTATAACTTTAAATAGTTTCAGTAATGAAATGACTATTAAACTGTAGATAAATTCATAGTCTCATTGCATTAGTAGTTCAGGGTATGCGAGGAGAATTCACAATCATGGATTTGCTTAGGCCTGTAATATTTTGACGCAATAGACATGATGATATACCTTGGTTTCTTACCTTTTTTTTCTCAGAAATATTGCGGTAACTAGTTGCCAAATCACTCAACTGTATTGTTTCTCCTTTGTGTTTTTCTCTGTATTTTTGGCAAAACAACATATAAACAGTTGTTGGGGGTTTCGGTTTCACTCCAATACATGGAACCACCTGTTAAAAGATAAAATCAAAAGTTACTTCTCCATACACTTGAAAACTGAAAGTGTCATATTTTTAGAAACATGAGATAAACATTAACATGTTTGTATGGGATTAAGCTCCTGTGTGACAAAGATAGGGAAGATTATAAATAATGTATGTTGTCAACATTCTGCGTCCCAGGACCCACACCATTTGATCAATTTAAGAAGCCAGAATCGTATCATTGTGCTTTTTTGAATGAACTCACACTAAGTTTGCCAAGGCAAAATGGCTATTCAATTTATATACTCTCCACACTTACCGGGACAACTTTGTTACTTCTAACCGCCTTTACCATCTCTGAAAGAGTGCGTACTGAGTTCACCTGAAAGATTTGAAAAGTTATCAGCATATGACTATCAAGACAACAATACAATCTAGAATCACTTGCAGTTTTTTTTTTCTGGTCAGGAATGCTATTATACATCATAGCAGCAAAGCATGACCTTGATATTCACAAGAGAAGTTGTCTTATCAGTTAAAAAAAAAAAAAAAGAAAAAAAAAGATGTTTGTTTTACCATGGCAACATAAGCATTGCTGTTATTACAAAATTCATTTTAAATCATTTAAACTTTATAATCAGAAATTTAAGAGTAGTTTACAGACAAACTTGTTAAAATATCCCAATGTTCAATGTAGAAAATCTGGGTTTTTTTTTTTATCTGACCCCAAAAAAGTACCTCCGCATTATACCTGAGTGCGCATTATACCCGAGTGCGCATTATACCCAAGTGCGCATTATACCCGCAAATTTACAATACTTTTTTAACCGCCTTTCTATAACAGTTATCTGTCAACCTACCCTTGTTAAGAGTTCCAGGAACTTGGCTTTACATGCATCCGGTGAATGAGATTCTACCACCACTTTTTCCCACTTAATCTTTGTCAGGGACCGCCTGTAGGAAATGTCAGATGGTTTTCCAGGGTACAACTTCTCAATGTTGTCCAGCAAGTTTGCCACATCATCAGCAGACCAAACCACTGAATCAAAAAATAATGTACTACTCATTTCACTAAAAAGGTCAAAAGGTCACCAATTGCTTTGAAGTGGATTATCCCTGTAGCAGCTGGTGGCTGCATCAATGAACTACAAACCAAAGGCCTATCACATGCTATCCAGAAGTGTCTGTTTCTCCACTTCCTAATAAACTATCCTGATTATCTGTTATCTTACCCGAGATTATAAAATCTGATACCATTAACGGATCTATTGTGACATCCTTATCTAACACAATCAATAAAATATTTTAAAAAGCTTGCAAGTTTTCATTCACAATAAAGATAATTAACTGAACTTATCACGATTTGAATTCTGCTTTTGTCAACACAAAAAATACATCTATGATAAAATAATTCATCTTGTAATAAGAATCTTCCAAAGAAAATGTGTTATCCTTGTTTAGAATTCCCCATACAGCAAAGGCCATATTGTTTAGAATTCCCCATACAGCAAAGGCCATGATTGTTTAGAATTCCCCATACAGCAAAGGCCATGATTGTTTAGAATTCCCCATACAGCAAAGGCCATGATTGTTTAGAATTCCCCATACAGCAAAGGCCATGATTGTTTAGAATTCCCCATACAGCAAAGGCCATATTGTTGCAAAGGCCATATTGTTTAGAATTCCCCATACAGCAAAGGCCATGATTGTTTAGAATTCCCCATACAGCAAAGGCCATGATTGTTTAGAATTCCCCATACAGCAAAGGCCATGATTGTTTAGAATTCCCCATACAGCAAAGTCCATTTTGGTTAGAATTCCCCATACAGCAAAGGCCATGATTGTTTAGAATTCCCCATACAGCAAAGGCCATGCATTTCCCCATACAGTTTGTTTAGAATTCCCCATACAGCAAAGGCCATGATTGTTTAGAATTCCCCATACAGCAAAGGCCATGATTGTTTAGAATTCCCCATACAGCAAAGGCCATATGGTTTAGAATTCCCCATACAGCAAAGGCCATATTGTTTAGAATTCCCCATACAGCAAAGGCCATGATTGTTTAGAATTCCCCATACAGCAAAGGCCATGATTGTTTAGAATTCCCCATACAGCAAAGGCCATATTGTTTAGAATTCCCCATACAGCAAAGGCCATGATTGTTTAGAATTCCCCATACAGCAAAGGCCATGATTGTTTAGAATTCCCCATACAGCAAAGGCCATATTGTTTAGAATTCCCCATACAGCAAAGGCCATGATTGTTTAGAATTCCCCATACAGCAAAGGCCATGCAAAGGCCATGATTGTTTAAATTCCCCATACAGCAAAGGCCATGATTGTTTAGAATTCCCCATACAGCAAAGGCCATGATTGTTTAGAATTCCCCATACAGCAAAGGCCATGATTGTTTAGAATTCCCCATACAGCAAAGGCCATGATTGTTTAGAATTCCCCATACAGCAAAGGCCATGATTGTTTAGAATTCCCCATACAGCAAAGGCCATGATTGTTTAGAATTCCCCCCATACAGCAAAGGCCATGATTGTTTAGAATTCCCCATACAGCAAAGGCCATGATTGTTTAGAATTCCCCATACAGCAAAGGCCATGATTGTTTAGAATAGAATTCCCCATACAGCAAAGGCCATATTGTTTAGAATTCCCCATACAGCAATTGTTTAGAATTCCCCATACAGCAAAGGCCATATTGTTTAGAATTCCCCATACAGCAAAGGCCATGATTGTTTAGAATTCCCCATACAGCAAAGGCCATATTGTTTAGAATTCCCCATACAGCAAAGGCCATGATTGTTTAGAATTCCCCATACAGCAAAGGCCATGATTGTTTTCCCCATACAGCAATTCCCCATACAGCAAAGGCCATGATTGTTTAGAATTCCCCATACAGCAAAGGCCATGATTGTTTAGAATTCCCCATACAGCAAAGGCCATATTGTTTAGAATTCCCCATACAGCAAAGGCCATATTGTTTAGAATTCCCCATACAGCAAAGGCCATATTGTTTAGAATTCCCCAAACAGCAAAGGCCATGATTGTTTAGAATTCCCCATACAGCAAAGGCCCCCATACAGCAAAGGCCATGATTGTTTAGAATTCCCCATACAGCAAAGGCCATGATTGTTTAGAATTCCCCATACAGCAAAGGCCATGATTGTTTAGAATTCCCCATACAGCAAAGGCCATGATTGTTTAGAATTCCCCATACAGCAAAGGCCATGATTGTTTAGAATTCCCCATACAGCAAAGGCCATGATTGTTTAGAATTCCCCATACAGCAAAGGCCATATTGTTTAGAATTCCCCATACAGCAAAGGCCATATTGTTTAGAATTCCCCATACAGCAAAGGCCATGATTGTTTAGAATTCCCCATACAGCAAAGGCCATATCGTTTAGAATTCCCCATACAGCAAAGGCCATATTGTTTAGAATTCCCCATACAGCAAAGGCCATGATTGTTTAGAATTCCCCATACAGCAAAGGCCATGATTGTTTAGAATTCCCCATACAGCAAAGGCCATGATTGTTTAGAATTCCCCATACAGCAAAGGCCATGATTGTTTAGAATTCCCCATACAGCAAAGGCCATGATTGTTTAGAATTCCCCATACAGCAAAGGCCATGATTGTTTAGAATTCCCCATACAGCAAAGGCCATATCGTTTAGAATTCCCCATACAGCTAAGGCCATGATTGTTTAGAATTCCCCATACAGCAAAGGCCATGATTGTTTAGAATTCCCCATACAGCAAAGGCCATGATTGTTTAGAATTCCTCATATAGCAAAGGCCATGATACAAAGACATGATGGAAAACTGGTTAAAATCCATAATCAAATACTGTTAAAATCAGATAAGCTTTTCAATATAGTTAATCAATTTCATAAATGACTGCTTGTGTGATAAATATTTATAGAAAGTGAATGTATTCTCTGTAGGAGTAGTGTTTTTGTTCCGTGTAACTTTAACCCAAAATACTTCACTTACCGACAATTAACTTAAGAACAAATATAATAGGCATCTTTATTATGTATTAATCTTATTTTCAATTCATACAAAGCCTTTTCATCTAACTGATGAATAGCTTACTTTCCACACTGGTGCTATATTCCATCCTTTCTAGAACTTTCCTCAAAAGTCTAACCTCAATGTCATACCTCGTAATGGTTATATTACATTATCTCTTGATAAATAAAAGCAATATCAAACAGTTTGAACGAACAATCACTTAAAGACTGTAGCATTTACCCGAGTTGTCATCGCTGTTCTCTAATTCTTGTCCCGGTGTTGGTCCAGCATCTGACAAGCTTTCAGACACTGTAAGTACAATGTTTTTTGTTATAACCACCTTTTTTGTGATGCAAGATTAAAAGAAAACAAGACAAAAGTTAAAGAAATCATAACAAGAATACCAGATTTTACAGGTTATATGCCACACTTGGTATATAAGCCACATTCTTTAATACGACATGGTGACAACTATTTTTGACATTTGATATACAGGTAACAGATAACGGAAGGCAGTTCTTATGAAGTGGTAACCGCTACAACAGACAACGGAAGTCAATTAATCAGGATTGTCAGTGAAACATCTAATAAAGTTTGCAAACAAAAGAGAGTTCTTTATTTTATGGAAGTATTTAAAAAAAATATGAAATTGGAAATTTCTGAATTGTTTGGCTTGGATCTCTTCACAGATTATCTATGCACAGATATAGGGCCTGACGTCACATACAGTTTACTAAACAATTTCTCCATTGGTGTCTGAACTATTAAGTGTTAACAAAGATTGTTCCAAGCTGACAAAATTCCTATAGCCCTGCATTATTTCTTCTTGTAAGTTACATTAATTCATTCATATCATAAACAAGCACCGCGGTCGTTATAGATTTTGACTTATAATGGCCTACCCATCCCAGGATGCAAAAAGGCTATTGTAAACTTCCACTATGGCTTCCAAGTAACCGTGATTAATATCAAATCAATTAAATCCACAAGAATGTTATTTTTATTTCAATATTCAAATCATCCTGTATATGATTGCAAATGACAGTTCAAGATGATCTGTTTCAATCACAAACACAGTACGGGCAGGTACTCATAAAAAAAACTTAGCAGGGCTCTCGATCTGCCAGATTGTGGGCCGAACATTCCCAATGCAAAATAGTTTCTTTTTTTCCCAATCTAGACCCGAAGTTTTCCAAATTCTAAGGAAAACACCATTATTTTTCCCAATTCTAAGAGCCCCGTGCCCCAGTCCCTAAATAGGGTGTGAGAGCCCTGCTTAATATCATCTCATACTGGTGTACTTGTATGTTTCAAGATTTTTTTCATCCTGCATTTTTTTTGTTGTTTTTTGTCTGGCCAATTTTTTTTGTCAATATATAAGCTGTACTGTGATATAAGCCCCACACACCTGACTCAGAGGGAAAAAATTAAGGCTGATAATCCAGAAAATACAGTAGTATACTTATAGGCCATATATTTAAATACTTACACTTTTCAGGGTCTCTCTTTTTCTTGGACTTCTTCTTCTTCTTAGGTATATCTTTTTCAATATAAACAGTAAAACAAAAATTAAAGATGAACGAAAAATGATGAAGAGGTTCTGTAAAGGTTGGACATTGACATGACAACACAGAATAAGCCACAGGATCAGAAATGGCATTGGAAATCATTATTTAAAAGTAAATCAAATAAATCTCAAATATTGAAAGACTTCAAAAAAAACATTTGTTGGCAAATGTCTTATTACATCATTTAAAAGTATGTTTTGATGTGGTCAATAAACAAACTGAATCTGCCATTTGTTTTTGAGACCACTTTACTCCCATGAAGTTAACTTGTCCATGTCTCTTGACATCAAAATTTTGGATATAATGCTGTGGACTTTCTTGGGAAAAAAAACAGGACAAAAATTTCCGAACTGATTAAAGTGAGAGAGCAATGTTATATCAATGTGAATACAAAATAACACCTTATTGAACCTAGTTAACAGAATTTTTACTTCAATGTCTGAAGACCTCTTATGGAAATGTTGACTTATTCAACATTGTTAGTGTTCTAATTAATAAACCCCAACCTCTAACCCCACATCTCAGTCTCAACCACCAAATCTCCGTAAGACTGCCTTGCTCTTAATCCATAATATCTCATCAAACACTAACTGCATCCTTTCAAATTTGTCGTTAATATTCTATGGTCTTGTTCCCATTCTCCATTATCTTTATTTATCCTAAGCTGACCTACTTTCACTCTACCTAAGCATAGCATTATTCTTCTGCTTGAAGGAAGAGATCATTATTTACAGATAATTTTTTAAAAGATTCTTACTCTACATACAAGGTAGGAATAGTGAAAAATATTTCGCCTTGGCATATGTTGTAACTATGCACTATTCATTTCTCTGGATGACTGCCCTATATGGACTGGACCCCTAATCGAGACTTAGTAACGTGAAATCTACACTTCTAAACTTCTATTCTATTGGTCCAAATTATTTTTAAATTCTATCCATTTTTGTATACATCTGGAGTTGATGATTGATATCATCAACGTAAGAAAGCTGATTGAACAGCAGAACCAATAGGGCAGACTTCTTATGAAGCAGATGTCACTTCAGAGGCCAGACTAGTGTATCACTGAATCCCCTGAACTTGTGGAGCACATTAATTCATGCTGTGTTTATTTTTTGTGCCCATATGACTACGATTCTAATTCTGCAAGTTAATTTTTAACTACTCCTGAAGTACTGTCATGTTTTGTATTCCATTTTATCAAGGAAGACAACTTGCTGATTTTATCCATTTTTCCGTGATTTAATATATATTAAGTTTATGAATGGTTTGGAAAAGCTTAGATCACGTTTTCATTAGAAATATAAAAAAAAGTTCTTTATAAATGGTTTTTGACACCGGAAACGTATATAAGCCTTGACCTATATCACAACGTACATCCGGGTCATTAATTTAAATAATGCCTATTTTCTAAAAATAGATGTCGACACTGAGGTAAACATTGTTGAAGTTATCTGGTTTACTTGGTAAACTGTTTATGTCGTGCACTGCGGTTATTCAAATTAAAACAAAAAATAACGCTAAACTGCTGGGATTGTCTGGATTCCTACCGATGTAGGTCAGTAGAGTGAGAGTCAAACTACTAGGTAAATGAAGAGAACGGGTACTATATTAGTACTAGTTTGGCTAGATAATGTCTCCGATAATACATAATTTTGTATATCATATGTACATTGTGTAAACAGTACAAGGCTTAGCGTTACTTGAGCTCGACCGGGACACTGGACATTCGCCTGGCGGGACCAGGCCACGCCAAATCTGTAAAGCCCTGCAAATGGACAACACGAAATCGGGCTCTGTGACATTAACATTATTGTACTCTGGTTATATTGCACTATATATGACATCTACTTTACCATATTTGTCTGTATCCTCTGCTAAACGTTTCCGCTTTTTTGGACTTTTAGTCGAAGAACTTGACGGTGCCATGCTTAATCGTCGAGGTTATGCACACGCTTTATTATGAATTATGAGTTGTCTCCCTTCAACAGTAAGCGGAAACGTGAAAGGAGGGCCTTCTGGTGGCCATGACGAGTACTTTTTATTTTTTGTCTATTAAAAACTTCAGGTCAGGCGGTAATGACATGACATTAATCTAAGGTCAGCTCAAGGCTGTTCAGTTGTTATGGGGGAACGAGTTGGGGATCAAATTCATAATTATTGCAATAATTATCAAACTAATATTTTTTTTAAAGTTTTTTTTCTCTTATATGTCATTTGATGATATATTTCAAAACCTTCATTAGAAAAAATGACCAAAAATTATGCCAATGTTGAAAAGTAGGTCACGGTAATGAAGTGCCCTATTTACTAATTAAGTCACACTTGAGCACCGTTTTTGGTCATACATTTGATATTTAGGTGTTAATTTATTTCAGTTACAATAACAGTAATAGGATTTATACTCTGGTTTGTAAAGCAGAGAAGGAGGAAAAAGCTCGAGAAGCCAGTCTATAACAACTCTTTGAATTGATTGGTTGATTAAAGGTATTATTTCCATTTATTATTCATTGCTATAATTTATAGGTTTTCTTCTTGTGTTAGGATGTTTTTATTATGAAAAAGGTAATTACTAGTATTTCCCTTCTTATTTTTTAGAATTCTTACCAGTATGGCTGTGGGCTTGTTTAGAGCTAGCACTGCAGGCACTTGATGAATTTTTGATGGCTATATTCATAATTTTGGTGTCTGTAGTGTTAGCTCACTTTCCACTTGCATTCAGACAACACAGACAACCACCACATAGACATCTGCCTCCACCACACAGACAACCACCACACAGACAACACAGACAACCACAACCACCACAACCTGGACAAGGACGGTACAATTTAAGACCGAGACGGAGATAATCTACTTTAGGTACAAACATAATTCTTTTGGTTACATGTAATAAGAAGATATGAATTAAACAAGGGTGTATATGATGAGACTTTTAGCTGCTAACTATACACATATTTATTGTTGTATAGAGTATTACAAGCGTCTATATGTAATGTCTGATTCAGTGAATAATCCTAATTTCCTATTACATTGTGTATTGATTTCTTTTTAGCAAGGTCTAATGTCTATTATATTGAATTTATTTCAGCAAGACAAAGTCGATTAGGAGGAGAGGAACATAGAATGGAATTAATAGAGTGTCCATCCACCTGCTCATCTGTCCTTTCATAAACTTTTATTGGCAATTGTGAACTATTTAAAATGTAAATGTCTTTTCATTTCTATAATGTTCGTATGACCCTTTCTGCATAATTAGCTTTTGTTTCGTTTTGGGTTGTGAAGTAGTGCACATCATTGTCTTTACATCATTTTTTTTTAGCCAGCGATTATTAAATTCACTCCCTTTATCAGTTCGTAACCTTTTTGGAACCTTACCTATTGTAAATACTTTCTGAAATGCATTTAATATGTCTTTTCCTGTTTTTGTTTTGACAATTTTAAATTCAGAGAAATCGACTGAAGACGTCAATGACTACTAACAGAAATCTTACTCTTGCATTCTGTTTGGAAAGTGATGTCATATCAGCCAGATCAGCATCATATTGCTCATACGAACCAATAACCTCGACTCTTGCTCGTTTGAAGGAACGCTTGATTGGCTCCTGTAGACTGTAAACATCAAGACTTTGAATGTAGTTTCTGATTTTATACAAGCCAGGCCTTTGAAAACCACGCGATTTCAATTTTTGTTGGACTTGAAAAAGAGCCACCATTATTAAAATTCAAGTAGACCTCATTAATTCTCTTGTTTTTCTTATTCAGTCAGCATGATGATGTATATACATCAAAGTCTATATGGTCTCTGAGACTGTTCGTAACTGTTTTAAAATATATATAACGAAAAGAAATGGATTGATTAAATAATTTAATCGTATACCATTTTTCATATACAACAAAGAGTATGTCATAATTAATTTACATTCATTTTTTTATGAAACCAATTTTCTATGATGATCCATACACATAACCATTTTACTGACATGTTCTTTCCATTTTTCTGTTTTATGTTCACAAACTCTCCATTCAGTACTACAAAGCTGTGTTGTGAACATGTTTCTGCTAGATGTTGATGCATCCCATTTAGCAATTTCATTAATAAAATCACAAATCACTATTATGTCGTCTATTCGTTGAAAGGCATCCTTTATATAACACTGAAGATTTTTAACAATAACGTATATGTGTTGTGCATAAACGAAATTTAGATGATTGTATAAACTATAGAAAGAAGCCATATCTATAACAAGCACGGTTTTAGTATTCACTCTCTGTCCTATTTTTCATAGAATCTGGAGGGTAAGGTAATACCACATGATCGTTTGTACACTGCACAGAGAAGTTTTTATGCTTCCAATATTTCAGAGTTTTTCCACACTTGAAACAGGTAATATAATCATTGATGCCTTCATAAAAAAATCCATCACCAGCTAATTGATAAGGACTCTGACGTAGTTTAGTGTTCAACTGAGAAAATGTCATTAAACGGTCTGTGTAACTTGCCATATGCTGATTATAACGTTGACTATCTACAAGTTAAGCAAAATAATATCACTCAAAATGATTATAAAATGACTTACTATAGAGTATATATCGTTATTGTCATATCTATTTCACGGAAAAAACCCATAAAGAATACTTTATTCTGGCTTTGTAAAACACATATTTGAGATATGTTTCCTGTTTCTGTAAAAGTATTACCATTCTGTAATCAACTTAAATCGTGTGTTGTCTATGTTATTCACATATCTTTTGATTTTACAATCAAACGTTCCTTTGATATAGTCTTCTTTATGGAATATCTCGTTTTCTATGATATTGTTTAACATTATGAAAGGTATATTTGACTCTGCTAATAATTGCATCCACAGCCGTTCAGCTTCCCTATGCTCAACACTTTGCAGAGCTTCCTTAAAATATATATCTCCGTCTTATCTTCTGCTGTTAACAAAACACAGCTATGTCCAAGCTGATTGGCTTGACCTTCTTCACATCCAACACACACAAAGTGTTCAGAAATTTTCAGGTTTGTCATGTAAGCATAAGCTAGGCAAAGTAAATTTTTCACTAATTTCCTGTACGCCTTTTCTTTTATACGTTCCTGTAAGTCGACCTGTATTCTTTCCACTAAGATTTGGCATTCCATATTTTTCATATAGCACGTTTAAGATAATCCAGTATCGACTCACTTCAACAGTTTCACTTTTACTGTTTAACAAATAATAAAATTCTGTTCATGATATACTTGGTAAAATCATCTGTAAATAATGACAATTTTTTGACCATTTTCTATGCTCAGCTTCAGCAAGGTCGAAATAATCCCAATGCTTCAATGTAATTCCACAAGAAAAACAGGTCATCTTGTCAGCTCTTCCAGAATAAAAGAATCCGTTACAGGCAAGAAGGTGTGGTGTCTGACTTAATTGTCGTGGCCAGTCTTTAAAACTATTTAAACGATCGCTACACTTGCTCATAGACTGATGTGTAGGTATTGCAGCACAAATACTGTCTGTAGTGAGTTCAAGGGACATCGCCTTTAATGAACGAATATACGCACTGTAAACTTTCAGATAAATTAAAAATATCTTGGAAAAATTCTCCAGACAAACAGACAGCCCTTCTCCCTTCTTTTAAAAAGATTTTGATCTCACCTTTTACTTTTTTGACGATGACTTCCTGAGATATGTTCAGTCGACAAACAGCTCAATTTGATGAAGCTTCTATGATGGAAATGTCTTCGCTCTTGACTTGATCGACGTATGCTTGAGCCATTGAATGACAAAAAATTATTTCACAGACTATATATAGAGGGGATAACGTATACACTACGTTTTCTTAATTTATGATAATGTTCTTGATTTATGATAATGTTATCTGACATTGATGAATCTCTTCTGTCCTCCAGGACATTCCCCCTGCCCTCCTGTCCTCCAGGACATTCCCCCTGTCCTCCTGTCCTCCAGGACATTCCCCCTGCCCTTCTGTCCTCCAGGACATTTCCCCAATCCTCCTGTTCTCCAGGACATTTACCCTGCCTCATGTCCTCCAGGACATCCCCCCTGTCCTCCTGTCCTCCAGGACATTCCCCTGTCCTCCTGCCCTCCAGGACATTACCCGTAAAACATTACTACTTCTCGGTGAGTCAATTATGGAGTGATTATTTACGGACCAGACTTGTCTCGGTGAGTCAATTACTGAATGATAATTGGGAGAGGAAACTTATCTGGGAAAACCCACGTGAGCGCCCGGGGTACTCCAGTTTCCTTCCAAGATAAGATCCCCTCGGACGTTTACATTCGGGCCTGCAAGAGTGATAAGCATAAGCTGATATATTGTTTCGCAACTTTTGTCAAATAAATTATCTATTTAATCTATTTATTTATACATATATATATTTGCATTTCCAGATATTTTAATACATATACAGTCAAAAGACATCAAACATTCACGCATGGATATCATGACGATCTTCATATACAAGACTTTTGTGACATCATTTTAATAATTACATACCATATATTATTGCAGTTCTTATTGCATCATCATCATCATCATCATCATCATCATTATCATCATCATCAAGTCATTGTCATCAAAAAATAATCGAACACTAATCAGGCCTTAGATAAAAATGTTTGCGTTTCCTGTTTCAAGATCGCGATCGGGCATGGCCCAATGTTTTGGTTTTCATCGTTTTTGTAATACTCCATGTTGATTTGGTTGATATTTTGTCTGCTAGCGATCCCGAGCAGCACTAGAGTCATATACAGACTGATGATGGTCGTCATGACAACATCGGCTTTGGCAACATTTTTTAAGTGCATACACGTCTGAAAACACCATGAAATTAAGCAGAGAAAAAGGATAGGACCAGGTTCTCCTTACAAGTATGCACCTCTTATGTATCTCTTCAATGATGTGCACCAAAGTTTTATTGTTTATTCCTGTCTTTCATGTCCATTTTAAACAAGAAGAAAGGAGGGCATATAGGAATCGCCTTGTCTTTCTGTCCACCTGTCCAAGATTTTATATACAAGTTGGAAGGAGGATATATATATAGAAATCGCCATGTCTTTCTGTCCACCTGTCCAAGATTTTATATGCAAGTTGGAAGGAGGATATATAGGAATCGCCTTGTCTTTCTGTTCACCTGTCCAAGATTTTATATACAAGTTGGAGGGAGGGTGTATAGGAATCGCCTTGTCTTTCTGTCCACCTGTCCAAGATTTTATATACAAGTTGGAAGGAGGATATATATAGGAATCGCCTTGTCTTTCTGTCTACCTGTCCAGATTATAAACAAGTTGGAGGGAGGGTGTATAGGAATCACTTTGTCTGTCTACCTGTCCTGAACCTTATGCACAAGTTCAGTATATAGAAATCACCCTGTCCACCTGTCTAGAACTTTATAAACAAGTTGGAGGGAGGGTGTATAGGAATCACTTTGTCTGTCTGTCTACCTGTCCTGAACCTTATGCACGCGTTCAGTAAATCTGGAGGGAGGGTATATAGGAATCACCTTGTCTGTCAGCCTGTCTGTTTGTCAACTTGTCCAGGACCTTATGAGAACAGCTCCTCCTACATTAGTTGACGGGATTTCATTGACACGCAGCACTTTATAGCAGGCCCGTAACAAAGCACGCTCTTGTTGGTAGGGCAGAAAAGACTACCAATTTTTAAAAAAATCAAACAACATAGATTTTCTGACACAATATGATAATAATCTCACAATACACACATGCTACACTTCAAATCGCCCTGCTCTGCTCGTCCGTTCGTAATCATTTTTTGTTAACGCTATTTCTTGAGAAGTACTCTATTTCTACCTACATTTGTACCTGTATTTGAATTCGGGGACTGGTGAAAAAATTGCCGATAGGCGCCCCTCTTGAATTCTGACAAAGAAAGTTTGTTATCGCTTTATAGTGCTGGATAGATTTTTATCATATTTCATATGTATTTCTGTTGGTCACTAGTTCTGCCTTTTTTTATTCTGGGACTGATTAGAAAAAAAAAACAAATATGGATTACAAGCGATCGTCTATTGGAGTTGGCAGATAAACACTAGTACTATTTCTTAAAAGGATATTTTTAAAACTTTCATATGATTAAAACAACAACAATGGAAAGAAGAGAACAGAAGGGAAAGGATACAACTTTTGATCTTAAGAACAAATAAAGATAAAAGATGGTGTACGTTCCCCTAAATAACCATTACAACTTTTAAATAACCATCATTTCAAAATCTCAGACTAATGAAATTACCCCTGACCACTCGGAACTACACTGCAGTGGCAATGGGAAAACGGAAAAGTGCCAGTAAAACTGATAGCTGATCATGATTATCTATAAATGTTGTTATTGACGACACAAACCAGAGAATGGATGAAAATGCCAAAGAGGCCTGTATCGCTCACCTGTCACTGGCTGTTCAGTTATTTAATAAAGAATTTCAAATATGGCAAATATTTTCTGATGTAATTCCCCTATTGGACCTTCTGGTGAAACAGACGTCATACTCACTAGTAATAAAAATAGCTTCAGACAGAACGTCGACAATTTCCTTGTACGGAAGGATTTTTTAAGAACTTACATTTCCCCAGTTGACCCCCATTCAGTCCTCCCGTCCAAGGGGTAGGGTGCGCCGTTTACTCATAACTGGACCCCCTTCGTCAAAGAATACCTCACACCTTGAAATTTTGGCAAAATCCAATCATTCATACCGGAGGAGTTGATTTTTTACTCTATTTCCCCAATTGGGCTTCACCCCTCCCGTCCCTGGGGGGCTGATAATCAAGATTTATACACATTGTTCATTTGTTCATGACCAGTATCGATTTGTAGTAAAAAGCTTATTCGGGAACCACGGACACCGGACGGACGACGGACGGCGAGCGTCGAGTCATGGCAGTGAAAACACTTTTGAGACAACCATGTAACTCTCTAATACACAGAGGTACAAATTTAGTCCCTATATAATCGGAATACCTTTGGACTTTACTTCTAGAAGTGTTTCCACCGACAGGCCGGGAGAAAGACGTCTGCCACAGTACGATGGCTATCAACCCAGATCTCGCTAAAGAGCGACGAAATGCCAGCTTCAATGTTGAAGATCTTACCAACTTCATCTATCACGGACCAGAAAGAGCAAGAAGGAGGCGTTATATTCGTAAGATTCTTATTCTGTTCTCAATATTGCATGAAGTGCTAACTGTCACGTAAGCTGGTAGGGTGATTTGATATCCAATCAAGCAGGTGTACATTGACATGTCAAAATCTAGGTCGCCTTTTGATAAAAACGCAGGATTAGGCCTAGCGTAGTTTTATGCTATTTGTACTTCACTTAATGTATTTGCACATGCATACATGTACACAAGACCTAGTATCTAGACCTATACATTTGTACATTTACAGGGGCGGTATTGCTAGTTGTGATAACGCGCAAGAACTTCATGCGCGCACCCGCACTATATAGTATCTTGCGCGCAACTAACTGTATGACAGGCATATCAAAATTTATCGGTGATAATCAAAGTAATTTCTAATCTAATATATTTTTGAAAAATCACTGGACCCTGCATTAATCAGTCATTCTATGATATACACACATATAATTCGCACACGCATGTAAAATGTACAGTCAAACATCTATGAATCAAACTTCGATTTTTATTTCAATATATTACTACTAATTTTATGAATCAAAGTTTTATGAATGGAACTTTTTGCTGTATCAAAGTTTTTTCATGGACCGTTATCCCTGATAATACAGTCGTTGATGCCTCATGATTTGAACAAAACATTTACCTGTACTGTACATGTATTTTCATCTTTGCATATTGCTACCTGGTGTGCAATTACAATAGTGCGCTAATATCGACTTTGTGTTGCAAGGTTAGTTAATGACTGAACACAGATTAAAGTTTAATTGTTTACTTACATGCCAAGCTCAAAATTATTTTCTTTCGGAATTGTGGGGATCAGATTTCTTCAAAAAGTTTGTACTGGTTTGACAATTTCATTTTTATTTTTTAAACTGGTAATTAATCGTAAGTGACCAAGTGTTGTGTGTTTGATGGACAGATAGGTGGTAATTAGCCATGTGTTATGTACAGGTGGCTTTCTACTCTGTGTATGTATTGACCAATTTCGTCAGAAGACGTGTCAATGTTTTGACAAAAATTAATTTCTAGACAACAAATGACTTTTCCCTTGCTTAACAATTGAAGGGACTGAAAAATCGCTTCACCTCAAGCAAAATTTTCACTCAATGAAATTTGAGTAATCTGAACTAAAAATACAAAGAAATCAGAAGGAAAAAATTGGAACTTGAAAATCATTTTGACTCAAATGGAATTTGACTCAAGTGATTTCGAGACAACAAGTTTCAACTGTACATGTACAGAATGTTTCTAGATGGACAGGTGGCACAGTGTAAAAATTAATTTAGGTCAATCATCAAGTTTATACATGTATAATTTGTACATATATGCCTGGAATTAGTCTGAAGGACTCTATCTATTTGTAATTTTATTTTTATCTTGATCAAGTGTGATAATGTTCACAACCAACACAAAAACAAAATCAAGGATACCGGTAGATAGTCAGAAACTAAGAACCCTTCAGACTAGTGTGAAATGTGATTTTTCCATACAATGGCACTATTTTCTGGTTTTTTTTTTGCACCATGAATAGCCAGGGTGATTTTGAGGCATTGTCTCCTTGTAGTAGCTGAAGGCAATTTTTCTGAAAAAAATTAAGGAGGTCAGTCACATATCACCCAGAGCAATCAGAGTAAAATGTCTTACTACAGGATACATCCAAGGAAGCACAGAGCTTCCTGAGAAACATTAATGTACCATGAATGATTCAGAAGAGTTAAAACACACACTTCTGATCATCCTCGATACTCCAGGGGTTATGCTCACTATCACTCTCTGTAATATTTCATGGAAATATTGAAGGTACAATGGAAGTAATTTGATTGGTCTAGAGTGGGTTTCAGGAGAAAACTGACCAATCACAGACTAATATGTTCCTTTGACGATTACACTGGAGCAGCACCCAACTTCAAAGCCATTACAACATACTGATATGTGACCTTAAAATTTGTTTGATGTACATTAAAGGATCAAACTAGTCTTCTTGTCTTATCCATAAGATGTCGCATATACAACTTACATTCAAGATTTATTTCTATCCTTATTAGAAAACCAAGGAATATTAAGAAAAGATTTTAATAGATGTGCATAGATTTTCATTGAAAACTAGTTGAAATGTATTAACTTTAAGAATGAAATATATAATTGTTTGCAGAGAACATTGCTCTCCAGGAGCCATTTTTGAAGAACTGTAAGCCATGGGCCTTTAGGAATAGAGAAGAGGAATATGAAATATCTCTTGAAAAACAGCTCCATGTCTTTAAGCGCCAGAAAGAACTCAATATAACTGATGATGTTGACAAGTTCTACTACAATGAGTAAGTTTACATTTTTACAGATATAAGGCTACATGTAACCTTACAGTGGATGTATTTACATATTCACCAGATTAATAATATTGCCATGGTGAAGCTTCCATCGTTTGTCCATCATTCTGTCACCTTTCTCTGTAAAATGTTATTCCCTTCTAATTAAGCCATCATGTTACCATGGGGATATTTGATATTTTGGTAAAAGGTTAAAATTTGATGGAATTTCTTAATATTTTCTATTCAAGTTTGACAATAAATCTGAAAAAAGTAAGCAAAGAAGACAAAGCTTCAGCAAAATGACTAAGTTAGCAGATCGTTGTAAATGCCACACTGATTATAAGAAAAACTTTATAATACACAAAGATGAAATACTTGTTATAGAGGAGGTGTAAAATCAGTCAAGATGATGATTATTATCTGTGTCTTCAGATCCAGAAAGAAAGTTTGGTTTGTGTGAGGTTCTATTAGGGAAGAATATGCAAATGTATATTAACTTTTGTGTACACTCGTGATTTGTGTTAAGGTTATATGCTACCTTACATATTATACTTGTGATTTGTGTTAAGGTTATATGCTACCTTACATATTATACGTGTGATTTGTGTTAAGGTTATATGCTACCTTACATATTATACCTGTGATTTGTGTTAAGGTTATATGCTACCTTACATATTATACCCATGATTTGTGTTTAGGTTATATGCTACCTTACATATTATACCTGTGATTTGTGTTAAGGTTATATGCTACCTTACATATTATACCCATGATTTGTGTTTAGGTTATATGCTACCTTACATATTATACCCATGATTTGTGTTTAGGTTATATGCTACCTTACATATTATACCTGTGATTTGTGTTAAGGTTGTATGCTACCTTACATATTTTACCTGTGATTTGTGTTAAGGTTATATGCTACCTTACATATTATACCTGTATGTACCTGTAAGTGTTGATTGTTGACAGAGCTTCAGCTCCTAGTGAGAACGCCCCATTTGGTCTACACTTTGCCATGTTCTTACCAACAATAGAGAAACATGGCACTGAGGAGCAGAGAAAGAAATTTGTACAACTGGCAAAAGACCTCCGAATCATAGGAACCTATGTACAGACTGAACTTGGACATGGTATATTTAGCTATAGAGGGCATATAATTATCATATTACTTGCTGTTCAACAGGGGTGTGGGAAGTGTAGGGGAGGGTGGGTGGGGGATGGGTTTTAGTGGTGTAGTGGTAATGCACTTGCCTTTCACCTAGCTGTCCGGAGTTCATTTTCTGAAACGGATGTGAAAAGGTAGGGGGTCACCTGTCCAACCTGTTTTGGTGGGGTACTCTGGTTTCCTCCCACAGGAAGACCTCATGTGAAAGTTTACTTTTGTTTTCTAAGAAATATGAGTTAGATTTTAGATATGTAGATTTAACCTGAATACATAAATATAAGATTATACTTCAACTCAAATTTAAATCCGCACATCTCCTTGGTAAGATGACATCACATGGTGGTCTGATCTGTATTTCTGTACTCATCAGCATTGTTAGAGACATTGATATATCTACTGGACTTATTCCTTAAATTTAATATTCAACATAACTGGCCTTATGTGTCCTGTCATACCACTATGCCATAAGTATTGTAAGTTATATGTAATATCACTTTGGTGACATTAGAAAGTCATGTCTTGATGATGTCACATGATTTTGTTGGTAGTACCATCTGCATCGAAATAACGCTGTCTTATAGGGAGATTAATTTGAATCACAGCTTACATGATAAATAGAATCTTACACTCATACAGATGTAATATGGAATTTATAAATCTTGTTAATGTCACTCACCTAAAGACTGGTAACAACAAAACATTGAAAAAATGAAATAAGTTCTGTAATTACAAAATCCTATACATTTAGAATAATTAAAACAATTTCCTTGATTTTTAGTTGTTATCTATGTCCATGTACTATAAGATCTCAGAATTCTATTCAGTTTTCCTGATATGAAAGTTCTCCCTGCCTACTTTAAATCTTGATCCTCTGTTGAATTATTGAAACTTTAAAAACAAATATGTTTAAAATATTACACAGATCAGTGTAACATACAGATCTTTCCTGAAGACACCAACTGTTATGTTTTTTTCATTGTATTTCTTTCTATGTCAGGAACCTTTATCAGAGGTCTTGAAACAACAGCAACCTTTGACCCCAATACCCAAGAGTTTGTTCTGAACACACCTACTCTCTCAGCAACCAAGTTCTGGCCTGGAAACTGTAAGTAGACTTGTTTACATGTAAAATTCCTGATAGTGTTACTATGTTTAGCAGTTACAATAAAAATGACATACTGTGTTAGACATGCTGAATATAAGTGTTATACTAGAGATGCTATATATATATATATATATATATATATATTTATAAATGTTACATCAGAGACAATAGGCTTATATAAATGTTACACCAGAGACAATAGGCTTGTATAAATGTTACACCAGAGACAATAGGTTTATATAAATGTTACACCAGAGACAAAAGGTTTATATAAATGTTACACCAGAGACAATAGGCTTGTATAAATGTTACACCAGAGACAATAGGCTTGTATAAATGTTATATAAATGTTACACCAGAGACAATAGGTTTATATAAATGTTACACCAGAGACAATAGGTTGATGTAAATGTTACACCAGAGACAATAGGTTTATATAAATGTTACACCAGAGACAAAAGGTTTATATAAATGTTACATCAGAGACAATAGGCTTGTATAAATGTTACACCAGAGACAATAGGTTTATATAAATGTTACACCAGAGACAATAGGTTTATATAAATGTTACACCAGAGACAATAGGCTTGTATAAATGTTACACCAGAGACAATAGGTTTATATAAATGTTACACCAGAGACAATAGGTTTAAGTAAATGTTACACCAGAGACAATAGGTTTATATAAATGTTACACCAGAGACAATAGGTTGATGTAAATGTTACACCAGAGACAATAGGTTGATGTAAATGTTACACCAGAGACAATAGGTTTATATAAATGTTACACCAGAGACAATAGGTTTATATAAATGTTACACCAGAGACAATAGGTTTATATAAATGTTACACCAGAGACAATAGGTTTATATAAATGTTAATGTAAATACACCAGAGACAAAAGGTTTATATAAATGTTACACCAGAGACAATAGGCTATATAAATGTTACACCAGAGACAATAGGCTTGTATAAATGTTACACCAGAGACAATAGGTTTATGTAAATGTTACACCAGAGACAATAGGTTTATGTAAATGTTACACCAGAGACAATAGGTTTATGTAAATGTTACACCAGAGACAATAGGTTGATGTAAATGTTACACCAGAGACAATAGGTTTATATAAATGTTACACCAGAGACAATAGGCTTGTATAAATGTTACACCAGAGACAATAGGTTTATATAAATGTTACACCAGAGACAATAGGTTTATATAAATGTTACACCAGAGACAATAGGTTATATAAATGTTACACCAGAGACAATAGGTTTATATAAATGTTACACCAGAGACAATAGGTTTATATAAATGTTACACCAGAGACAATAGGTTTATGTAAATGTTACACCAGAGACAATAGGTTTATATAAATGTTACACCAGAGACAATAAGCTTATATAAATGTTACACCAGAGACAATAGGTTTATATAAATGTTACACCAGAGACAATAAGCTTATATAAATGTTACACCAGAGACAATAGGTTGATGTAAATGTTACACCAGAGACAATAGGTTTATATAAATGTTACACCAGAGACAATAAGCTTATATAAATGTTACACCAGAGACAATAGGCTTGTATAAATGTTACACCAGAGACAATAGGTTTATATAAATGTTACACCAGAGACAAAAGGTTTATATAAATGTTACACCAGAGACAATAGGTTTATATAAATGTTACACCAGAGACAATAGGTTGATGTAAATGTTACACCAGAGACAATAGGTTTATATAAATGTTACACCAGAGACAATAGGTTTATGTAAATGTTACACCAGAGACAATAGGTTTATATAAATGTTACACCAGAGACAATAGGTTTATATAAATGTTACACCAGAGACAATAGGCTTATATAAATGTTACACCAGAGACAATAGGTTTATATAAATGTTACACCAGAGACAATAGGTTTATATAAATGTTACACCAGAGACAATAGGCTTGTATAAATGTTACACCAGAGACAATAGGCTTGTATAAATGTTACACCAGAGACAATAGGTTTATGTAAATGTTACACCAGAGACAATAGGTTTATATAAATGTTACACCAGAGACAATAGGTTTATGTAAATGTTACACCAGAGACAATAGGTTTATATAAATATTACACCAGAGACAATAGGTTTATATAAATGTTACACGAGAGACAATAGGTTTATATAAATGTTACACCAGAGACAATAGGTTTATATAAATGTTACACCAGAGATAATAGGTTTATGTAAATGTTGCACCAGAGACAATAGGTTTATATAAATGTTACACCAGAGATAATAGGTTGATGTAAATGTTACACCAGAGACAAAAGGTTTATATAAATGTTACACCAGAGACAATAAGCTTATATAAATGTTACACCAGAGACAATAGGTTTATATAAATGTTACACCAGAGATAATAGGTTTATGTAAATGTTGCACCAGAGACAATAGGTTTATATAAATGTTACACCAGAGATAATAGGTTGATGTAAATGTTACACCAGAGACAATAGGCTTGTATAAATGTTACACCAGAGACAATAGGTTTATGTAAATGTTACACCAGAGACAATAAGCTTATATAAATGTTACACCAGAGACAATAAGCTTATATAAATGTTACACCAGAGACAATAGGTTTATATAAATGTTACACCAGAGACAATAGGTTGATGTAAATGTTACACCAGAGACAATAGGTTTATATAAATGTTACACCAGAGACAATAGGTTTATATAAATGTTACACCAGAGACAATAGGTTTATATAAATGTTACACCAGAGACAATAGGTTGATGTAAATGTTACACCAGAGACAATAGGTTTATATAAATGTTACACCAGAGACAATAGGTTTATATAAATGTTACACCAGAGACAATAGGTTTATGTAAATGTTACACCAGAGACAATAGGTTTATATAAATGTTACACCAGAGACAATAGGTTTATGTAAATGTTACACCAGAGACAATAGGTTTATGTAAATATTACACCAGAGACAATAGGTTTATGTAAATATTACACCAGAGACAATAGGCTTGTATAAATGTTACACCAGAGACAATAAGCTTATATAAATGTTACACCAGAGACAATAGGGTTATGTAAATGTTACACCAGAGACAATAGGTTTATGTTAATGTTACACCAGAGACAATAGGTTTATATAAATGTTACACCAGAGACAATAGGTTTATATAAATGTTACACCAGAGAAAATAGGTTTATATAAATGTTACACCAGAGACAATAGGTTTATATAAATGTTACACCAGAGACAATAGGTTTATATAAATGTTACACCAGAGACAATAGGTTTATATAAATGTTACACCAGAGACAATAGGTTTATATAAATGTTACACCAGAGACAATAGGTTGATGTAAATGTTACACCAGAGACAATAGGTTGATGTAAATGTTACACCAGAGACAATAGGCTTGTATAAATGTTACACCAGAGATAATAGGTTTGAATAAATGTTACACCAGAGACAATAAGCTTATATAAATGTTACACCAGAGACAATAGGTTTATATAAATGTTACACCAGAGACAATAGGTTTATATAAATGTTACACCAGAGACAATAGGTTTGAATAAATGTTACACCAGAGACAATAGGTTGATGTAAATGTTACACCAGAGACAATAGGTTTATGTTAATGTTACACCAGAGACAATAGGTTTATATAAATGTTACACCAGAGACAATAGGTTTATATAAATGTTACACCAGAGACAATAGGTTTATGTAAATGTTACACCAGAGACAATAGGTTTATGTAAATGTTACACCAGAGACAATAGGTTTATGTAAATGTTACACCAGAGACAATAGGCTTGTATAAATGTTACACCAGAGACAATAGGCTTGTATAAATGTTACACCAGAGACAAAAGGTTTATATAAATGTTACACCAGAGACAATAGGCTTGTATAAATGTTACACCAGAGACAATAGGCTTGTATAAATGTTACACCAGAGACAATAGGTTTATGTAAATGTTACACCAGAGACAATAGGCTTGTATAAATGTTACACCAGAGACAATAGGCTTGTATAAATGTTACACCAGAGACAATAGGTTTATATAAATGTTACACCAGAGACAATAGGCTTGTATAAATGTTACACCAGAGACAATAGGTTTATGTAAATGTTACACCAGAGACAATAGGTTTATATAAATGTTACACCAGAGACAATAGGATTTTTTCTGAATGTTAAACACCTGAGAAGAAAACTCACATTGACAGATCCAACAGTACAGCAAAGATACTAAAAAACCTGTATGAACTAAATTTGATCACAAAGAGAGAAAAAAACTTAAAACTATTCATATTCTTTTAAATATTTCTGTTCTTTCCTTTTTGGAAGTATATGCTCAGTTAACCTGGACAATCTGACATCTTGTACCTGGCATGTTTAATGTATTGGTCAGGTTATTCTTGTACTGGAAACAGGCAAATCTCAATCAGGTGATTACAGGTATTGGTGTTTTCCTTCATGTTGAGTCTATCTGGTACATTTATGAAGCATTTGGTACAAAATAGTGTCATTATTAATACGCCGTGGAATGCAGGTGTCTTGACATTTTCAAGGATTAGAATCAAAGTTGGATATGAAGATGGGAATACAGAGTCCCAGGGTCTAGGTTACCAGTTTTATCTACTGGAACTAAAATTTAGGCTAAAATGTTTTTTTCAGTGGGAAAGACCGTCAACTACTGCATCCTCATGGCACAGCTTTACACTCAAGGCAAATGTCACGGTGTACACATGTTTCTGTGCCCCCTCAGGGATCTCGACACCCACCAGTCACTTCCAGGTGAGGTTCCATACAGGATGTTTATATTATCTGTACACAGAAAGTTTATGTTTTTCCCTTTTGGTACCTCAACATTCAGCATAGCATTTTGCTGCTCCCTGCCTAAATTTACACAAAACGTTTTAACTCACTTAAATTGAATAATCAGTTATTTTAAGTTTTCCTATGGTCAGCCGAGTTCAAGATAACAATGTTCAACTGTATGTCCAATATTTTTGCTGGCAATAAACTCATACAATATGAAAAGCCTGCCCTGAATCAATTATTTTGCAGTTTTGGTCAGATGTCAACAAGTATGTAACACAGCATCAATCAGTCACATCTCTATGTCTCAAATTTACAACTTCAGGTTTAGCACTATCTATGTTCTGTGCATGCAGAATGTCTTACCCCGGCAAGATACAGATGTCTTACTCTCGCTAGAAGTACAGATATTTCTGTCTGATAGGATAGAATCACATAGTCTAGATTTTGAGTTCATAGCATACTTTTATGCTCTTTTCGTCAAATGTGCTGATTAGTTTGCAATTTGTTTTACATTCAAGGGGTGGAATTAGGTGACATTGGACCAAAATTTGGATTTGGGTCTAATGATAATGGTTATCTTCGCTTGAACAACTTCAGAATTCCTCGGGACCATATGTTGATGAGATATTCCAAGGTTTGTGTGGATTTTTCAAAGCTGCAGATGTTTTGTATTAACTGTCTTTATCCTGCAAGTGGTACTGCCGTTATCAGAATACACATATATTTTTGCTGTATTAAGCAGTGACAGAAAATAACTTTTTTTGGCATGCATTAAATTGACAAAATAACTTTCTTGTTTGCTTTAATATTTCATTTTAAAATATAAAACAATGTTTTTAATACACTATCTTAATTGTTGTAATCGACAGGTTTATTTACGTAAATTTGTAAAATTGTTTTTTATATCGATGAAAGCAATTATTTTAACATTTACCATCAGGCACAATTAAGCATAACATCAACATCGGGTAAAAAAAGATTGAAAACTAGCTCATGTAAAGCTCTCTACTTATATCTTTCTTCACTCTTTCCAAAATATAGCTTATATTTGAAGACTTTGTATTCTCTAAGTAAAGTCATTTGTGTCTGTTCACCTGAAATTGACAGTTCCTTTGTGTCTGTTTACCCGACATTGACAAGTCCTTTGTGTCTGTTAACCTAACATTGACAGGTCCTTTATGTCTGTTTACCTAACATTGACAGTTCCTTTGTGTCTGTTTACTTAACATTGACAAGTCCTTTGTGTCTGTTTACCTAACATTGACAAGTCCTTTGTGTCTGTATACCTAACATTGACATGTCCTTTGTGTCTGTTTACCTAACATTGACAAGTCCTTTGTGTCTGTTTCCCTAACACTGACAGGTCCTTTGTGTCTGTTTACCTAACATTGACAGTTCCTTTGTGTCTGTTTACCTAACATTGACAGTTCCTTTGTGTCTGTTTACCTTACATTAACAGTTCCTTTGTGTCTGTTTACCTGACATTGACAAGTCCTTTGTGTCTGTTTACCTGACATTGACAGTTCCTTTGTGTCTGTTTACTTAACATTGACAGTTCCTTTGTGTCTGTATACCTAACACTGACAGGTCCTTTGTGTCTGTTTACCTGACACTGACAGGTCCTTTGTGTCTGTTTACCTAACATTGACAGGTCCTTTGTGTCTGTTTACCTGACACTGACAGATTTGTGTCTGTTTACCTGACATTGACAGTTCCTTTGTGTCTGTATACCTAACATTGACAGTTCCTTTGTGTCTGTTTACCTGACATTGACAAGTCCTTTGTGTCTGTTTACCTGACATTGACAAGTCCTTTGTGTCTGTTTCCCTAACACTGACAGTTCCTTTGTGTCTGTTTACCTGACATTGACAGTTCCTTTGTGTCTGTTTACCTAACACTGACAGGTCCTTTGTGTCTGTTTACCTAACATTGACAGTTCCTTTGTGTCTGTTTACCTAACATTGACAGTTCCTTTGTGTCTGTTTACCCAACATTGACAGGTCCTTTGTGTCTGTTTACCTAACACTGACAGTTCCTTTGTGTCTGTTTACCTGACATTGACAGGTCCTTTGTGTCTGTTTACCTGACATTGACAGTTCCTTTGTGTCTGTTTACCTAACACTGACAGGTCCTTTGTGTCTGTTTACCTAACATTGACAGGTCCTTTGTGTCTGTTTACCTAACATTGACAGGTCCTTTGTGTCTGTTTACCTGACACTGACAGGTCCTTTGTGTCTGTTTACCTGACACTGACAGGTCCTTTGTGTCTGTTTACCTGACACTGACAGATTTGTGTCTGTTTACCTAACATTGACAGGTCCTTTGTGTCTGTTTACCTAACATTGACAGGTCCTTTGTGTCTGTTTACCTAACACTGACAGGTCCTTTGTGTCTGTTTACCTGACACTGACAGGTCCTTTGTGTCTGTTTACCTAACACTGACAGTTCCTTTGTGTCTGTTTACCTGACATTGACAGGTCCTTTGTGTCTGTTTACCTGACACTGACAGGTCCTTTGTGTCTGTTTACCTGACACTGACAGATTTGTGTCTGTTTACCTAACATTGACAGGTCCTTTGTGTCTGTTTACCTGACACTGACAGATTTGTGTCTGTTTACCTAACATTGTCAGTTCCTTTGTGTCTGTTTACCTAACACTGACAGGTCCTTTGTGTCTGTTTACCTAACACTGACAGGTCCTTTGTGTCTGTTTACCTGACACTGACAGGTCCTTTGTGTCTGTTTACCTGACACTGACAGATTTGTGTACTTTTGCATTGGGTGTCTGTAATATTTTCTTGGTGACATGTTTTGCTACTGTATATGTATTAAGATACATGTAGCAATATATTTCCTAGAATCAAGCGTTGCTATTATTTTTATTGAAATACATGCCCCTGAAGATTTGGTTAAAATACATAATAAAAATTTTCTAATTCTAAAAACTGCTTGATAAGTTTCTGTATGTTGTGTGACAGGTACTAGAAGATGGAACCTATTTAAAGCCAACGAACTCCAAACTGTCGTACGGGTCCATGGTGATGATACGTGCTGGCATTGTTAGCGCAGTGTCTCGGTCCCTGGCTCAAGCCTGTGTCATCGCTGTCAGATATAGTGCAGTTCGAAGACAGACCGAGGTGTCCCCAGGGTAAGAATGTCTCTTGGTGACATGATTAGTAAAGGTCTTTACAGGGAAAGAATATCTTCCTGAGTATTTCGTCCAGTGCTGGTCTTTCCTGAGACAGAATTTCTCCCCGAGTGTTTCACACAATTGAGAACTTTCGGGGGATAAAGCATATCTCAAAATGTACGCATAAATGCTGGATCCCTAACCAGGAATTATGGGGGTCTATAGATTTACACTGTGTTCATCCATCCTTCCAATATGATGTCCATTTCCCGGTTCTTTTGTCTGCATCCTATCTCCTACAGTATACTACTTGTCACAGGAATTTCATACTTGAGTAATGGTTTCACTATGGTAAAGAGGTGTGTGTCATGTACCAAAAGTACGTCAATCTGACCTGCTTTTTAACCTTTGACCTAATTAAACAAACATTTGTTGGGGCTTCATCTCCTACACTACTTGTCACTGGAACTTCTTACTTTGGTATCTAACCATCTACAAAAAACAAGAAAGTAAGATAACCTAAGATGTGATTTGTGTTAAGTTCAAATGTAATTGCGTATTTAGATTAGGTTCTGTGTTATGTTTGAACAGTGCTTTGATTATAAGGTCATTGGGCTGATCTTCTAGGTGAAAGGGGTCAGATTGATTAAACCTTTAAACAAATTATTCTGATTAAACCTAGAATCATATATATTTATGTGATAGGTATCTTGAATGAATCCCAACACTGTTCTTTAAAAAATTGGCCTTGCGACATCTTCTAGGTCACATGAGCCAAATTTGTTCAAATTTTCAGCAATATTTTCTCATTAACTTTGAAAATAAATGATGTGAATGTTGATGTTCTTGTAAAAAGCATGGAGTACAAGGTGAGTGATGCAGACTCAAAGGGCACCATGTATTAAATCGAAAATTAGATTTTGATAGTTGTAGATATTGATCAAAAGAGATAATTGTAGCATCATTGAGGACAACATGAACAGGGCACCTTAAAGTCATTTATCAGCTTGAGCTGGTGAAATCAAGAGAGTTGGCAAAACTTATTGTCTCACATAACTTTTAATTAAAATTTTTAAATCACACCTCAAAGTTATTATCACTAATGTGAAAATATTTTTCACATTTGCTAAAACTTAACATAAAGTATCATGTGACTAAAGTTGAACCATATTATCTCAAACTGTTATAACTCGAAGACTGTGTTAAATTAAAAGTATTCAAAAGGCCTGTGCAAACTTCACATTAAACATTCAAATTAACTTAAATTGAATACTCTGATAACTCCGCCTTTCCCAGTTTTGTTGCCTTTGAGATAACAAGGTTCAATTGTAACTGATTATACTTAATTGCCTCATTTTCTTATTGGTGTTTGTGTCTTTCCTTTAATAAACAGTGGACCTGAGGCCCAAATTCTAGACTACCAGACTCAACAGCACAAACTGTTTCCTTTGCTAGCTACAGCTTATGCTTACTATTTTGCTGGGCAAGCGGTGCAGGCCAGCTTTTTGAAGATTTCAAAGGAGATAGAAGCTGGAAATCTTCAACAGATGCCTGTGGTGAGTGGGGAGGTTTTAGCTTTGCTTAGCTACTGTAAATATTAACTAACTTAATGTTAAATCAGGGTGAGACACCAGGAAGTGGCAGTGTCCAACAGGTCAAATCAAGGAAAAATTAACTGAAAGCCTCCAACCATGTGAATGTAGAAATTTTAAACAAATTTAATTTGATTCTTTTATGCTCAATTCATTACGAGTATTTGTTTTATACTTGGATTTCTTCATCACTAGTTCCTTAAAGAGTGTAGTTTCCCTTCTTATACATCTATATAAAAATATCAGTGTATTTTATTTGAGTTATATCTGCAAATGAAGGAGTGCTTTTTAATAGGTCACAGTAACCTTAATTTATATGCCTTCTAATGACAGGTTTTATCATGTTCACTTCAGAGGAAGGGAACATTTTGTATTAGTGCTGGTTCTTCTGGTTCTTTCAAGTATTCTACAGCTATGAGGGCTGATTGAGAAGTTGTAAGTCTCATAATTAAGGCTTTGACTTTTGGCGGTCATATTGCATTATTTTTCAATGTAATCCCCTTCCATATCCCCATTCCCCATTTTGCCAGTGATGTTTAAGGGCCTCAATGCCTCTTTTAAAGAAGTCCTTTTCTTTACTGTTCAGAAAGTCCTCCACTGCATGTATGATGGGTGTGAACCAGGTTGCTTCCATTGTTTAGACTGTTGGGGTGAAATGATGGCCCCCACATTTCATCCATAGTCACAAACCTCTGCAGGAAGATCTGCCTCTAAAAGGTTCAGATAAATAGGCATCACAGCCTGTCTTGTGTGCTTCTGATCAACTGTCAGAAGTCTCAGTACTGAACAGGCTGAGACTTTCTCATTGCAATATCTTTGGAAAGAATGTAATATACTCTTCCCTGTGAAATCCCAGCTGTACTGGCTATATATCTCTCTGTAACTCACCTGTCAGCTATAACAATATCTTGGACTTTATTGACCATTTCTGTGGTTAAAACAGTGACAGGCCTTCCAGGATGGGTGTGATCCCCAAGGCTTCACCTGCCAAATCCACTTAGATTCTGCCACCCAACTTTTCACTGGAGCATATGAAGGGGCACCATTTCCTAGAGCCGCTGCCCTACCATTAAGGATAATCACTGCTCTTTCAGCGATTTTGTCCATTTTTCAATAGTCGATTGCCTTGTTTACTTCATGGTGCTACCTGTTCAAAATAAACTGACCAAATGACACCAGTCTTTGGGTACATAGCCTTAAATAGTCTGGGAACAGTAATGCTGAAAAAGGACATCCCTGTTTAATTTCTTCAATACAACACTCTTAACTGATCACAATTAACCATCATAGCTTAAAGAAAGTGGCAGTTTGTTTGCATTACCTAAAACCTATGTGCATTGTATTGTTATAAGGTCACTGTGACCTTGACCTCAAGATTAAAGGTCAAAGAAGTGTGATTTTTTCCAATAATTTCTTAACTGCAATAACATTTAAACTAATTAAATTATTTCAGTAAAAGTTGCTGTACACCTTCATCGTCTACTGACAAAATGCAGTGCTTTGTTGTTGGATCAATGTGATCTTGACCTATAGGTCAAAGTTCATATAAGAGTGAATTTTATTTTAATGTCTTGTTGGCAAGTTTTAAGTTTTAAACTGTTAACTGTAAAGAAATATTTATGCATGTTTCTGCACACCATTATCACCTACTGATAAAAGACTGTACTTTGTCATTAGATCGTTGTGACTTGGATCTTGAGGTCAAAGTTAAAAAATGTGCAGTTTTTTCCCAATAGTTCCTTGTTGAACAATACTTTTTAATGGTCCAAGATATCTTAATGGAAGTTGCCTTTATCACTCACAGATGATGTGAAGTACTCTGAAGGGAGACACATTGTGTTGGTACTAGTTCTTCAGCTACTTCTTATAGTTACTTGTTGATGTTTTTTCTGATACAATCTTGTCTGGGGCAGTTTTGATACAATATTGTCTAAGGCAGTTCTGAAGCAATCTTGTCAAGGGCTGTTCTGATACAATATTATCTTGGGCAGTTCTGATACAATCTTGTCCGGGGCAGTTCTTATACAATCTTGTCTAGGGCAGTTCTGATAAAATCTTGTCCGGGGCAGTTCTTATACAATCTTGTCTGGGGCAGTTCTGTACATTCTTGTCTGGGGCAGTTCTGTTACAATCTTGTCTAGGGCAGTTCTGTACATTCTTGTCTGGGGCAATTCTGATACAATCTTGTCTAGGGCAGTTCTGTACATTCTTGTCTGGGGCAGTTCTGATACAATCTTGTCTAGGGCAGTTCTGTACATTCTTGTCTGGGGCAGTTCTGATACAATCTTGTCTGGGGCAGTTCTGTACATTCTTGTCTGGGGCAGTTCTTATACAATCTTGTCTGGGGCAGTTCTGTACATTCTTGTCCGGGGCAGTTCTTATACAATCTTGTCTGGGGAAGTTCTGTACATTCTTGTCTGGGGCAGTTCTGATACAATCTTGTCTAGGGCAGTTCTAATACAATCTTGTCCAGGGCAGTTCTGATAAAATCTTGTCCGGGGCAGTTCTTATACAATCTTGTCTAGGGCAGTTCTGATACAATCTTGTCCGGGGCAGTTCTTATACAATCTTGTCTAGGGCAGTTCTGATAAAATCTTGTCCGGGGCAGTTCTTATACAATCTTGTCTAGGGCAGTTCTGATAAAATCTTGTCCGGGGCAGTTCTTATACAATCTTGTCTAGGGCAGTTCTGATACAATCTTGTCTAGGGCAGTTCTAATACAATCTTGTCCAGGGCAGTTCTGATACAATCTTGTCTAGGGCAGTTCTAATACAATCTTGTCCAGGGCAGTTCTGATAAAATCTTGTCCGGGGCAGTTCTGATACAATATTGTCCAGGGCAGTTCTGATACAATCTTGTCTGAGGCAGTTCTGTACATTCTTGTCCAGGGCAGTTCTAATACAATCTTGTCTGGAGAAGTTCTGGTGCAATTTAGTATGGGGCAGTTCTGATACAATTTAGTCTAGGGCAGTTCTGATACAATCTTGTCTGAGGCAGTTCTGTACATTCTTGTCCAGGGCAGTTCTAATACAATCTTGTCTGGAGAAGTTCTGGTGCAATTTAGTATGGGGCAGTTCTGATACAATTTAGTCTAGGGCAGTTCTGATACAATCTTGTCTGAGGCAGTTCTGTACATTCTTGTCCAGGGCAGTTCTAATACAATCTTGTCTGGAGAAGTTCTGGTGCAATTTAGTATGGGGCAGTTCTGATACAATTTAGTCTAGGGCAGTTCTGATACAATCTTGTCTGAGGCAGTTCTGTACATTCTTGTCCAGGGCAGTTCTAATACAATCTTGTCTGGAGAAGTTCTGGTGCAATTTAGTATGGGGCAGTTCTGATACAATTTAGTCTAGGGCAGTTCTGATACAATCTTGTCTGAGGCAGTTCTGTACATTCTTGTCCAGGGCAGTTCTAATACAATCTTGTCTGGAGAAGTTCTGGTGCAATTTAGTATGGGGCAGTTCTGATACAATTTAGTCTAGGGCAGTTCTGATACAATCTTGTCTGAGGCAGTTCTGTACATTCTTGTCCAGGGCAGTTCTAATACAATCTTGTCTGGAGAAGTTCTGGTGCAATTTAGTATGGGGCAGTTCTGATACAATTTAGTCTAGGGCAGTTCTGATACAATCTTGTCTGAGGCAGTTCTGATACAATCTTGTCTGAGGCAGTTCTGATACAATCTTGTCTGAGGCAGTTCTGATACAATCTTGTCTGAGGCAGTTCTGATACAATTTAGTCTAGGGCAGTTCTGATACAATCTTGTCTGAGGCAGTTCTGATACAATCTTGTCTGAGGCAGTTCTGATACAATTTAGTCTAGGGCAGTTCTGATACAATCTTGTCTGAGGCAGTTCTGATACAATCTTGTCTGAGGCAGTTCTGATACAATTTAGTCTAGGGCAGTTCTGATACAATTTAGTCTAGGGCAGTTCTGATACAATTTAGTCTAGGGCAGTTCTGATACAATTTAGTCTAGGGCAGTTTAGTCTAGGGCAGTTCTGATACAATTTAGTCTAGGGCAGTTCTGATACAATTTAGTCTAGGGCAGTTCTGATACAATTTAGTCTAGGGCAGTTCTGATACAATTTAGTCTAGGGCAGTTCTGATACAATCTTGTCTAGGGCAGTTCTGATACAATCTTGTCTAGGGCAGTTCTGATACAATCTTGTCTAGGGCAGTTCTGATACAATCTTGTCTAGGGCAGTTCTGATACAATTTAGTCTAGGGCAGTTCTGATACAATTTAGTCTAGGGCAGTTCTGATACAATTTAGTCTAGGGCAGTTCTGATACAATTTAGTCTAGGGCAGTTCTGATACAATTTAGTCTAGGGCAGTTCTGATACAATTTAGTCTAGGGCAGTTCTGATACAATTTAGTCTAGGGCAGTTCTGATACAATTTAGTCTAGGGCAGTTCTGATACAATTTAGTCTAGGGCAGTTCTGATACAATTTAGTCTAGGGCAGTTCTGATACAATTTAGTCTAGGGCAGTTCTGATACAATTTAGTCTAGGGCAGTTCTGATACAATTTAGTCTAGGGCAGAACTTATAAACACTTTTTGAGTGTTAAATGTTAAGAAATAGCCTACACCCTAAGGTGATATGGAATGCACTGTCTATAATCTGGTAATCGCTGCCTCCTTTTTCAGGTCAAAGGTCAGCTGAGTGCAGAAATATTCAACGCCTAGTAAGGGATATGCTTTTGTTCATAGAAACAAATCTTAAAGGAACTTTTTATATTTTACAGGTCATATATTTCATGGTTGTTGGGTTTGGGCTGCTTCACAGATACCTAAATTTGCATTTGTTTATCCAGTGATATCAATGTTTACAGACTTAACAGATTTTTGCTGTCTATTTAATTTTATGTTATCTTTCCTAATCATGAATATAAAAAAATTAAATCTCCCAAGGATATAACTAACTACACAGTACATACATGATTTTTCTCTGTCAGTCTCTTCAACATGTTGTTTCTCCTTTCACTTCTCAATCTGTTTTTCAGAGTTTCATTGGATGAATATATTTCCGTATTTGTATTCACAGTTACATGCTCTGTCAGCGGGCTTGAAGGCATTCAGTTCCTGGGGAGCTTCAGCAGGAATCGAAGTGTGCCGTATGTCATGTGGTGGACATGGTTACTCCCTAGCTAGTGGGCTTCCAAAGATCTACACGAATATAACCCCAGCCTGTACATATGAAGGAGAGAACTCTGTAATGATGCTTCAAACTGCCAAGTAATGAAAATGAAACTTTAACTTTTTGCCCCAGTCATGTTAAGCCCTCCATCATCAGTCTGTCTGTCCATAAACACTTTTTGATATCGCTATTTTTTTGAGGAACACCAGATATATCTTTCTGAAATTTCATATGTAAGTTACCCTTGGTTCTTAGTTGTTTCTGTATGATATTGGTACTGATTAGAAAATCAGAACAGCAGAAAGGAATTGGAATTTCTTTGAATTTTACAATGAAAGTAAAGATTATTATTGCTATTTCTTCAGAGGAATGTTCAAATTTTATGTGATTTATAGCAAAAACAGAGGAGAAAAGGATAAGAATAAAAAAGACGTAACTTTTAATGAACAAGTTAAGAACAAACAATAGTGGGCATCAAGATCCCTCTGGGATCTCTTGTATTATTAAATAATACAACAATTAGATGGTATAACGATAAGATGCATCAAATCAGGAATATTTGGGATAAGCAGTAGGAGTTTTAGGTTGATCAGATTGCTGGTGGGATCTCTTGTTTGGGTGTTGTATTCATTATCATTTTGGTCTCAAAAACAATTTTAAATCATTCCAAGAATCATTATATTTGTCAGGGAGGCTCCTTCAATGAAGCCCTTCAAAGTTTCAGAAAGGAAATGACCTTGACTTATATTCAAGATCATAGGGGTCAAAGTTATGGAGACATGTCTTCATTTTTAGACATCTTATTAAGAACAAGTTCTTCTGAGAAATTATCATTATGGTTCAGATAAGAATCATGATATGTGGACTGTAGATTTTTCGGGATGAATTTCAATGATGTGAAATGATAATATATCTGTGAAATGTATTAAATACTAGGTGAGTGTTGCAAACTGGTTCGGCCTCTTTGCTATAAGGAGTGTTTAAGTGATATAGTGTCATCCGTGTCTGTCTACCAATTCTGGCCTGAATCACTGTCATATCTTAATGGGAACCTCTTAATATATATCTTCATTAATTACCTAGTATCATCACATCATCTTTTCCTTATGTTGAGGTGGTCACCAGTCAAGGTTAAAGAGTCAAAGGTCAAATATGCAAATTCATCCAACAATAATACTCACATGGAATGGATGGGAAATGACAGACCCATGTCTTTTAGAAATCTTCTAGTTAACCCATTGCAGGAAAATTCTTTGCTTTGTTTTAGAAAATCTCCATGTTTCCTTTATTGATTTAAATTTTTAAAAATGTTGGTAAAAAAAATAAATTTTGAATTTTGACTTATTAATTGTCTCCTCTTAAATCAATTTTCTTCTTATTATTTTTTGTTATCTTATATTTGTTAAATGCTTTTCGTTTTTTAGATATTTGTTGAAATGTTCAATGAAAGTCCAAAAGGGAGAAAAACTACCCGAGCTTGTCTCTTACCTTTCTACTGACCTGTCTGCTAAGTCATGCATGGCAGCTGATGTTTCACTTAAGTGCCTGGTCATGGCATATGAACACCGGTCTGCAAGGTTGACCAGTGCAGCAGCAGCAGCAGTTCAGAGGTACATGAGTGACGGCCAGAGTCCAGAAAAGGCTTTTAATATGGCAGCAACTCAAATGACATGGGCGGCGAAGGCTCACTGCCATCAATATGTTGTTAAGGTGTTTGTAAACACAGTGGTCGAGGCCAAGATTGATGACAGAACAAGAGCTGCACTGACTACTTTGTGTAAACTGTATGCTGTTAATGGCATTATGGAAAACCTTGGTGAATTTTTACAGGTAAGAGTGAATGGTAAGAGAGAATGTTACAGAAGAGAATTACTTTTTTTATCCAGTATTTTGAGACACTTCTTCCTTTATTTTGTTTTTGCGTTATCTGTTGAGATTGAAAGTCTAAATGCAGGATTTGTTAAACTGTTTTCAACAAATCATTTTCTGGTAGAATGTTCCCAAAGATACTGTCACTGTAGTTAGGAATGGATAATATAATAGGTTTACTTACTTAGCCTTACTTAGATGTTACTGTACAGGCTTAAGATCTCTATATTCAGATCCAAATCCCAGGCATGAAATGTTAGTTTATCATGGTCACTCCTAGTCAGTGTGAAGGTATTCTATGCACTGATGTTATGAACCCTGTTTATTCAATATTTATCTAATCTGTTTTCAAATGTGTTGAAATGTTGATGCCTGTACAACTTCCTCTATTAGCAAGTTACACTCATTCACATCTTATAAGCAAAGATGAAAATCTTAAGTCAGTTGGCTGATTTCAACCTTTTTGACTTCCAGAAAACAGATAATTCCATATTATCTAGTTTTCCACTAGAAAACAAATTGAGAATAGAACTTGATCTCTGTCAAGATTTTCCATTTTCGTCTCTGTATAAGGGAGAAAAAACCACTATTATCTGATGAAACTAGTGAATTATCAAGTGTAATAGAAAAAAATATGTAAAATAGGGTGAAACAATGTAATCTTCAGAACTTACTGCAGCAACTAATTATTAACTAAGTTTCAAGCATTAGAGTTTGGCTTGGAAATCATATTTAGTTACCAAGTTTGATTTTGGTGATAACTAGGTTAAGAGGTAAGATTCATGATGTATGTAAATTGATTATTCATTGAGTACATGTATTTGATGTCTCAATTCTTTCTTGTTTCAGGACCAGTTTTTCAACAATGATCAGGTCAATATTCTTACTAGGAAGTTGATGACACTTCTAGCAGATGTACGACCAGATGCTGTGGCCTTGGTGGACGCCTTTGACTACCACGACAGAATCCTTGACTCCTGCATTGGACGATATGATGGAAATGTGTATTATGCACTATATGAGTATGCCAAGTCATCTCCACTTAATGAGAAAGATGTAAGCAAACGATGAATTTTAGTAGGTTTTGTTTTGTCATTGTACCCATACTTGAATAAAAAATTATTAAGGCAAAAACAATTATTTAAAAACAAAAATGAATTCCAGTTTCATTTTGAAAGCATGTTACCAGATGTATTTTAGGATTTTATCTTTATCTTTATTATAGACAAATAAGATCAGGTAATACTGCTGGATATATGTGGAGAAGGGTGTTTTACACTCTGTGTGGTACACATATGTAAATCAATCAATAAATCAAATCAATGTCTGTGTGGAAGTGTCAACATCATCGTTAAATATATTTACTGTTGTATATATTGAATAAGAAGATAAGTTTAAAAAAAAAATAGATAAGTAAATAAATAAGATAAAGTAGAAATATATATGTATCAAAGCCAAACTTTTCTATATTCACAGGTGCTAGACTCCTTCCATAAATATATCAAACCGCTGCGAGAGGGACAGACAAGTTCACCTGTCCCGGCCCGATTATAAGGGAAAGAACTCTTATCAACACAATTGTTGAAATAGGAAGGAGAACCTTGACCTTCATGTGAGGACAGGGGGAGATAATCCCTAATAACATGACTTTTATGAGAGGGAAAGAAACTGATGTGATTCTTAGGAAATATTCCATTCCAGTGTGTTTTAGAACAAATATTTTTTTTGTTTTGTTTTTTTTTAATTGGTGTTTTGCATTGTAAGAGAATATGTTCGCCCACTATATTGCTTGTTTAAAGTGGAGAAGAAAATACATGTATCAAAAACATTTTTATGCATGATTGACTTCTCAATATTTGTGTTTATTGACTTTAATAAAACTCTCAAAATACATCATTAAATTAGGATGTGTGTTTAAGATTATTCTATGCTAATATTCTGAGGTCATTTAATACAGACTAATACCAATCAATGAGACATTGTGTTTTATGATGAAATGGCCTTTGAAACTGTAAAGCAACCCTACACTGACGACAGGAGTCTCAGATGCTCGGAGGTGTGAAATTTGGGACAACCCAGTAGCTCTGAGGCTTAATGGCTTCAAAATATAAATTGTGTAAACTTTTTGATGACCTTGGTTTTGTAATATAGAAAAAGAGTTTTCACATTCAAACTTTAAAGGTAAGCTTACAATGTTTTTAACGATCATGTTTTCATTACTCTTCACTTGGTTCATGGAAAGACATATATCTTTTGACCATAACAGAAGATTAGTTTTTGTCAGTTATTCAGTTTTTTTTAAACAGAACATGTTACTCTGTAGTCAGAAAAATAATTTTGGAAAAAGAAATGGCCTATAAACAGATTTTAAGATTGAAGGTATTTTGGGAGTATATTGTCCCAATCATTATCCCTGAGGCTAGACATGGACTCACCTTGTCAATTTAATCTTCGTGGGCATTATATAGCTCTTCTGAACCTAGTCCTCAATTTGCATTAAACGGTGCTATTTATTTGTCTTCGTTTGGATTACAGGTGGTAGACACTGCTGGTGAACAATTAGTCCCAGAGTTTTACCATAACCTGCCTGACACATTTTAATTCATTGGAATAGTGGCATAGTTCACAATGTACACTTCTGCATGATGTTATTTTGAAACAATCAGATATAGAAATATTACAAATTGATAGAATTATGGGATATAGGACTAATGCCCGTCGATTTTGAGATTTTTTTTAGATAAATTTGGATATCCTTCAATCTGGGCCCATAACATCACAAGTCCTAGAAGGACAATACAGGTATATCTACTGTATCTAATTATAAGTCTGTATTAAAAAGTACTAATCACTTGTGTGTCTTTTTTACAATGTTGAAGTTGATTGAAGTTTTGGTTGATATTGTTCAGTCAAACTATCAAAATATGATTCTTCATGACAAAAGACTACTAAGTCTATTTTGTAATTTTTTCAAATGTTATGTGATATACTTGTTTGATGTACAGTTTCATTTACAGAAATAGTGATCCCTTGATTTTTTTATCGTGTTATTATTCAGTGATAGTTAAATGAATAACAGGAGTTGTTTACTACATTATTCAGTGTTCATGTTCAGCATCACCACCAACTAATTTGAAAATGTGGAACTGCAGGTAATTTTGTGACTTTATTTTATTTTTTTTTTTGGTTGTAAAAATTCATTTTTTGAACACATTGTAATGACTGTGATATGTTAAAAATAGATTTACAATGATAGATACAATGTATACAAATCTATAAAAATATAGTATGTGATCTTTAGTATGTGTTGATATACACTGAAACCTGTCTGAATTACTGCTGAGAATACATTTTGGTCTAGTATACAGTTACTATTTTTTGTCCAAAATTAGCCAAGACTTGATATGTGGCCAACAACATCCTCTAATATTTGGTAAAATTTCTTCAGTGAGATGTGAATCAAACAGGTTTTGCTACATATCTCATACCGAACAGATATATTTTTGTATCCTACTACATGAGGTATCTAAAGTTGATACTGAATTATATGTTTTTCACACTATTATAGAATGCAGTCAAACCTGTCTGAAATGCTAATTTTTGGATTCCTTATTTAACGTTATTCATAGTAATTGAACCTCCATGTAAAAGCTACCTGTGTATAAAGGCCACTTTTTCTGGTCCCTTGAGTGGCCTCTATAGACAGGTTTGACTGTATATTTATATATTTAATATGTTAATTAACCTCATCACCTCATAAAATAAATGGCAATTGATGATGTGTTTGTTAGTACAAAAGATTTAAGAAAAATTCCTGCACTTCTTGAAATGGAAATATTTTTCCAGATTCTAGAATGGTCACTTTCACTTTATATCAGAAACTTTTCATATGCAGCTGTCAATAAACATGATTTGAGAAAAAAACACTTGATTCAGAAAATATTCAATTTGTGAAATTTGTATATTTTGTAGAGCTACAGTGGGTTTCATTTTTCCTTCGGAAGAGTAAACATCATGTTCAAATTCTGTATCAAACAACAGTTGATAAACAGGAGCTTTCAATTATGGCAGAGTTGGAGTAATTTAAAGAAGAAGGCGGCATGTTATGTAATATTAAACAGTGACAAATGTATCATGATTATAATCCAGTCTCCTAAGGGAAGTAACTCTAACTAAAAACAGATTATTTATAAATAAACAATGTATTGCCATATCAATTATGGTATTTTATTATGATGATTTAGTTGCATGGAGATTTACAATTTTATTGTAAAATTTGGTGTGTATTTTCATGGCAGTGTAATCAATCAACTGATTTGTGTTTAAAAAGCTGCAATACTTCTTTATCAATAAAAGTGACTACATTATCACGATGAGTTTAATTTATTTTCAAAATATCAAGTCTCTCTGTAAGGAAAAAAGATCTGTTGACTAACCTGTTGCAAGGATACTTTAGGGTTGCTTATAATAATCAAGTAACAATAGACATATGACCCATTTGAAAACCACCTTGGCCATGTACAGGGAAGTAAGTTTCAGTAGCAAGAGATGATAAAACTATTAACATGAAATTTTTAGCTCACCTTTGACCCATGGTGACCTATGGTGATGGCATGTTTACCGGTGTCGTGCATCTTTTAACTTTTTATTTTTTCGACTTCTTCTCTAAAATTCATGAACCAATATAAACGAATTTTTTCAGAAATCTTCCTCGGCCAAAAATGAACCTAAATTGTGAATCATATGGTCTCCACCCCAACCCTCACATACCCTCTCATACCCTCTCAGGGTCCTGAGGGGTGAAATAAATGGGAAAAAATTCACTCAAAGTTTGACGATTTCCCCATGGAGAAGGAGTAAATTTCACTAAATAGTGTAACAATTAAAAAAAAGACTCATCTTGTAGAAGTAATAACTGGACTGAAGTATTACAGGAAGGTAACAGTGACAAGTGATAACTGGACTGTAGTATTACAGGAAGGTAAATGTGACAAGTGATAACTGGACTGTAGTATTACAGGAAGGTAAATGTGACAAGTGATAACTGGACTGTAGTATTACAGGAAGGTAACAGTGACAAGTGATAACTGGACTGTAGAATTACAGGAAGGTAAAGTGACAAGTGATAACTGGACTGTAGTATTACAGGAAGGTAACAGTGACAAGTGATAACTGGACTGTAGTATTACAGGAAGGTAAACGTGACAAGTGATAACTGGACTGTAGTATTACAGGAAGGTAACAGTGACAAGTGATAACTGGACTGTAGTATTACAGGAAGGTAAACGTGACAAGTGATAACTGGACTGTAGTATTACAGGAAGGTAACAGCGACAAGTGATAACTGGACTGTAGTATTACAGGAAGGTAACAGCGACAAGTGATAACTGGACTGTAGTATTACAGGAAGGTAACAGTGACAAGTGATAACTGGACTGTAGTATTACAGGAAGGTAACAGTGACAAGTGATAACTGGAGGTAGTATTACAGGAAGGTAACAGTGACAAGTGATAACTGGACTGTAGTATTACAGGAAGGTAACAGTGACAAGTGATAACTGGAGTTAGTATTACAGGAAGGTAACAGTGACAAGTGATAACTGGACTGTAGTATTACAGGAAGGTAAACGTGACAAGTGATAACTGGACTGTAGTATTACAGGAAGGTAACAGTGACAAGTGATAACTGGACTGTAGTATTACAGGAAGGTAACAGCGACAAGTGATAACTGGACTGTAGTATTACAGGAAGGTAAACGTGATAAGTAATAACTGGACTGTAGTATTACAGGAAGGTAACAGTGACAAGTGATAACTGGACTGTAGTATTACAGAAAAGTAACAATGACAAGTGATAACTGGACTGTAGTATTACAGGAAGGTAAACGTGACAAGTGATAACTGGACTGTAGTATTACAGCAAGGTAAATTTGACAAGTGATAACTGGACTGTAGTATTACAGGAAGGTAAACGTGACAAGTATTCCGTATACACCAATAGAGACTTTATTGACTGAAATTGACTTAAAATGAAGTTTTAAAAGATCAAATGAAACTTTTGTGAACAATTTTAGTCGAGGAGAAAACAACCCTCGATAAATAACAACCATGGCAACATACTCATAATCCTTAATCGAATTTAATATAATAATTCAAAATATGATCAAATGAAAGATTTTCACGAAGACTTCTGAACGAGTACAAGGAGAATATAATATCAGGTGGCCCGGAAGAGTAAGCGTCTTCTGCTTCATCGACGACATCTGTCATGTAAAACCTTGGTCGGTTCAAGTAAGTAATGTCACGTTCCTAAATGAGAACAGGTATACAGCAATGGAACCAACAGTTTGTTCGTCAGTTGACGACATTATAATAATCTGTGATAACGAAGTGATGACTGAAACATTGGGTTTTGAGACGTCCCCTTACCGCTGGGAGTATAAATACATGTGGTCCAAAAAACAAACCCGAGATATCACGAGTGAGATGGCGTCTGCTAAACTGCTTGTTAACTCGGACCTGCAGAATGATAGGAAAAGGGCTACATTTGATGTAGAAAAACTGACCAACTTTATAGATGGTGGTGCTGAAAAGACAAGTAGGAGGCGTTACATTCGTAAGTTTATAATCGCGTGTTTGTGTGTCAAGACGGAGTTTTTTTTTTTTTTTTTTTTTAGAATTTCGTTTAATTGCATATCTTGAATTCTTATTTCACAAATTAAAAGATAGCTAACAATCATGTTAATATAAATTAAATATTTTTCAAAGAAAGGTTCAGATGCTACATCATCTAATTGACTTTATTTAGCTTTAACTTAACACGGTAGACTTTTTGATGATATGTCTGGTGTACCGTGTACTTACGATCAAGTGCAAACAACCGGATAGGCAACGTGATTGAAGGTTAAAATCTAGGACACTGAAATATTCATCTCTGACAGCTAACCGGAGACTTTACACTGGTGTCCTTGTCATAAAATTGGAACTATCATATGTGAATGTCACATATCTTGTAACCGATATCCATGTGGTTAGCAGACCGTGGTAAAATAACGCCAAACGGAAGGTGTTTCACATAACCATGCAGCTCTCAATCACCCGCAACTCGCTCACTACACACCTTCGTCAACGTAAAGATGGAAACAGATATTTAAGCATGCCATATTAAAAATAATACTGTGACACCTCCTACCATGGCATATAGACATCACAATGTAGCATGATATTGTAAAGCATGGTGAAATGAACCGGGGTCAAAATACCATAACGTTGGAGTGGACTGCGGTTCATTGGTTCAGTTTTGCGACAGAACTGAAATTTTTTGTTGGTTTTGATAACTGGCAAGAACTTTAAAACAATATTTGACGACAATATATTTGTTGGCGTAGTGACTTGCATTTTTAAAAAGGAATTAAGAAACTGAAGGTTTTTATTTACAGTATATATTTACAAGCTTTGAAAGACTAAATTAAAAAAAAGGTTTTGATTCCGAGCTGCTAAAAATGAATGGTTCTGTCTGTCCCCCATTCTCTCTTTGGAACAACGTGGTAATGCTAATTCTACAGTCTGGTGCCAGGTTTGGCACATCCTTGATGCGGCCGGGGTTACGCTCACTCTCATCACTTTCTCCACCTCTGGACATTGAAGGCAGCAATTTAATGGTCTGCAGTAGGTTTCAGGAGAAAAAAAAAACAAAACAAAAACTGGCCAATCACATACTAACACCTTGCATCTATCTACAAAGCCATTACAATATACTGATATATAGTGAACGTAAGCCCTGAAGTATCGAGGATGAATACATGATTATACTGTTAAAGTCAATAGAGTGAAGGTTGAATTTTGATTAGTGTTCTTTCTAAAGACACACACACATATATATGAATAAAATAAACACACTCTTACAGACACACCCACAAGAACACACTTATATATTCAGACTGAGACTTTACATATACAAATATATACCCATCAGTATTTACGCTCCTTCACACATATGTACATGCATGCATATGCATTTGTAGACATATGTATCGTACAAGCATTTAAATATACACCAATATATACATACAAACAGTATACAACATACACATTATATACTCATTTACATTCTTACTCATGTGCACTAACTTACTTAAACATGCGCTCAAACTTATGTTATTATGCATGCTACAAACTGACATGCACGCATACATATACATACACTATATATACATAAGCATATACATGTTTATATACTAACAAACAGACCTTACTTACATGTACGCATAAACATACATACACTATATATATATTAGCAAGAACATTGTATGTATACTAACAAACAGACCTTACTTACACGTACGCATAAGCATACATACAAAATGTACACTATATATATATTAGCACGTACATGTTCGTATACTAACAAATAGACTTTACTTACATGTACGCATAAGCATACATACACTATATATATTAGCACGTACATTATATGTATACTATCAAACAAACCTTCCATACCAACGTAAGATATATGTGAATGATCATACTGACAGCACACATATGTATTTGTATTCAAGTTCATATGCATGCAAACTTACAGACCAACATAAATACATGTACATGGAGGCACCACCTGATTGTTATAAAGGTATAAACAACCTTGTAAACATGTGAATATATACACACAGGTATCACACCCATCTATCAATACACACTCAAGACAGTGGGCTGTGAGGGACATTGTACCTTTTTGACACACACACACACACACACACACACACACACACACACACACACACACACACACACATAAACACACATAAACATATATATAAGCCGTTGGCGCCAATTTAATGATTATAAAAAAAACTTTATCTAATTTTTTTGATAAGGGCAATTTACATGGATTAAATATAAGACGTGGCTTAATTGCTGATTAAAAATGAAATAAAAACTGTATGATGAATGAACGGATCTTTGTATTAATAAATATTTATACACAATTGTGATGGTATACTCTCTACAGAAAACACAGCTGTAAACGATCATGCGGCCTTGAAGTTGAAGCCTTGGGCGTTCCGCACGCGCGAGGAAAACTATGAGGCAGTGGTTAGGAAACAGGTCCAAGTGGCCCGCCGCAGTAAGGAGCTCGGACTCAACAACCAGGAAATTTCTATATACGAGGAGTAAGATAACAACTTCTAATATGTTTTTTTTACTTAAAAGTAAATTCATTATTTTACTAACTTAACAAACTTGATAAATGATTAAGTGGTCCGATCTCAACTCGGTCTGATCTACCAGAGTTAATTCCATACCTTTCAAATTAGATGGGGGTAGATGTTGGTAGAGTCGTGAATGTGGTTAACAATTTGGTCTCGTTTTATCAAATCAGTGAAAACTTCCATTTTAGGAACTCTAACGGTTAAACCCAGATTTTGAAGTAAGAAACCATTTTTTTTACTCAGGACTTTTCAGTCACACGAAAGCAACCGTATTGGTCCAAGAAATGGAATGTTTCCTCCTACTATTGAAAAACAAGGAACTACAGAACAGAAAAAAAAGTTTCTTCCACTTATACAAAACATGACTTTATTGGGATGTTATGCTCAAACCGAAATGGGACATGGTAAGTACATACTAGTAACTCTTATGGGCGAGTTTAAGACTTATAAAGGTTAGGCACATAAGCATAAAAATAAATCCCTTAACTCTGTGTTACAGAATCGACGGGGATTTACATCATGATGTTAGCAGAGGTGATTCATTCAAATCCTGCCTTTCCACCTGTGTTTGATCTTAAATATAAAATATTGTTTTGAAACAAACCATAGACCATTCCGCCATTTGGTATTTGCATTTCCGTTCTTTTACAAAACGCAAATATTGATATTGACCAAATTTATTCATTCAAAACGATAGGAATTCCACCCTGGCTCTTGAATTTACCTGAAGATGACTTTTCGCTTCATGAAATGGTAAAATCAGACACGGACATTTATCCATTTCATCCTTTTGAAATTGCAGTCAAAATATTTTAAAAAATTCTACATTCATATACTGATGATTCAAAAGACAACGAAAGGGTTGCCGCAGCCATGATTTAACGAGATGAAGTGTACGAATGCCGCTTACCCAACAACGCCTCAATATTGTCAGCAGAAGCGCGAGCTATCTACCACACCCTAGAAAATATGAAAACAAAGTAATGAGAGCTGTTATCTATTCAGGCTCTCTTTCTGTACTACAAAGTCCAAGTAATTGAAATATCGACAATATTTTCATTCGTAACACATTAATGCTATTTCATGAGCTTACTTCAAATTTTTATATTGTTTATGTTTTTTGCTGGATTCCCGGGCACATGGAAATACCGGACATTGAAAGAGCAGATCGTGCCGCAAATGCAGATGGTTATCGCTACCACATGTTGTTTCTAAATTCATTTAAAACCATTTGTCAAACATTTGATAACAGCTCGATGGCAGGAAGAATGGAATCACTATACAGTAACAAATTGCACTCCGTAAAGCCAGTCATCGGTGAATGGTCTCTATGCGACAGAGGCAACCATCGAGACGAAGTTGTCCTTGCCGGTCTTCGGATAGGCCATACTTACCTTACACATCCATATATGCTGAAAGGCGAAGGCAATCCTCGGTGCTTAACATGTGGTGAACCGTTTACAGTTAATGAGTTTTTATTGGACTGCATTGACCTTATGTCTACTCGTGAAATATTTTATCGTAATGTTACAAGTCTAAAGACTGTTTCAAACTGTTGAGATTTATAAAATTCTAGGTTATCGGAAAGATGTTGGTCTGCCTTATAGGATATAAGTATCCTTTGTGATATTTTCAACATCTGTTTTGTAACTTTAGTTCGTTTGTTATTTCCTTTTGTATCGCTGTGTCGTCCACCAGTTGATGACCCTAATGAACTGTTATGTGTTGACGAGCCGTTAAGAATGTCATAATAATATTTTCATCAACATCAGAAGTAGAATTGATAGTGATTTTTTTTACCGAATGTTGGATTTTCTTAATTTTCTTACAGTGTCGTGGCTGTTGTTTGTTCTCCTAGACAACAGTTCTTTCAGTTTCCGAGCTGTTGTTGTTTTCCTGTTGACTGGGGAACCCTTTCTTACATGACCATGACTGTTGGAAGGAGAACCCTTTCTTACATGACCATGGCTGTCGGAAGGGGAACCCTTTCTTACATGACCATGACTGTCGGAAGGGGAACCCTTTCTTACAAGACCATGGCTGTCGTAAGGGGAACCCTTTCTTACATGACCATGGCTGTCGGAAGGGGAACCCTTTCTTACATGACCATGGCTGTTGGAAGGGAACCCTTTCTTACATGACCATGTCTGTTGGAAGGGGAACCCTTTCTTACATGACCATGGCTGTTGGAAGGGGAACCCTTTCTTACATGACCATGTCTGTTGGAGGGGAACCCTTTCTTACATGACCATGGCTGTCGGAAGGGGAACCCTTTCTTACATGACCATGACTGTTGGAAGGGGAACCCTTTTTACATGACCATGACTGTTGGAAGGGGAACCCTTTCTTACATGACCATGACTGTCGGAAGAAGAACCATTTCTTACATGACCATGGCTGTCGGAAGGGGAACCCTTTCTTACATGACCATGACTGTCGGAAGGGGAACCCTTTCTTACATGACCATGGCTGTCGGAAGGGGAACCCTTTCTTACAAGACCATGGCTGTCGGAAGGGGAACCCTTTCTTACATGACCATGACTGTCGGAAGGGGAACCCTTTCTTACAAGACCATGGCTGTCGGAAGGGGAACCCTTTCTTACATGACCATGGCTGTCGGAAAGGGAACCCTTTCTTACAAGACCATGGCTATCGGAAGGGGAACCCTTTCTTACATGACCATGACTGTCGGAAGGGGAACCCTTTCTTACATGACCATGACTGTCGGAAGGGGAACCCTTTCTTACATGACCATGACTGTTGGAAGAGGAACCATTTCTCACCTGACAATTACATGAATGATGATGAAAACGGGTTCCATAACAATTAAAATTCATGTTTTAATTTTGACAGGCACTTTCGTCCGAGGGCTTGAATCAACTGCGACGTATGATCCGAAAACAAAGGAATTCATATTGAACACACCAACGATAACGTCAATGAAATTTTGGCCCGGAAGTCGTGAGTTTAAAGAAGATCAACAAATGTTTTTACTGAACCCCAGGGATATATTTGGTTTTAGATTTTCAGAAAAAGTTTTGACATCAAATCGTTTTCGCATTTAAGCGTCTTTTATTTCCTGTTATTGCGTTGGTTAATTAGATTGAAAGTAGGAAATTGATTTTGTTGGTTGAGGAAAGCAACATCAATTTAAAAATATTTGCAATATACATGTACATTATCAGTTATATATTGACACACTCAAAAATAAAACCTTAATAGTGACTTGATAATGTATGAAAATTATTTTCCTTGACGGCAATCTGTCTGCTGACGGTATCCAGATTTTAAGTTGGATGTTTATATAATTACACTGCATAGTGTATAACAGTCATATGACCTCGTTTTACATGACACTAGGTCGACTTTTTGTAACCTCGTATTACAACAGAAAACTACTGTAGACAAGTACAGATCACATTGGAAGTGTGACAAGACCTGAAAGGCAATTGCTGTCAGGAAGAAATAATAAAATAATAAAACCAAAGAAATAATCACCAAAACCTTCACATGTTTTTGTGGCGCAAAAATGTCCACTAATTTCCTACTTGAATATTTTGATAACAATTTCTTCGTTTTTCACTTAACAGTTGGGAAAACTTCAAACGTGTGTGTTTTCCTGGCACAGCTGTATACTCAAGGAAAATGTCATGGAATACATACATTTGTACTTCCTCTCAGGGACATCGACACTCACGAATCCCTCCCAGGTAGGAATAAAACACATGAAGTTTCAACGTAAGATAGCGCAGTGCATCGGTATGATGATTTCAAAATGTATTTGTGTATTTGGCAAGAAATTTAACGGTGGTCTTTTAAACAATTTCAAAAGCATTGGATGAGTGTACAAAAATAATCAATAATCAACATTATTGTTTGGTGTCATTGTCATACCACGGAATGATCATATTTTTACTCAAGTCGAAGTATTTCTACTCGCAAGCAATCTGGTTCCTATACATCATTACTTGAAATCGAATTCACTTGATTTAAAAAGATAAAAACAAAGTATTTAAACTCGAGAGCATTGCTTGAAATGCTGATAAAACATGCCTGGTTAGCGATATTTATTTTGCTTTTCTATGACAGGTATAGAAGTGGGTGATATTGGTCCAAAATTTGGATTCAAAGAGAACGACAATGGCTATTTAAGGGTGAACAATGTGAGAATACCCAGGGACTATATGTTGATGAGATATGCCAAGGTATTTTCACTTTTTTCCATTTAACTAGAGCTCATATGAAAGCATTTACACCAAATATCAAGAAAAAAAGAAGATAAAATACCGCACATGACATATAAGAATGGTAAACATTAAGTTTACTAAACGTGTACTAACAGAATGAGAACTTATGTTCCGGAAGGATAAACGTCTTCTGCTCCATCGACAACATTCGCCATGTAAGGTATTAGATGAGATTTATATGAATGGAAGCATCAGTCATGAAAGAATAATTCTTATTCAACCCCATATGATTTACTGTATATATTTTAAGGATATAATTATTTTGGATTGTTTGAAACTAACTCCATGTGGTTTCACAAGAATCTTTAAAAACTGCTTCCTGCTTAACTCTAAGTATTATGGTAGTGTAACAACTGGTTTGTGCGTTGCCAGTGTTACCGCCTGGATATTCTGCTTGATACTCGACAGTATACTTCAGTGAGGTAGCACTATAAATCTGTTCCGCAATGGTACACGGAGGCATAAACGAACAAATTGCAGCTTTCCGAAAACAAACAAGGTTTCCCTATTTCTTTTATGGATTATAGGACATATTGGAGGGATACAGGTGGAGTAACTTTGTGTCGAGAAATACATCTTTGCATGTATATATTTATACACTCTGTACATAGCAATTGTATTATTGTTACAGAGAGATGCAAAAAGGAAATGGATAATCTACTGAAGCAGAATGTCACAATAAGAAACGTACTCTATAGGAAGACTGTTCTGAAATGGATATGAATTGTTTATAGAACATAAACCAATGTAAAATAAAACACCACAAAACCTCCTGCCGATACCCCGTTTTAGCCTCGGTGTTGAGTACCGCCCAAGTGAAGAAGGTTATTGGTTCTGTCCAAAGCCGTGATACTTGAGATTTTCCAAAGCTGTCGACCGTCCTTTATCCAACTTACACTCTATCTCATGAATTGTATTTCTGAAACGACGGTTTAATAGAATAATTTAGGAAGAGTTATTGCCCTTTGTTATTGAAGTATTTTATAAACGATTACATTGAAATATGGTAGTGTGGTATGAAATGATATTACTTCTGATCGGTATCAAAATTTCAACCGTGATTTTTAAATGACTTATGGTTTGTTAATTCAACTTTTTACAATTGTTCTGAGATTTCTTATCACAGTTTTCAAATCTATTTATTGCTTCATTTCCATATTTGTATTCATTTTGATACAATTTGCCTTTGGTATAGTACAGGTGTGTATAGATTCCACTCTGATGAACTTTTATACTTCTTTATTATTGGGCTAGAATACTCTATATCGATGTTACAGAACAGGTTCTGGAGGATGACATATATGTCGAACCAGAGAACAGCAAGATTACTTATGGCATGTTCATTTGACAGGTTCTGGAGGATGGCACATATGTCAAACAAGACAACAACAAGATTACTTATGGCATGCTCTTTTGACAGTTTTAGGAGGATGGCACATATGTTAAACAAGACAACAACAAGATTACTTATGGCATGTTCTTTTGACAGGTTCAAGAGGATGGCACATATGTCAAACAAGACAACAACAATATTACTTATGGCATGTTCTTTTAACAGGTTCAGGAGGATGGCACGTATGTCAAACAAGACAACAGCAAGATTACTTATGGCATGTTCTTTTGACAGGTTCTGGAGGATGGCACATATGTCAAACCAGAGAACAGCAAGATTACTTATGGCATGTTCATTTGACAGGTTCTGGAGGATGGCACATATGTCAAACAAGACAACAACAAGATTACTTATGGCATGCTCACGTTGATCCTATCACGTTGACAGTTTTAGGAGGATGGCACATATGTTAAACAAGACAACAACAAGATTACTTATGGCATGTTCTTTTGACAGGTTCAAGAGGATGGCACATATGTCAAACAAGACAACAACAATATTACTTATGGCATGTTCTTTTAACAGGTTCAGGAGGATGGCACGTATGTCAAACAAGACAACAGCAAGATTACTTATGGCATGTTCTTTTGACAGGTTCTGGAGGATGGCACATATGTCAAACCAGAGAACAGCAAGATAACTTATGGCACGTTGATCCTATCACGTGTATTCCTGTGTGTTGTTATTTTGTTTTTAACACCAAAAGTGATGGTAAGTCAAGTGTCATCTTCTACTCCTAAAGATTGGAATATTGTATGTGTCTGTGTGTTGTTATTTTGTTTTTAACACCAAAAGTGATGATAGAGAATGCTTCCTTACGATATATACAAAAGACACACAAGAAATCAAGTAATTTGAACCTTTTAATACAAATTTAGATGAGAGAGAGAGAGATAGAGAGAGAGAGAGAGGAAAACAATGAATGTTTTGTTCATAAAAGAAGCGAATAAAAGTCGTGAAGCTGGACAAAAAGTATCTAAGTATGCAGAATGAAGTGAGGATTTCGAAATTGGCGAAAAATCTAGAAGTTAAGTGAATGATGTAGATAATGAAATGTCAAATATCAATTTGTCAAATTCTAAAGCTGTTAAGTTAATATGATGTAAAAGTGTATATACTGATTCTAAAAGTGCGAGTTACTTGTGTCTTGACAGAGGTCCAGAAGCCCAGGTCCTTGATTATCAAACCCAGCAAACTAAGTTATTCCCCTTGTTGGCGAAATCATATGCCTTCATATTTGTGGCACGTGCAGTGGACCAAACATTCAACAGAATCAACAGTCAGATAGAACTCGGAAAGTTGGACTATCTAGCAGAGGTAAGCAAACTCTGAGAATGAAATTATTTAGCTTTGGAGTAACTTTTATACCTTTTTTCTTACTGGAAATATGAGTGAAACAACTCCCAGGCCATGTCCAGTTTAAGGTAGTTTATTGGAGTTATCTTCCCTATTTAGAAACTGAGCACATTATGTCATGATTATTGCAAACTGTCCTAATTGAGAAACGTCCTTTCATCATAGGAGTGATATAATTCGCATGTATGACATAGAAAGATGTCGTTTATTTTTGGAAAAATATTGATCAGATTAAAATTTCATAAAAAACGAGATTCTCGCGAGCGAGTCAAATAAAAAGAAACTTTGACTATGAAATGAGAATTTTGTGTGGTGTTTGATACTTAGACGATGTTTCGTATCATATACAAGTGATGATACATGTATATGTGATGAGCTTGGTCTAATTTTTTTAGCTACACGCTTTATGTGCGGGTCTAAAGGCCTTCACTACTGACCAGGCCGCAGCAGGTATAGAGGTATGTCGTATGTCATGTGGTGGCCATGGATACTCTGACGCCAGTGGTCTTCCGAAGATCTATGTCTCTGCAACTGCTATGTGTACAGTAGAGGGAGAGAACTCTGTCATGTTGCTGCAGATGGCGAGGTACGTGAAAATTTCATGATTGCATATGCCACCTGGCGTATAATCAAATGTGAAGTATGTATGTATTGTTGAAAGATTAAAAACAATGGTAAAATTAGAGTCTGAGAACTTTTCTTATCATTCTTCTAACCTTCCATTGCGACAAAATAAAATCATTGTCATTTAAATTAATACAATCATTTAACAAGGTACATAAATTTCCTTTGCTGTTGCTCCCCTTTGCTTTTGGCTGTTGCTGACCCCCACCCCTTTGATTTCGTCTGTTGTTGACTCCCGCCTTTGATTTCGTCAGTTGTTGACCCCTTTGATTTCATCATTTGTTGACCCCTTTGATTTCGCCTGTTGTTGACCCCCTTCCTTTGACTTCGTCTGTTCTTAACCCCCTCCCTTTGATTTCGTCAGTTGTTGAGCCCCCTTCCTTTGATTTATCTGTTGTTGACCCCCTTCCCTTGATTTCGGCAGTTGTTGAGCCCCCTTTGATTTATCTGTTGTTGACCCCTTTCCTTTGATTTCGTCTGTTGTTGACCCCTTTTCTTTGATTTCGTCTGTTGTTGACCCCTTCCTTTGATTTCGTCAGTTGTTGAGCCCCCTTCCTTTGATTTATCTGTTGTTGACCCCTTTCCTTTGATTTCGTCTGTTGTTGACCCCTTTCCTTTGATTTATCTGTTGTTGACCCCTTTCCTTTGATTTCGTCTGTTGTTGACCCCTTTTCTTTGATTTCGTCTGTTGTTGACCCCTCCCTTTGATTTCGTCAGTTGTTGAGCCCCCTTCCTTTGATTTATCTGTTGTTGACCCCATTCCCTTGATTTCGTCAGTTGTTGAACCCCCTTTGATTTCGTCTGTTGTTGTCCTATTTGACTTCGTCTGCTGTTGCCTTCCGCTTTTGATTTCGTCTGTTGTTCACACCCTTCCTTCTTTGGTTTCCTGTTGTTGAGCCCCCATTTGACTTCGTCTGTTGTCAATACATTGAGTCGTTAGTTTCATTTATTAATAAGGTTAAAAGGATTCTTCATTAGGAAAAAATGATTTCTCATTAGGTTAAAATCATTTCTCATTAGGAAAAAGCATTTCTTATTAGGTAAAAAGGATTTCTTATTAGGTAAAAAGGATTTCTAATTAGGTAAAAAAAGCATTCCTCCTTTCTCATTCACTGAAAAACATTTCGCACTTGGAAAACAGTAGAAAAGCGTGCCTTATCGGTGAAAAGAATTTTAATTTTAGCAATTGTCAAAAAAGCATTTAACAGAAACATAATTTCCCATTGACATATATATGGTCTGGTCATTTTAGAAAGCCGTACCCATACGGAATTGGTTATTCCAAGCACTTAAAACCCCAAACAGACCTGACGGGTTTCAATCTTAATCGAAATGTTGTCTAAATGCTTAATTTTTTGGGTCAGATTCCTGATCAAATCATACAACAAGATGAAAACAGGACATCCACTGAAAGGCTTCGTGGAATACCTTGGCAACAAACAAACAGCCAGGTCGTCCATGACGAAGAATATCACACTTCAATGTCTACAGGAGGCCTACGAACATAGGGCTGTCAGGTAAGCGTTTTAAACTATGAATACTTAGACTGGGGAAGAAAAATGTAATCGGAATGTTTAACGTCCATTTTATGACAGGAGAAACCTCTTTTTTCTAAATAAGTTACAAAATCTCGATTGATCCGAACCTAGCCAGAGTAGCGATGTACAGGAACACACCAGTGTTGTTCGGTTACAGAAACGTAGATAATTAATATTCCCACTGGAATTGGAAATCAACGACAAGGAAGACTGCCGCTTCCTTTCCTTTTCCTACCACATGTCCCCAACAAGTTGTACGATGGACGTGGTGATTTCAATTCCCCTGTTTTAATTTTTTTCATTTTTAGGTAGCATGATTCCTGCTCTGGAGATTTAAGTATATATTTCGCTATTGATACGAAATTTATCTCCTTGTTCCTTACATCTCGTTTTTGTACCAGGGGACAACAATTCACTGTCAAACACTATCGCCTTTTGCGATTTAAACGTGTTTGAGGCTCGTAAGTTTGGTTGCGTTGGTGTATATGCCTTTTCCTTTTTGGCAATGTTACATTACTTACTTGGATTGACCAAGATTGACGTAACATACGTCGTCGATGAAGCAGAAGACGATCACTCTTCCAGAACACCTGGCCTTATTGTCCTTGTAAATCTAAATCCTTTATTTAGATTTTGCGTTTGTTTTGTTGAAATTGAGTTTAAATGAAGCCTCCGTTGACAGGTCTGTATTTTCGTTGTTATTTTCTTATAATTTGATAATTTTCTACTTCCGGTGTTCATAACAGACTGGAACTGAAAATAATGATAATATGTTTGGCGTAATGTGTTTTTGTCGATAAATCATGTAATACTATTACACTAATCTTTAAGGATGATTGAGGAAGCAGCACAGTCACTTAAAAAACACCAAAAGCTCGGTCTTACAGCTGAGGATGCTTGGAACCTTACATCTACACAACTCACATGGGCTGCCTTGGTAAGTTACAATGTTAAATGTTTGAATCTTGTAATCTTAAAATGGATTTATTTAGCAGTAAACATAAATCTTTGCCAACTCACTCTTTACGAAAAAGTTGCAAGCATTACCCTGTCCTAACACACTCATCTTTTCAGCAAAGTTGAAAACATAATTTGAGCTATGAACACAAGTCTGTGGTAACTAAGCTGAAAATATAGCATGTTCTAATTCACGCTTCTTTTAGACTTAGCAGCATACGTAACATGTGCTAACTAATCCTTTTACACTAAATTGTAAACACAAATCTATGCTAATTGACTCTTCTTTTCGACTAAGCTGAAAACACAATATATGCTTAATCACTCTTTTTTTCGACCATGTTGTAAATATAGATCTGTGTTAAGTCTTTTCGACAGAACTATAAACACGTCTATTTGAACTTGTCCTTCAATAATTGGGGCTGAAGCATCAATTGCTGTATTGTATTTGGAATGGATGATGGCCGTCTAATGACGAGTTTCACTGAATGAAATGCTTATCTCTTTGAGACCAGCTCATACAATAACACCATTTAAAGTGTTAATGTTAACCTTTATCACCATGGATATGAAAAAAGCCTTCTAAACTAAAATGAAAAACTAAGCAAAAATGGAATTAGCTTATTTGACTTGAAGGCGTTTGCTTGTAATGATAAAATAATGTACAGTAATACACTACAGATTTGCAATGTTTACATCTGTGAATGGTTTTATGTCCTTAGACATTCCAAAGTAATACCATTTATTGTACACAGAATGACACAATATGAACTTGTGTTTTAATCGATGTCAGTTCTATAGATTGGAATGCGTTATGTATTATACTGAGATTTTTCATGGAACACCATGCTGCAATTTTAGTCTTTATTCATTAGATTTAAAAATAGATTAATGGTTATTTTTTTTCTAAGTTTTACTTATATCAAGCACGATATTTCCATTTCTTGTGTGTATTCTCTATTTGACCGAATCAACAAAAATGATTTAAACTTCGGTTAACCGGAACAACCTTTCCCGATCAAGTTGGAATAAGCTGTTTTCTATTATTGCGTATATTGTCCGAGCCCAATGAATTAATTGTTTTGTTCGTTTGTTTGTTTTCTTTTGTTTTTGTTTTGTATTTTGTTTAGGTAGTAAGCCAATTAAAACTGCAAAATGCTAATGGAAAAATAATTTCGGCGTCCAATTGGTTGTAAACTACATTTTGTACAGTATTTTAACATGATAAGCTAAAGTCATTAAAGAAATTTATAAAAATGTAGTTTTCACACGAGTAAATAACAAAAGGGAAACAAATCTTACGTTAGTTACGGAACAGTCTTGTTAACCGTGTACATTCGCCGACACGTTGTACCCGATTTACATCTACCCTTCGACAATTAAAAGTTTATCTGATTGGTTTATATAAGTGATATCATAAAATTGTAAAACGTTAATGTGTTATTTCCATTTCCAGGCCCATTGTCATGCCTATGTTGTCAAAATGTTTGTTTCCATGGTAACAACTATTGGTCTTGACGACAATGTGCGAGCAGCAGTGACGTCCCTTTGCTTCCTGTATGCCGTTGATGGAATACATGAAAAACTTGGTGAATTTATACAAGTAAGTTTAAAAAGTTTTAAAAAAATAACCTCAAATACGTTCATAATCCATCCGTACAGTTGAAACAGATACCTTCGATACACGTATATAAATAGATACGGTAGAGGGTTGTACACTGTTTAACACATATCAAAAATTAGATACCTGAGAGCAAAACAATGAATTAAACTGCATAATACAGCTATTTCGTCTTTCTAGAACTAACATTGATGCAACAGCAAAAGTTGCTTCGTCTTTTTAGGACTCGTCAGTGATGCTAGATCATACATCTGTTCCATCGCTATAGGTCTTGTCAGTTATGCTACATCAAACAGCCATTCCTTCCTTCTTGGACTCGTCAGTGATGCTGCACCATTCAGCTGTTCAGTCATTTCTTGGAGCAGATAATGTTAAATACTGATAAGAGATTCTAAACATATACTGTTTTTGAAATTGGTTTAATTGTACCTATTAAGAAAATGTGCTCACGAGAGATGCCTATCAAAATAATAGATACGAATGGTAACGTTACCGCCCTTTCTGAGAATGGAGTAAATAAACAGAGAACATATAAGCAGTAAAATTACTTCCATGTTTGCCTTAGAACTGTTGTTAAAACAAGAAGAATTCATTGTCAAATACAACCTATACAATGATTTCAATACATGTATTTTACAGTTTAGCCGCTCTTCATTTTTGGCATTCAAAAACAGTAAGAAGATCCAGTTTGTTTTAGTGATCAGCCAGTCAAGTAAAATACACGTGATTAATGTGACGTTAGCCAGTATGATTGGTGTTAAGGCTATGGAATATTATACATATGTTTTTTTTTTTTCTATTTGACCGATCATTACCGTGTCCTAAACCTAACTGCTGCTATTTATTATCTCCCGCTTTCACCGAAACGGGGGATATTAATTTGGGTTTGTCCGTCCGTCCGTCTCTCTGTCTGTCACACTTTCGTTTCCGTGTTCTAACTTCCCCAAGTATCATCCAATTTGGGTGAAACTTTGGTTCATTAAGACTGAGTTTGACTATCAGTGTCATCTGTTAATATCGATGCATACTAATTAGGTATTCTTTCATATCATTGGTCGGTCAGTTTTTGTGCTCAAACTTTCGTAAATATAATCTGATTAAGATGTAACTTGAATTCCCACAAATACAATCAGTTTATCATTAAAGCACCAGAGTTATGATCCATATATTTATAAAGAAAAACAGTATGTTTGGAAAACGGGGGATATAAATTCCATGAATTTGCTTGTTTATTTTTGTGATGATTCGAATAGAATATAGTGTATTATTTTATTAATTATTATTTGTTTAAAATTATTTTTACTTACCACAGGATGGCTTTTTTGACTCAGCCCAAGTAGACATATTGACAAACAAGATGGTTACTCTTTTGTCCGAGATACGGCCAAATGCCGTTGCCATGGTGGATGCATTTGACTTGCCAGACATAAATTTGGACAGCTGTTTGGGTCGTTATGATGGCAACGTATACCAGGCTCTCTATGACTACGCGAAGTCGTCTCCTTTGAACGAAAACGATGTGAGCGTAATATTGTTTAACTTACATCTGCATTTATCGCTCTATTTATCAATATTGGTAATGTGAACATGTCCTTGCAATAATGAATGGTATTTGTCTGATGAGTCTGATAATGGATGGAATTATAGAATTTTATTTATGAATAAAAATCTCCAATTGTGCGCAAAAATCAATTTTAAAATGTTTTAATATCTTGTGATATCTGAACAATTTTTCGTTCGGGAACATGTTTACGTGTTAAACAGCGCTCATGGTCAATTTTGTAATAAATATATATATCTCAATAATGTTGATACCGACTTTTAAACGTTATTATTTTATGACATTTCTCCATTTCCGTTTAGGTTTTGAGCTCCTTTCACAAGTATATCCAACCATTGAGAAAGATGAGTAATAAGGACGGAGAACTGCAGGCAAAACTGTGATCGTTAGCAAATTCTGCTTCAACTGGTCTTAAGAATATTTAGTCAGAGTATATAAATTTGTTAATTTGTTCATATAGAACTGACCTATGGACATCTAGCAATAGATTTAATAAAAGCTTACCGATGTTTGGAAGCTTTCAATGCTATATTTTAATGTAGAGAGACAGCGAAATTGTGGAAATCACAAGGCACATTGTAAAAATTAATGTAAGATTAATACATCTTTATTTTCCAATTTAGTGATGTTTAGATACACAAACGCCAGTAGTCGAACCAGAGTATTGGATAATCAACAAGTTAGCAATCAATCATGTTAGTGATAATAAGAAAGCAAAATGTCCGGTTTCTATCGCCAGTATTGATAATGAGCTCGAACACTGACAACCGTGTGGATTTATTCAAGAACAATTCGATTTCACTACAGCAAGGAACATTGCTTCAGTCAATTTCATTGGGTGAAGAATGTAGTTGCTCTTTTGAATCAAATTAAATAAATAGCGTGTAAACAGTACTACGGTCGTCTCACGATTCACTTCGAAGTGTTCGACAGCTTTTTTGAATTGTCACTGACCTTTGAGACCTTGTTGTGACCTTACCATGGATACAGCTCTGTGTCAGATTCGCTCAGTGGCCGTTCTTGGATTTGATCCTTTTCAGAGGTTGGAAGTTTGAAAAATGCTAACCATCTTGTAGCAGGTTTATTGTGTTCTCATTTGGCAATGTGACATACGTTACTTGGATTGACAAACATTTGCGTAGCCATAGTCTTCGATAATGCAGAAGACATATACTCTTTCGGTTTTATTCGTGTATTTTTTCAGAATTATCCATGTGAATGTTTCTTTTAATCACATATTGCTCTAGTTAATTTTTAAAATTTTAGTTTTATTTTAAGTTTGTTGATATCTCAGCATTAAATGCTCTTTTTTGTTGCTGTCATCGTCGTTTAATGGGAAATTAAATTGTATATGTATTGAAATGTGATTTCCACCTGTGTGTCTCATAAATATTTATTGTAATTTACTTGCCTTTAATTATGAAACATTGCAAATATCAAGCATACATGTAAAAAAAAACTTGTCGAATAATGTATTATGTATGATAAGGAAGAAAATTGTACTTTCTTCCAAAGTAAACACTTGACATTTTGTCGTCTTGTTAATCAGAGAATAAGTGTTCGTGCAAGGTATACGTGTCTTCGTTTTATCTGTAGCTTCGAAGGCATTATTCTACTGGAATGTCATCTTTTTATCACCTTCCTAAATATTTACTTGGATTGCCTAAGATGAATATGGGGGATGTCGTCTATGAAGCAGAAGACGCTTACTCTTTCAGAACATCTTATCTTCTTCCCCTTGTATTTTTGTCAGAAGTCTTCAAGTAAACCATTCTTTTGTTCATATTTTACCTGGTTTTATTGAATTTGAGGTTGGGTAATAAATCTATTTATAGGTTGACATTTCTTGTCTTATTATCAATATTGAATACTTCTTCAATTCGGGCCTCTAATTGGGTGTTCGCTTCTGAGAAAAATACTTTGACCGAGATATACAGGTTTTATAACAGTAATAGCTGCTATTATGAGCAAGGCGTTCTTCTGGAGCCTTCAGCCTTCAAATACAAAATATTGTATACCAAGAGATTTCGCCTCATCCATGGACAAGGAGAGCGGGTTAACGTAAGGGGTGGAGATTTGTTACGGTTATATACAATATAATCCTCAGATGGTGAGGCGAACTTTAATCGAATTTGTGTATATGCATATTTACAAAACAAAAGAACTGATATAATGATTTCAAATATATCGCCGAATCTCAGAAATAAAGAAAACCTTATAAGATTGGTAATTGATAAAGCCGTGAAGTGGGAGGAAACATATTATTATAAGCAGGTCATTAATCAATCTCAAACTGTAGACAAAAAGACCGTCAGTCATAGCTTATAACTAAGTAGTTCGATCATAATTTACTTCATATGTGTCATTTAATTATGATAGAAAATGAAAGACGTCGAGAAGATTGAAGGATTGTAACCACGTGCTTACCAGACCTGAAAAATCTTTATCAACTGACGTACTGAACAGCTTAAAACTGAATATTCTTTCACACAGAAACAGCGAGGTGACATAAAAATGTTATATAAAATAATAGTATGTAGGAAATCAGTTATTTCTACTGAAATAGGTTTGTGCTATTCAACTCCTGGCCACCAATTAATCGTTTCAACATTTCTATAAATATATGTTATAAAACAATTGGTATAGCAATTGAACATGTTTTGATTGGCTGACAGGATGAACTTTGACCGAAAAGTTTCTTCACGCATTTATGGAGATTAAAACGCGTGGTAATCAGCTCATGATTGTTATTTTCAACAATTTGATTTTTGCTTGGATTTACATCTTTTGAAGATAACAAATCAGTATATATCTAGTTAAAACTTGTAATGAGTCTCCATGTTATTCTGAAATTGTCAGTTTTGCGTATTAATCCGCGATTTTCCACTCTAGGTCTTAGCGTTACGCCCAAACTGAAAACACAAACGAAAAAAACATGGTTACAAAACGGGTCCATCCGACTTAGGAATATGTTTTTCATCGTGGTAGAAAAAAGGTCATGCAAACTCATGGTATTTCTTTCATTCCCTAAAAGCTCGCGTGTTTTGGCATATTTTGAAAAACAACTAATTAGAGTGAAAGAAATACCATAACTACTCATTGTAGAACATATATATCGAATAGTGCTCAAGAATAAAATGGAATAGCAGCAAATAACATCCATTATTTGGGATAATTACCTAGAATATGTAGTGACTGCCAAACAAGCCAACCGCTTCAATGATGATTTTATGATTTCATTGTAGATTTTAAAATAAATTGCCGTTAATCACATATGAGATTTTATGAAACGGGTTTCAGAAGCTTTTATTTGTGCGAGCTTTAGCGATAAACAATCAAACCTTCGAGACAAGATTGATAAAATCTCTTATGAAATAAAAACTGATTGAAGATATTTTCTTTCATATAATAGTTACATTTTGACGGTTTTAAAGCAAATATGTAGATGCCAAAATCAAAAGATGACAGCTACTTTGTGTGCCATATTTAATCTACTATGTAACGTCATGGTCAATATTACGGAATTCACTAGATATCAGGTAGATTATGTGATAGATAAGGTTTCATGGTTTCATTGCGGCAACTTTTCATTCGAAGTTAGTGAACAAAACATGAAACCATTACCAGGGAACTGTCATTAAATATCAGGGTTTTATATTCAGTAGTACATAACTACCAGAAAACCAGTGTTATATAATATCGAAGCCATCAACAAACACGGTCGAACGCTTTCCCGGCGTGTTGCCATGTAACCGCTTCAACAGAGAGGGAAGAACCGGTGTCTTCAACCATGTCAACGGCATCATGATCTGTATTTTTAATCGCAGAAACAGCATTTGGTGTTCTGAGATGAAAATTTGTATGTAGCGGGTTTTGCGCAAGTGCAAGCTAATCGTGTCAGTCCAGATATCCATCTTGGTACATGATCCTCCGGAGATCGTAAGAAGACCCGGAGTCCGAATATCGTACACATCATTATCAGAAGACTCTGCCCGATATGGGCAATAAACAAGTAACAGAGAAGAGCCATATTAGGTGTTGATGTCTGGGGGAGGATTGTGGTAATAAGGGACAGGAACACGGCCATGGCTAGTAACACGGTGATAGAACAGCCGACACGTTCTCCATTCTCCGAGGGAAGGAGGAACACCATCATGTTGACAGAGCTCAAGAAAATGGTGGGCATGATAAAATTCACCATGAAGAACAGATGGTTCCGTTAAAAAAGTGATTCCCATATCATAACCTAGCGTTGCAGATGGAAAGACTTTCTGAAACGTACTTACAAGATCCCAAGTAGGGTTTTTCGCAAACGTTTTTGTTTCTAATTTGGGGCTTGGTACCGTAAGGTGCATATAATCCCAAGTGTATCCCCAAGACAATGAAATCAAAGTTCAGTATCTTTTATCCAAGGTTTCATTGACCTACTTTTATCAGATTTTATTGTTCCTTGAATTTCTTTTAAGAAAATAGGTCGCAGTAACCAAACTTTGCAAGTTGATGTTCATCATCTCCAGAAAGTAAATATAACAAGGGATCGCAACAGGTCGCCATGGCCTGTAAATGGTTAAAAATATGGTATTTTCGGTAGGGGGTAGAGGATAAAAGATGGAGAGGGCAGAGGTGGGACGTAGAGGTTACTAGTTTCAGGTACATTCGGGCCATTTCGGGGAGCGCCGCTCAGCAAAATTGACCCCCAAAGGTAAAACGCAATGTAAGCTGACCTTTGATATTTGTCTTGTTTTACACTTTACATGCACCTATTTGAGCTTTTGGGATAGGATTTATCTAACTGAATTTGTCTGAAGATATATGATATTTTGCTATCTTATATCAACAGAAACAGACCAGTGCAACAATATTCTTCAACATGTACAAATTACCATGTACCAGTATCACATGCAAAACGTCATCAGTGAGCAATTGTGTAAAAGAGTTTTGTACGAAAGACGCACAAAACAACTTAAGAGTTAGGTAGAGCTAAACAATGCATTATTAACTACATCGTACAAATGAACATCCGTCCTCGATACCCTATGGGTTGGGAAATAACTTTCGCTCTCTGCACCCCTGGAACATGTAATAGCAAAATTGAAGGCACATGCGAAGTAATTTTGTTCTAGAAGAAATATAAAGACCGATCACAGCCTGATACGCTCCATTTGAAGATTACAAAGGAGCAACATACAATTTTAAAGCCATTACATTATACCGTTATGCGACCCTGGGATTCGTTTGATGTACATCAAACTAGTCTCGTCCACAAGGTATCACACATGGAATCTTCAATTTTACCATAACATGTCCAAAGGGTGCAGAGTGATAATGAGTGTAACCTCCGGAGTATCGAGGATGATGAACATCCGACACAAGGCTCAGGTTGTCAAAAGGCTGGCTAGAGTTAGCACTTTAAAAAAGGACCAAAACTAAATTGGAAGCATTCTTTGTCATTTCACAGCTATAGATTTGTTGAGACAGGACATTTTGACTTGAACACTCTTCTTCTACCAACACATTGAATCGTTGACTTACCACTTTAACCAACTGTTTAACAACTGGCACCAAATGTTCACAGCAGGTGTTATTTAAAGAACATTGATAGCGTTACAACGTAAACTTGTACACGTGTAAAGGAACGCATCACTCTCATCACAGTTTAACTTTCTTCCTTTACGAAAAAAGTTTATAAAAATCTAGAAAGTGTATTTTAATTACTTAATGACGAGTTCTAACAATTTTTGTCGGTGACGGATATTTTGATTATATGGTATTATTTTCTCTTCTTTGATTTCTCTGTCCGAATTGTTTGCGATTTGATTAGCTCTTATCTGATAAACGATATATCCACACGTTTAGAATGATAAGTTTATCTTTAATCTTCAATCAAAATGACGTATAAGCTTTACACACCTTCATAGTACGATAAATATCTGTACTTTGTGATTAACATGACTGGACAGAAATGTGGTGATAATTATCAATAGGAAGTGCCCGAGGTTATGTTGTCTAGTCCTTGTTGTATTCATATGTAAATACAGTTTCAATATTACATGTATGTACATACTCATACGATAATGTGTTTCGGTATGAAATTATTTACACAATTTAACAGACACCTGTGTTGGTAATAACACCTAACACTTATCGATTATCTGAGAAATACAAATCGAATAAGAGATATGAAACACCTTTTCAAGTATAACATTATTTTGCTTTACATAATGAATTATTCTGATACGTAGCAGCGATTAACACGTGTTTCAGTCGGTAGAGCACGAGACCTTTAATCTCGGGGTCGTGGGTTTGTGCCCCACGTTGGGCGTTTAACTGTTATGCTTTATAAACTGCCTACATAACGTTAGTAAATGTTTCATTATCCAATTCGAATATTTGCATTCAGTACACACATAACTACTGTCATTCCGTTATAAATTTGATTCCATCTGTTAATCATCGGGCCATCGTCAACATTTATTTTCTAATATCTTATCTTGATATTTCATGTGTTTCTTTGAAAAAGTTTAGGGACGTGTCAAGAGAGTTGGTTTTCTTATCATTGTTCAAAGATGTTTTATAAAAATATCAAAAAACATAACAATCCCGCGAGCCGGAGTCGAACCAGCGACCTAAGGATAGCTTTGAAGTTAACCACTACAGTCCTCCGCTCTACCAACTGAGCTATCACGGGAGATATACAATACTTGGTAAAGTTACGTGCAGTCCATCTATTACACTATGCCCGAGGAGTCGACAGGCTTTAGGTATGAGGTAGTTGGTTTTCAGCTTTCGTAAAATTGGACTGAGATCAAGAAAAGGCTGTTTCGAAGAGTGTGATACATA